AAATTACTCTCACAATTTTGCCCAGGCATAAATGGTACATTCAGTTTTAAATGATGGAGCATGAGGCGTGAGCTGACCACTTTGAAAGAAAAGGTGGTCTTGAAGGTTTTGCTTCTAATGAGATATTGTTTCTCACTGCCCAACCCTGGGGCAGGAACATAACCATAAATTGTAACAGTATTCTGATGGGGAAAACCATACAGTCCACTTTATGACAGTTTTTTAAGACGTAGTTGCAAGAAATGTGTGTAGGTAAAATGAGGGAAGAGCTTGAATTTTCTGATCTGATTTTCCTCGTTTATCAAGAGCATTCTGGAGTCTAGTTTTAATAACTTTATCAAAAGTTAAATCTTGGAATTCTAAGCTCTTAGAGTAAGAATTGGTCTTAGCTGTCATTTAATTATGCCACTGCATGCAGCACACACACCCGCGACTGAAGTCTGGTCGCTGCTGTCCAGCCGACAGTGTAACCGTGTGTTGGTAAGCACCTTCGGTCTATGTGTAAGCGTGTGTGCCAGCTTGGCCGGTAGTTCAGATAAGCGAGACACTAAAACAGAAGATAGTTCGGCGCTGCAAACAGTCGTTCAAGTTAAGTGAATTACAGTAACTGAATGGAATGGGAGACCAGCAGGGGGAGGGCTACCTTGCTGCAGAGTGGAAGGAAGAGCCTCAGAGGAGTAGAATTTGAGTCTGGCCTCTGTAGCGCATGTGTATGGTGTTTAGCTGCTTCTAGGGAGAATTGCTGGGAGGAAGAAGTACAGTGGGTTGTGTTTTGTTTTCATGGATAGGAAGACAAAATTGGACGGGCCAGGAGGAAGTCAGAAGATAAGGCTTAAAGTCTCACCGTGTGTATAGTGATTGAGTGACCGAGTGACCGCATACCCACACGGGTGACTTACAGCCTGTCGGTGCTTAGGTTTCCTCTTGCAAAACAAAGGAGAGCAAGTGGGAGAGCACTGTGCGCAATATGTATAGCACTGGGTTCACCGAGGTCTTATTTTACCTTCTCGTTGATGGTGCCGGCAGCTCTTCTGTCCCAGGTCCTACGGTAGCTTCCCAGCCTTCTGCTGTAAAATAAGTCAACCAAGAGTTATAATCTACGTGAAATCTTTTACTGTTTCTACCAGAAATTATCTCTTGATTTTAAAATAAGATCACATGATGATGTAACAGTTTAATGGTACTAAGGCTAATTCTCTTGTTGCGTATAGTGTGGGCAACCCACACAGTTGATTCAGGTGCAGCGATAAAAGAAAAATAAACCAAAGTTAACTCTGCTTGAGTAATAGAGTTCCTGGAATCATTTTGATTATAGCCTTAAAAAGGTTACAGGCCAGCCCTGGCCGGGCGGCTCAGCCAGTTGGAACGCCGTCTCCTACTCCAGAAGGCTGCGGTTTTGATCCCCCGTTGGGTGTGAACGGGAGGCAACTGACAATTTCTCTCTCACATCAGTGTTTCTCTCTCCCCCTTCCTCTCTCTCTCAAATGAATAAACATATCCTTGGGCGAGGATTTAAAAAAAAAAGGAGATTGAGAATTTTTTAAAAAGTTATAGACCAATTGCGATTGGTAGTTCCATTTATTATTTTTGTAGATTATGCATAATATCCCTTTAAAATCTGAGTCTGTTGTCCTCATGCTAAAAGGGGCTATTTCCTCTTCTGCTAGGCCTCATTCAAGAAATAAAAGATATTTTGGTTCCATTAAAAAACAAATTGCTGAATATGTTTATACATTTTTAGATTTAAAGTACTATATATTTATTTTTAAAATGCAAACATTGTAGAAACTCATAAAGTAATAATTTTCCTTTAAATAATCATCGTTATTCCCCCCCCCCCCATATGTGGGATTGTGTTTGGGATATTTTCTGCAATTTCCTTTTCCAAACTTAGAAAATCTTAAGACATCTTTTTCACTCAGTATGTGTATACGTAAGTGTCATTCTTTTAGAAGGATTTGTGTAGTGTTTTTGTTGCACAGTGCTTGCTAGTTTATTTAACTCATCCTTTATTGATGGGCATTTAGGTTGTTTCCAGGGTTTCAGTATTATAACAGTGCTGTAGAGAACACTTTTGAAACAGTGTCATTGCTTACTTGTGCTAGTGTACTTGTAGGGTACATTTTTAAAAGTGAAATTGTTGGGTCAAAAAGTTTTTGCATTTAAAATTTAGATATTACTAATTTTTTAAAATATTTATTTATTTATTTTTAGAGAGGGGAAGGGAGGGAGAGAAACATCAATGTGTAGTAGTTGCCTCTTGTGCGCCCCCTACCAGGGACTTGGCAAGCAACCCAGGCATGTGCCCTGACTGGGAATCAAACCGACAACCCTTTGGTTCTCAAGCCACTACTCATTCCATTGAGCCACACAAGCCAGGGCTAGATATTACTAATTTTACTTTTAAACGTGTTATACCACTTCACATTCCCATCTATATTCTTACCCCATACTCTTGCCAATATGTCTTACCAATCGTTTTAAACTTGCAATTTGATGGGTGAAAAACACATAGCATAAATTTGTTCTCATGAATTGAGGTAGAGAACTTTTTAATATATTTATCGACCTTGTATTTTTTTTCTTTAAAAACCCTGTTCCTATCCTTTCTCCATTTTTGTTCCCTATCTGGTAGCTTTTTGTCTTTTTTTTTTTAAGAGCTCTTCTATATTAATGAAATTAATCCTTTGACGATCATGTATCGATAATGTGACTATTTTTTAACTCATTGTCTTTTGACTTTGCTTATGGTGTGCCTTGCCACATTTATTTTTTATCTAATCACATGTATTATTGCTTTTAGATATCTTGTCATGCTTAGAAATCATCCAAGATAATGAAAAAGGAAAACTGTTTTTTTACTTATAGTTGTTTAGATTCAAATATTTAATTCATTTGGAATTTATTTTGAATAATAAGTGAGTTAGGGATTTAATTTTTTAATTTTTCAAAATGGCTAGCCAGTCATTTCACCATTATCTAGTAAATTTCCTTTTCTGTATGAATATTTGTGTACTGACCATTGTTTCTGGTTCAGATTCCATTTCCGTATATTTATACAGATGTGACTAGCTGAGAATTTTGGGAGGTTTTCTGAGATCAGTGGAGCAGTGAAAGGTGATAGGTGGATTATACTATGTTATCTCCCTTTTTCTTTTAAAGATTGATAACTTGCCTCTTTCAAGGCCTACTTCTAGATCTGATCATCCTTTGAACAATAGAGGTGACCTCCGCAGGATTTTTAGATTGCTGGTATCTGTGGAGGGCGGGAGGAGGCTGGGATGACCTTCCAAGGCACAGTCACCGAGTGTTTTTAAGATGAGTTTGAACTTCCAGGCAGTAAAAACTTGTTAGCGACAACCATGAGCTAATTCTGTACTTGCTGCAGGGAGACAAAGAAATGTGTTTCTTAAAAGAACTGAAGTGAAAAGATGGTTATTAGTCACTGCTTAGTACTCCTTAGTCATCTTTAGGAATTTAGCCACTGTAAGTGGGCCTTGATTGTTTTAATTTTTATTTTTAACTTTTTTTTTTATGAATGTGCATGACTGGGGGGCAGACGGCGCCTAGCTTTCCTTCAAGTGCTCAGTCACTTCCTGGGCATGTGACTGTGGGCCGGACTCAGTCTCTTCCCTGTTAAAATGGGAATGAAGCCAACCCTCTTGCTTATCCGCTGGGTCTGCTGGGTTGTTACGCAGAACGAATGAGACGATGCACGATAAATAGTTAATGAATGTTGGAATCCGTAGCAGGTGTAACGAGGGTGAGGATTTAGAAATTCCGATTCCGTGGTGACCCGGAGAAGAGAAGAGCTGTATGAACAGGTTGGGAGTGAATTGCTAGTGAGAAGGCGAAGACGGGAAGTGTATTAATGTTAACCTTTTGAGGAACTTCCAGACTGTTTTTCAAAGCACTGTGTTATTTTATATTCCCGCCAGCAATGTAGGAGTGTTTAATTTCTCCATGTCTGGCCAGTAATTATCCTACCCCTTACAAACCTGTTTCCTTTGTACCAAGCTGGTACCACTCTTAATAGCTGTCATTGTTACGAGTGTCGGTAAATGCTTCTCTAGTTGTGATACAGAAGAGCTGCCACCTCCTGCTCCCCGGAATAACACTTGCATGAGTTTCTTGCATGTGCAAGTCCCCCCGCCCCCGCCCACCCAGCTCTATTGATATAAGTGACACATAACATTCCATAATTTTAATATGCACAATGGCCATCACTTGTTATGTGTGTTTGGTTATAGCTCTCCCAGTGAGTAGGAAGTGATGTTTCATTATGGTTTTGATTTGCATTTGCCTGATGACTTGTGATGTTGAGCATCTTTTCAGGGGGTGTCGGCTATTTGAATTAACTTTTTTGAAAAAATGTATGTTCAGATACTTTGCCCATATTTAAACTGGATATTTGTCTTTTTATATTGAGGTGTAAGAGTTCTTTATATATTGTGGATACGAGTTCCTGATCAGATTTGCAAATGTTTCTTTCCTGTCTTTTTGTAGCTTTTAAATGTAACATTTAAAATGTAACATTTAAAACATTTTAAATGTTTTGTAGCTTGTCTTTTTATTTTCTTGATTATACCCTGTTCTTTGCAGCAAAAAAAATTTCTTTCTAAAATGTTTAAAGTCCAGTTTATCTATTTCTTTAATATTGCTTGTGAGTTCTGTTAGTCCCCTTTGCAGGATCCATTCAGAGGATCTAACTTCCCATGCTGTCAGAATTGTCTTACCGTATCATATGATTAATGCAGTTGTAATTGCTGTGTGTATGTACATGTATAGAAGTCTTGTTTTTTCTCCTTAGCATTTTTTGTATAAATTTCTTTCTATGTATATTACCCATGCTTTATTTTTAAGAGCTGTCAGGTTTCGTGGTTGTACCGCAGTTTTCACAGTCATCCGTTTTTGCTTGTCTTCCAATCATGGTTTAAACAGTGCTGGTAGGTGGCTGTATCTCCTCCATCAGCCTAACAGTTACATTTTTTTTTCCTTAGGCAGGGTTGACATAAAGCAGCTGATAGCAAAGAAGAAACAGTTGACGGCAGAGGCAGAGGTAAGTACCTCCCTCTTCCAGAAACAGAAATGTAGAGTGTCAGGGTAAAGAGTTGTGTTCAGTACATTTTTAATGCTGAATTGCTTAGATAATTACTTGCCGCCCATGTGAGCTGACATTGCCCTGCTGTGGACCAGGAATGCAAGGTCTGCCACCTTGTCATCCTACCTGAGGACCAGGTTGCCCTTTTCTCTGCTGGCCCGTCCATCACTGTCACTTTCCTGACTCTTACCAGCAAAACTTGGTTTTAGTGAACCATATTAGAGTTGAATTTCTGTACGATTGTCTAAGTGCTTTGTGAAAGTAGCAAGGGTCATAGAAATAACAGGCTTCCGGTCAACGTGGAATCTGAATCTAGAAACAATGTGTCAGGAAGGTAGATGAAATATCAACTCAAAACCAGCAGCACGGGGCCCTTCCAAGCCAGGCAAATAGCTCTGCATGTCAGAATTGAGCAGCACCCCCAGGAAATGCTGGAGGACAAAGAGCTATTTTTAAAAATTTATAATCGAATACTCTGTGTGCTCGAGTATAAGTTGACTTCACATCCAAGGCAGCCTCCGTTTTTTTTCTGAGAACGTTACTTCCAGAATTTATTGGCCAAATGAACCTCCAAATATCCAATGTTGTAGATGAAATAGCCCTATTTCTATCTACTAATTTAGTTATATGTGCATGCATGCACAAATGCATTTATTTGGAATAACAGATTTAGATATTTATAGCATCCTATTTGAATGGGGTTCTTGGACCCAATTTTAACATGAGGACATGGGTTCCCTCCACACCAACAAGTGATTCTGGGATGCTGGCAAGGCTGCCATCCCAGGAATTCAACTGAATTCTGATACTGTTTACCTGGAGATAAAAATTCCATTCTGCAGGTAAAAAGGGGCTTAATCCCACAAGATTGCCTTCTCCTTCCAGGTAACCTCAAAGCAAGCGTGGGTTACTTGTGCTTCTGACATCGGGCTGCAGAGTGGAGGTTCTGACGACCCCCTCCAGCTCAATGCTAGTCACAAGTTCAGACAGTCATCTGTACATCTGACCCACTGGCTATAAATCAGAGTCCTTGGAGCTGATGAATTTGCCAGAATGGCTCTCAGGACTCAGGAAAACCTGTTTACTCACTAGATTATGGATTTATTACAAAGGATAAGAGTCACAGCCAGATGAAGAAGAGGTACTCAGGGAGAGGTCCTGAGCAAAGGAGGCTCTTTCCCCAGGCAGCCTGGGGCCTGGTGGGTGGAAGCGTTCTGCAGCACGTAGAACTAACTGGCGGGCCTCCTGGGTTTTGCTGGAGCTGCAGGGGTGGGACTGGAGTTTCCAAACCCCTGATCCAGTGACTCTCAACCTTTCGTCTCACGGCACACGTAAACTAATTACTAAAAATCTGTGGCACGCCAGAAAGTACGTATTTTTGTTTATCTGACCAAAAAAAGGTATAATTTTGATTCATTCATATCAGGTGGCTATTGCTGTGTTGACTATTGTCATTTTTTTATTTGACAATCTAAGTGAAAGGTCGTCAGTGCCCCTGTCTAAACAGTTAGGAATTGCATGTTTTGAAAGTTCCCACAGCACACCGGTTGAGAATCGCTGCTCTAATCGTGATTGGTTCTCCGGGTAGCCCAGTTGTCACTCATCGTCACTGGACAGGTTCCCCCTAATTTCTAAAGTGAGAATATTGGCCTAGCTGGGGCTCCAAGGTCCCCTTCAGCAATAGCATGCTGTGCCGTCATTGTGCGGCTGACTTACACTTCAGCTGCTAGTGCACTCTTGCCTGCTGTGAAGGGGAGGGGCAGTCTGGAGGCCTTACTGGGGAGCTCTTCCAGCGCCACAGAACAGGGGTTGTTTGGTGAAATACAGTGTGCCTAGCTACAGGTGAGTTCAGATGAGCAATAAATAGCTTTTTAGTCTTCATGCAATATTTGAGACAGACTAAAAAGGTTATTTGCTGTTTATTCAATTTAACTGGATGTGCTTATATTTTTATTTGCTAAATCTGGCAACGTGCAGAGAACTGAACATTTAGGTATGTAGCCAGAGGAGCTCATAGCACGTAGAGCTGTGAGGAAGGTTGTCAGGCAGCGAGCAAGCTCTTCAGCCCGAAGGGAAGAGGAGTGAGAGAGGCTGTGCCATTAGTGGGCTGACATTAGTGAGTTAAAATCCTTGAATCTCTGGAGGTCACTCTGGGTCTGAATGCTTTCATAAAAATGTTTTAAGTCCTGAGTTAACAAAAGCCCTGGTGCTAGCGGGGTCACAGGATGTTGTGTAACCCTGCGCCATGACCTTGTGAAATCCTCAGAGTTGTGTTGTAACAAGACTTATGAGACCTTGGCACAGTCCAAGGGAGTCATTTCACATGATTAAGTCCCAACCAACTTACGTTAACAGGTAAATCAGCTTTGTTTTAACATTGCGATATTCAGTTTTTTCTTTGGGTTGCAAATAACAGAAACTCACTTTGGCTCATGTAAGCATATTTGATATCAGTGTGTCTCAGAATCCTGGGAGAAGCTGGGCACTCAGACTTTGGAAAGGGAAAGGACTTTAGGAGCAGGAGTTCAGATAGTTCTGAATCCTTCCGTTAACAAGGCCTCCAGCCACTCTGCCCGAGCTCGGAGTGTCAGGTTCTGAGCGGGAGAACCGGGTGTTTGCGGGAAGGGCAGGGCTCACACTGTTTCTGGAGAGAAGTGGCAGTGGAGAGAAGAGAAAAGGGAGTGTATTTATTACCAGTGTTTGTAGCACTTTTATTAATGTACACAGTTTTATAGAGGAAATGTTAGGTATAATGTGAAAATTTAAAGGATGAAAAATTCCTATTTCTACTTCTTAAAAATACATATTTGTTGCAACATATTTCGTTCGCTCTTGCACAGCATTTCCAGCCCTGTTTCTCGCGTTAATGCCACGTGCCGTTGCCCAGCCGTCAGTGGGCAAACTGCAGTGAGTAAGACGCTGACGGCGCGTCTGCAAGCGAGGACTTCCTCTCACGGCTGGCCACTCACTCGGGCAGCCTCTTCTGCACGCGTTTTTGGATGGTGTCAGTCTGTCCGATTTACTGGCAGACTCCTGGAGAGAGAAGTCTAAGTGTTTTCTGCCCAGAAAGTCTTACTATTTGTTCACTGCTAGGAATAACTACTTTCTGGTTCCTGTGTTGAACCCGTAGGGAAGTGAAGGAGGCAGGTGGAGGTGATGAGAAGCAGTACAGTAAACATTCGCATGGTTAATCTGCCTAAGTAATCTGCCTGATAAAAATGTTGTAGTCTAATTTAAGTTGGGAGACAGCCAGTATGAATTTTATTTTAAATAAAAAGGGATCGTACATAATTCAGAGCTCTAATCTCATTAGTTTTTGCTTTATCTTGAACCTTTGGCTTCCTCTATTAAGGATTGTGCAATAATTATGCTTAAGACTTATTGCCAAACAAGTTTTCTTTGTCTTTTCGATATGGAAGAGCTGATTACCATGCACTATTTAGGACTGTAAGTCTCTTCTATATCAGTTCTTTCAAATGAAATGTTTGGAAAAGAACTAAACTAAATGACACCTTACCTTTTATGAGGTAACCTGCCATTTTCAGGCTACATGTGTATCATTAACTTTGGGGGGGCTTGCTGTTCTGCTTTATGGTGCTAATTATGTAGAAAATATTTCAGACAAAGTACAGTGGAAAACAGTGTAATGTAGTGTGAACTCCTGAGGTCGTGGATCAGAGTTCTGATCCTGGTTGTAGAGGTTACGAGTTCTGTGACCTTGGGCAGGTCACGACACTTGACTTGTTCAAGCCTAGATCTCCCATAGGTAAGAGGAATTATACTGCCTACTTCAAAGGTTCTTTTAAGACTAAAACTAATATATAACAGCCCCCAAGACAGCATCTAGCATATAGCAGCCATTCAATAAATAATAGCCATTACCAATAATAAAAACAAGTGGATTTTAGTTACCTTCCTTTCATAGCTCCTAGAAAGAAATCAGAGTTGGGTGGTTTTTTAAGGTGACTCCTGCCTGCTTTATAATAGACACTGAATCAGCCCGCAGTGGTGTGGATAGGCGTTTGGGGCCAGGGGTTGGTTTCAAAAGCTGTTTGGAAACATACTTAACACCCGCAGTCTTTCCAGGTGCTTTGCAGAGAGCTGGGTGTACAGTGACTAACAAACAGATATGGTGTTTAAAGTCAGGTGGGAGAGGCAGACTTGAAGACACCAAAAAATAGAGATACATAGAAATCAGAGTCGTTTTAAGTGTGCTGAAGGGAAAGAGTAGGACGCAGTGACTCCGGGGTGATTGGTTAGAGGGAGGCCTCTCTGGAGGAGTCAGTTTAGGGTCAGGCCCACACACTGTGTTGTTGCCCGTTCCGATGTGTTACCTGCGTTGCCCAAAAAGGTCAGGTTTCTGGCTCCGAGCCACTGCGAGGTTAAAGGGTTCTCTGTGCAGAGCCAGGCAGTGACTCAGAGAGACGAGCGATCCATGGGCTGGCGGTCTGACCTTGTGGAGCCAGAGCCTGCGTTTCACTGTGTGTTTCTCCTGGCAGCCTGCTTCTCAGTTTTTGCCACGCCATGGTGCCTTTGAAAGGGTTGTTTTTATCTGTCTGTAAATGACCCTGCTCTTTTCTCATTTTAAGATTCATTCCAAAATAACCTCTGCTTGGAACCCTTTGTAGAAGACTTACCTTTCTAAAATGCAAGTCTGAACATGTTTATAAACCTTGAGTTTATTAAAGCAGCGGTTTCCAGGTGCCCTTAGGATACAAGGAAAACTCACTGAAATGGCTCACAGGTCTGTCCTGATCTAGCCCCCCGACCCCGTCTGTCTGGCTTCACTGCGGGTCCCCGGGCCGGACTTCCCTGGGTGTCCCAGCCACAGGGTCTTCGCTTTGGGCGGCTGTTCCCCGTTCTTAGAGTCTGAGAAGTTACCCATTTGGGCTACTTATTTAAAAAAATGGGATTTCTTTGAGTTCTAAAATACAATATTTCTGTTTAACAGGTTATCTAAGCAGCCGCTTTTCTAGTTTCTAGTTAACTGCTTGACGTCCTTCTTCTGTTGTCCTTCCGTCCATCTGCCATGGGCTGGGTGACGTGAACAGAGATGAGACTGGGAAGATGAGCAGGTTGGAAAGCCTGTCACCTTCCACCTCCTTTTCGGGTTACTGATAAAGAGCAGACATTACTCAGATCTATTGTGACCGCATGTGGAATTTCTAATCGAGGCCAGTTTGGTACTGTAGGAGGGCTCAGGAGGGGGCGGAGGGGAGCGTTTCCCCGAGTTGTCTTTTCTGTGTCCCCTCTCCACTCCCCTCAGAGTGTGGATCCGCGGAAGGAGGCGGCTGAGGAAACTGCCTGGTGTCGCGGCAGTGTCCTCCTTGTCTCCCACCTGCACCTGAATCCCTCTGAGAAGAAAGGCATTAAAAAAGGAGCGTCAGGCACCTAGTTAGTATAACGCTATGTACAGGAGTGTGGTGGGTTTAAGTAGTTATCTTTTAATAGTAATAGCACTGGATGGCAGAATTGGCTTCCACTGCAGTTTTATTGTACATTATTTTGTTTCTATTGTTAGAGGCTGGCTCCGACTGAGTGGGGAGGAGTCGGGAGCCACAAATATCTGTAGAGCGATAACTATATCAAGTACTGTGCTGTGTGTTTTAGCAGCATTTTTTCTTTTTGTTTTGAGCTTTTTAAAAAGTGCACACAACAGTTTAGCAAGTTAGATATTATTCATCTCAATTCTGCACAGATAGAATGGCTCAGCTGAGTGGACTAGCTAGCTTGCATCAGGCCACACACAAGTGGTGGAGGCAGAATTTGAACCCAGGTCTGCCTGGCTGAAAACTCTTCTTTCTTTTACTCCTTTATTATTAGCACTAAAGGTATCCTTTTCCTTATTGTTGTACTAGCTCAAGATGGATTTATGGACTACTCACCCATGACTTTCACTGCAGGAGAAAATGACATGAATTCATACTTAGATGGGGACCTTTTAGCTCACCATACCCAAGCAGTGTTCCACACCGCGGTATCAGAGGTTGGAGCCAGAGATGGGGTGGGAGGTTGTGAAAGAAAGTTACCAAGGAGACATCCTTTACCACCTTGTTCTAGTCCTCATGCTATTGAAGTGCCTGTGGTTTTTATTTGTCTGCGTTCTCATTTGGTTCTATTATCACTGCCAGCTGTTCTGCGTGGCATTTGCTGCACCATTAATGAGACAGGGAGCTCTGTGAGGCCAGGCCGCGTGTGTCTTGCTCACCAGCACAGGTGCTGGGGAAGAGAGGTGCCCCTCGGGGTCCGAATCCGTTCAGTCCCTGCGATCTGACAGTGAGTTGGGGTAACAAGGTATACTCTCGTTTGTGGGATGGCTGTGAAAGAAGAAAAGGTAGGCATTCTAGAGTGGGAGGGGACGTGAAAGGAGCAGGAGGAAGGTGGCAAGAAAAGGGTACGATTGATACGAAGGATGAGGGTAAGGAGAATGCTGTAGGTTTTCTTAGTGCGTGACTAGAAGTTCCCAGTGCGACCTTGGAATGCATGGCACAGGCTCGTTTGCGGGCAGCCTGTCAAGGAGGCACAGGCCGCGTGCCGTGAGGAGCAGGCTGCTGTCTTCACCCTGGGTTGGGTGGATTAGTTCCTGATTGTAGCGGCTTTTAGTGACATTTATAGAACATTCATTATGGTTTGTTTGTTTTTTCCCATGGTCTTGGTCTACTTGACCCAATACTCAAGTTGGGGAGGAGGCCGGTTCCAGAGGCCGGTTCCAGAGTCCGAGGAGTCCGAGCTGAAAGAGAGGCGGGCCTCCCTGTGCCGCGTCCCAAGGCTCCAGCTTCGCTGTCACTGCTGAGTGAAGCATCAGTGGGCTGACGGATGGGAGTAAGGGGTGAAGTGTTAAGACCTCACGTGGTTTAGACACCCTCCTGCCACCCCCACCTACAGGGGGACCTCCGTCCACCTGTAGAGATTAAATGAGAAAAGAACCTTTTCTCTTCATGTCATTTTGCGGGGGCCGGGGGTAGTTGTGTTTGGTTAGGAAACATCCTATTGAAAAATTTCAAAATGAAGAGGGATAGATAATTGAAACGAAACAAGCAACCGGAATGAAAATAAAGTACTATTAGATAACCCTAACCTGAAAAAATCATTTTTTTTAAAGTAATTTTATAGAAACCATTTTTTTTCAGGGAACATACTTCTGTATTTTGTCCTTAAAACCAGACTACAACATTTACATTTTCTGTTTTGACTTCTACTTTGCTATCTCTCTGCTTCTTATTATACTGTCTCCTCCTGCCACCACTTTTCACTTAAAATTAAATCATGTTCGTCAAGGTTTCAGCTCAATTCCCACTTCAAAAAGACATTTCCAATCATCTCATCCTTGTTTCTGTGTTGGCTGAACTACTATATGTTGTTTAAGGTCTCACTGATGGTTATGTTGCTCTGTGAAACTCCTGTGTGTTATTTACTGGTGCACATCTTGTACTGCCCCATCCCTACCGGCTGTCTGGTGAAAGGCGGGACCTCAGCGTATTCTCACTGGCCCCAGGAGGCATTTGGGAACTATGAGAGACAGAGCAGTTTGAAAGGCCTCATATATAATGTCATTAGGTACATTGATATTTTTTGGCTTTATTTTTAAAGGTCATGGTCAAATACTTGTAATAGAACCCAGAAAACACTACTTCAGGTATTTTAGGTTTAGCCTAAGTAATTTACTTAAAGGAAAGAGGAATTTTTTTCATTGAAGAATTAGTAAGTAACACTTTGTTTTCTTTTACGTGGATGAGTCCTGACAACTTAAAAATAGCAACATTTATAATTTGAGCATCCACAGTAGGTGGCCTGTTATAATCTGAAGAAATATTGGTTTTGCCTCATACTTTTCAAAAACTGTATGTTAAAAATAGTCTGGGGCAAAAATATATAAGAATTTTATGTTATGAAAATATGTTTAGGGTTAGGTAAGCATAAAGTTATGGAGGTAGCAATGGACATTGTGTAAATGTTGGTAATGTACAGAAATGACATGATCTAAAATATAAACAGTGGGTACTTGGGTGAAGGGGTGCTTGAGGAGAAAAGGGACTTAAAATAATGCTCATACTGATTTTTACTTTTTGTTGTTTTCCGGATAAAAATTTGAAGAGGAAAAAAAATAGACTGCCATGTTTGTCATTTCTGTTGTTTTGGTTTTGTATATTATTTGTAGTTCCTTTAGTAGGTGATTACTTTGTTATCTTGAGTTATGCTTAAAATGGTATTTTAAAAGAGAGAGAAATCACTTTTCTTTCACTCCTGTGAACTCACCTAAAATGGATTTCTTTGACCCAGCTCTCTTTAAGAGAACCCTTGAGAACAATGTTAATAACCCATAAGCATGTGTTCTAAGATTTGTTTTGAAATTTTAGGAGTTAAAGCCATATTTTATGAAGGAAGTTGGCACTCACTTTGACGATTTTGTGACCAGTCTCATTGAAAAATCAGCATCATTGGACAGTGGTGGATGTGCTCTCACAAGCTTTTCTGTTCTTGAGGGAGAGAACAACTACAGAGCTAAGTAAGTGTGAGTGCGAGTTTCTTTCTCTGCAGGCATCTACTCTAGTACAGCGCGGTGGTCAGGATGCGGATGGCGGTACGAGTGCCTGGGCCCACACCTTGGCGCCCCTTGTCGTCAGCTGTGTGTGGCTTTGGGCAAATTATTTGACCACTGGAAGGGCGACTGTCTTCATCTTAATATATGGATTATAATATACTATATATCATTATATATAATATATTATTAATATATATTAATATATTCTACAATAATTATAATATTAATTATTAATATTATATATTAATATATAGAATATGTTAATATATCTATATTATTGTATGATATGCTATTGATACATATTATAATATATAATATATTAATAAATGTGTTATAAATAATTAACATATTATAAAATGCACATACTTCAGGCTCTGATGGAACTTCGGTGCTTTTCATTTAAACCGAACAGAGACCCTGTGAGGTGGGCACTATAACTCTGCCTATTACAGATGAGGAAACTGAAGCTCAGAGCAGTGCAGTGTTGTCCAGTATTCCACGGCGGGGATTTGAACCCAGAGCCCCCAAGTCCCTGCTCTTCACCACATTGTCACACTGCTTCTCAGTTGCGCTCTATGTAATCGTTGTTATAAAGTGCATTAGTATGCATTCATCTCATTGGTCAGTCATCCAGAGCACGGAGGGAAGGCTGTCGAAGGCCAGTGTGTGCTGATTGGCCATCCTGTGCTTTCCGTGGTTTTATGCTCCTGTGGTCTCTGTCCTGCCTGTGCTGGAGGACAGTTCTAACCAGGCACCATCAACAGAAGTGCCCGTGGTACTGCCGAAGGCCCCAAAGAAGATGACCATGCTAGATGCTAACAGATTTCAGGAGCTGGTGGCAGCCTTTAAGATCGGGAGGTTGTTGGGGATTGTTAGAAGTCCTTTGACATCACAGAGGGTATCATAAATATCAGTGCATTTTTGAGGACAGATCAGTAACTGTGTGTGAACTGGAATACGTATGGCCGGGGGCTTGTCTGTGTGCTTAGGGGGAGAAGCAAGAGTGCGTGTCTGTGTGACGTCAGGACCTCGAGCCCCTTAGTTAGGTGTGCCTCACAGCTCATGCCCCCTCCCCAGACGGGCCTGTGCCCACCTCAGCACTGGTCAGGGGGGCAAATGAAGTGACATGTATAGAATGCTGATCCCAGGGCTTGGCTCCCGGGAGAGGCAGTTCATTAATTCTGCCTGCTGTAGTTGGTGGTAGTCTTTCTCTCATTCTTAGGTTTAAATTTCTTATAACACTTAAAGTACTTAGATTTTGTTTTAATTTTTGCTCTTCCCAGAGATCTGAGAGCACCTCCAGAACATGGAAAGATTTTTGTTTCAAGGCGATCCCTCTTAGAGTAAGTATTTTTAGTGCTTTTGTTAATTATTAGTTTGAATTTAAAAACACTATTCTTTGTTGGAATCACTGCTTTATCTGTGCATGTTTAATTACTTTGTTCTGTCTGTATTCATAGAAATCATTCGTTTCCATACTTCACTGTGTCTCTTGCTCTTTCTTTCTGATCTCCTGACTCTGCAACTAGTTCCCAGGAGCTGTTAGGAATCAGACTGGTTCTCTGTCCTTTGGTAAACTCCTTGAAGTCGTGCTGCAGAGAACTGGTCACCCAAAGCACTAGAACAGAGTTTTCTGTTTAGGTAAACCAGTTCAAGAGAGTTTTGGTGTTGCTGCCTTCTTGTATATTGATTTTTATTTTTTATTTTTTTAAATTCTCACTGGAGGACATGCTTGGGGAGAGGGGAAGGGAGGGTGAAAGAGGGAGAGAAACATTGATTGGTTACCTCTCACATGCACCTCAACCAGATCGGAACCTGCAACATAGGCATGTGCCCTGACCAGGAATTGAATCTGTGGCCTTTTGGTTTATGGGGCGGTGCTGCAACCAACTGAGCCACACCTGCCAGGGCTTGATATATTAATTTTTTAATCTATTCTTTGACTAGCCAGCTTAGAGATTTGATAGTTTTATCAAACTTAGTTATTTTAAACCTTATTGTGTGGGTTTTATAAAAAAAAATCAGGCAATGGAAATTAATTGTGGTGACATCATTTGTGAATTGAAAATGAAAGGTGCACTTTGAATATGTAATTAATATTTCTTCTGTAATGTTCTCTGAGTAATCATTCATTCATTCCATTAGAATACTGCTGTAATTTAACCTGCAATAGTGTGGGTCACCTGAAATAGTTGGCTGGTGACTCTTAAGTGATTAATGTGCTTTTCTTTTAAAATGCGTTGTATGGCTCTGGCTGGTGTAGCTCAGTGGATTGAGTGCCGGCCTGTGAACCAAAGGATCGCTGGTTTGATTCTTAGTCAGGACCCATGCTTGGGTTGCTGGCCAGGTTCTTGGTTGGGGGCATGTAAGAGACAACCATACATCAATGTTTCTCTCCCTCTCTTTCTCCCTCCCTTCCCCTCTCTCTAAAAATAAATGAATAAAATCTTTTTTTTTTTAAAGATAGAAAGTAAAAGCATTTGTATGGACTTATAGGATGGTAGTTGATTATCATCAATATTATATAAATGCAATCTTAACATCTTGGAAATAGATATGGAGTAGAATGTGAGAATAGGATTTTTCAAAAAGTTTTTTAGCATTCAAATAAATGGTTTCTGTGTTCCCAGTTTTCAGTGAATGGCCTTCTGCCTACCTTCGAAAACACAGGCTTCTGGGTAGGTTTTCAAGAGCATGCAAAAGAAGCATTATCATTTTACCAGAAAGAGGCTTGTCCTAAGCTTTTCCATTAAGTTACCATGGTCCTGTCATTGACTGTCTCTACTGTAGATAGATTTACTGTTCTGTGATTACTGTTTGAGAGGTTTTTGGAGGGTGGATTAAGGATCTTCCAGACCTCTTTAAAGTCTTTGATATATAGTGTTTTACAATCAAGTAACAGATTGTTTGTTTTATTTGTTTGAACTACATTTGCAGCGAGCTGTTTGAGGTGGACCACATCAGAACAATATATCACATGTTCATTGCCCTCCTCATTCTCTTCGCCCTCAGCACACTTGTGGTAGATTACATTGACGAGGGAAGGTAAGATAAGAAGGGTGGCTGGCTGGTTGACGCACGGGGTGCTGGGAGTTTTCACTATATGGAAATTTTGGTAGAGGGTGATTGGGTTGAATTTCCTTCAGAAAATTCCAAAGCAGCTGATTTGAGGTTGAGGTTCCTCTCTCGTAAAAAATACAACTAAGAAGAAAATTAGAAGTTTCATTACTTTTATTTTTAAAATGGTCTATTTGAAGAGACTATAATTAGTAGTTTCTAGGCAATTTTCCTAAATGGGAGAATTTTTCTACTATGCTATGCATTTCAGGTTGGTACTAAAAATAAGGAGCTTATTAGAATTTAACATTTCTTTTTAATATAAAAATCAAATTGTAACTATAAAAAATGACAGTGTAGTAATCATACACTGAATTGTATGCTTTATTGGAAAATTAAATTTTGAGGTAATGTTATATTAATAGATTCTTGAATTATACCTCTTTTCTTCTGAAAAATCTTTTGTACCCAACAGTGATTGCTATTTGAATACTTTAAATTTAAATATTAACTTTACCATAGAATATTTTAGAGTTTAAAATGTATTAATGCGAGAATCTAACCTGTGAGAAGTTCAGAGTCTTACTACTTTAGTTACCTTGGGGGTTCCGTGGTCAAAGACTGCATGAGCCTGGGGCTTTGAGAGAGCTGCTCGGAGTGCGCTGGGGAGCGGAGTCTCTCGGGCCGTTTCCGTCCAGCACGACTCCGTGACTTCAGCGCACTCGTGTTGCTGGGTTTCCTACAGTTGGGTTTTGGGCCTGAAAGTTTTGAATTCTATGAGTCAATGCATATTTAAAAAAACGTGCTTTTGTGTCTTTCCTCTGTGCTTTTTCTCCCCAGGCTGGTGCTTGAGTTCAGTCTCATGTCTTACGCTTTTGGCCAGTTTCCTGTTGTCCTGTCCACGTGGTTGGCCATGTTCTTGAGTGTGCTCTCAGTGCCCTATTTCATCTTCCAGCGCTGGGCCAGGGGCTACAGGGAGAGCGCTCACCCCATGGTCCACACCCTCTTCCACGGCTTGCTGTTCGTCGCCTTCCAGTTTGCGGTTCTGGGGTTTGGGCCCACATACGTTGTGTTAGCATATAAGCTGCCCCCCGCCTCCCGCTGCATTGTGATATTCGAGCAGGTGAGGTTCTGCATGTTGCCCAGTGCCATGCTGTGCTCATTAAAACAATTGTTACAGCAACACTAATATTATTATCCTAAGCATGTAATACTGAGGTTCTGTTATTTTTAGTAGTTTCAGTTGGATAAATTCCTGTATCTGGTTCTTTTGCTATTGTCTAAAATTAAAATGTTAAACTAGTTAATCTCATTTCATAAATGTGTTCTAGCTCCAGTGTTCTCTGACTTTGCATAGTCGGAATCATGTTGGACTCTCCTGGATGAGTTCAGATTTTTTTCTTAAATACTTCTCGTGGTACTTACCTGTGCTGTGAAATATTTTTGTAATTAAGAACCCTTTGAAATGTCAGATTCATTGTTTTGTCATATAACTGTTCCCATCTAAAGAACAAATTTATTTTGTTCATGCTCCCCTCAGATTTTCTTGCGTTGGCTGTCATGTGCTGTGTTTGACTGATGGAAAGGACCGTGTCAGGAGACTTTCTTTAAATAGGCTTTTAATTTCTTTATTTTTAATTTTAATAATTAAAATTATTTATTTTTAATATGCCTGTGATAGCACTGTTAGATGCAAAGTAATACGTCAGTATTACATCCTTCTTCAGAGGTTTTTCATTTGCTTTATTCCATAAAAGTGGATTTGAGTTGGCACATGCAATATTAAAACATCCTTTATTTGACTGTAATCTAGAGTTCTGGAGCTGCTTATATGAGAGAAGACAAGGATAGAAAATCATCTTTTTCTCCCTCTCCCCTTCTTTTTTAGATCCGTTTTATAATGAAGGCCCATTCATTTTTCAGAGAAAATGTGCCTCGGGTGCTAAGTTCAGCTAAGGAGAAATCAAGTATGTGGTTCTATTACATCAAAGGATTATTCGTAGGGTATTTCAGCCTTTGGTGTTTCCTGGGATGGCATATTACATTTTGCAGAATTGTGTTTGATTTTAAATACATAGGATCCACATCAGTTTGGAAAACTGTGTCAGTATTTCCTGATTGTTTCTGTTTTGCCTGGGTACCTACTTTTTAGAAACACTGATCAGCAGTCACTTGTAAGTCTGTGTAGTTTTTCTAGAATGATAATATACTCATTATGCCCATGTGTGCTTGTTGCTCTTAGAACTGCTGCTTAAAGCTCTAGGAGTTTTCTGTAAGTCACAGGAATGACTTAGTGTAGAGGGATTGCTCTGTTATTATCAGAATAAGAAGTCCTCATTTGGGGAGGTCATTTTTTTGCTTCCCTGTTCTGGTCTTCCTTGCCTTCCCTTTTTAGTGTTGCTGAGAGCTCCTGACCTAAGCACCGTTTTCCTCCCCAGGCACCGTCCCAGTGCCCACGGTCAACCAGTACCTGTACTTCTTGTTCGCGCCCACCCTCATCTACCGCGACAGCTATCCCAGGTAACGGCACCCCGAGAGGTGCAGGGCTGGGGAGCACCTGAAGGAGCTGTGGTTGGGGGGCGGGGCCGGGGGGGAGAGAGGGGCTGCTCACTGAGGGCTCCAGAGAGCAGAGAGCGCGTTTTCGTTTCCTCGCTGCCTGGGGAGCCCCAAATGGCGATTCCGGCAATCTCACTTGCACACAGTTATTCGTGACAATTATACAAGCATTTTCTATGTCAGAAACAGTGTTCTGTGTGGGAAAATACTGTGAGGATTTTCATTGAAGATCAGTTTTTTACTTTATCTGGAAAACTCACTTTGTTGCTTCCTTTTGTAGGACCCCCACTATAAGATGGGGTTATGTTGTTACGCAGTTTGCACAGGTAAGTTTCCCCCCCACTGCCTAAGGTTGGGTGGTTGGTGGGAGAGGAGGATTTGAGTTCATCACAATAATTTAATGTATTTAAAGTACCGGTAAATGCGTGTCTGTGGGCAGCTTTAGAGCACTTCCTGAAGTTTTAAAATTATTCCCAGTATAGTGAATGGTATTTGCTTTGCCAACATCAAAAACCATTTTCTTCACTAAAAGAATTTCTTTTAATTAAGGTAATTCCATTTGGTTACTTCAGTCGGCATCTACATTAATTTCCCTCTCCCCTCCTGTTTTTATATTTTTGGATATATACGTGGGTGGGTGTGGCCTGACACTCCTCCCCCCAGCTCTTCCCCACCCCTTAGCAAATCACAGAATATTTCATTTCAAATTCTTGTCTCAATCACTACCCACGTATGAGATAAATTCTTTTGTTGTGGATTCATGTAGCAGGAAAAGCAGATTCTAAGAGTCTGATCTTTTAAAAGTGCCGTTTGGTCAAGGTTTGGGAAAGGGGGTGGTGGAAACGAGGCGCGGAGTGATAGCGGAGGGGCGCAGTGCGGCAGCCTTGCGCTGCACCGCTGTCAAGAGAAAATAGATAAACATGAAGGGTCCCGTGTATCTGCTTCTTAAGGGAAATCGCCGGCTTCCCTCATCAGGCCATCGTTCTGATAACCACCCCCGCGCTGTTCCAGGTTTTCGGCTGCTTGTTTTACATGTACTACATCTACGAAAGGCTCTGCGCCCCCTTGTTTCGGAACATCAAGCAGGAGCCCTTCAGCGCTCGTGTTCTGGTCCTCTGTATATTTAACTCCATCTTGCCAGGTAATGTGGGTGCTCTTGAATTTGGCCACTCATTAAACTGCAAGGGAAATGGAAAGCTGTTGTACCTTTGATTTACCTGCTTTTCACTGTAAACTCATCTGCATGTCTGTACCCATTTTGATCTTTCCATAGATGCAGTATATTTCAGTCTTGGGCCCATTTTTTCACTGGTCGTCTGGCTTTCACTCAAGCTGCTTTCTCTGACCAGATAGTGCATATTTGTGCTTTATTTATTTCCCCATCATCTTGCTCCCAGTCCAACCAGGCCACTGAAATAGCCTTTGATAAAATCACTAGGAATTTCCTGGTTCTAAATCCAGCGGGTGCTGTAGCCCCGACCCTGGTCTCCGTGAAGCACTGGCTGTTGTCGACCACGTCTTAAAATCCCCCCTTGCCACTGTTCTTACTCTTCTGCCTCTCCATCTGCACCTCAGTCTTACCACTTCTCCTGACCTGCTTCATCCCCTACTACATTTCAGGTGCTGATGACACAGCCATTACCAGACGTACTCTCTGCTCTCTGGAAGCTGGCGGTCTAAATATATATACCATTTTCTTTACTTTTTTACATTTCTCTACTAATCAAACGTTAGTAATGTTTTCCATGATCACTCACTCTCTGGTTGCTTGCCAAGATTTACTCCAGTAAATTTGTCACCTGTCCCTCTAATAGTGTATATGTCACATACTCGTGTGTCTTCCTCACTAGGCTACAAATTCCGTGAGATCAGGGATTGTGTCTTAACAGCTACTCAGCCAGTCATCACGTATCTCCCATGTTGTCTACTCCATAGCAGATGCTCTATAGCTATTGTTTGAATTAATAAGTGAATGAAAGGGGTGGGCATGCAAACGGGTATTTAACATCACAGTGTAATACATACTACATAAGGAGGATAAACAAAGTGCTGACTAACTTTGTCTCATATTGGAGACGGCACTCGACATTAGTACTGGAGATAAGGAGGCATTCGCCTGGCGGAGAAGTGGTGGAAAGGAGCTCGCAGGTGGTGGGGTGGACGCAGAGGCATGGACTGACTTCAGAATGGCCGAAGTCCGGTTGGGGTGATGTTTGCAACACTGCAAGTGGAGTTGGAGATAAGTACTCTTGTCACGATGGACGTTTAGGCCTGGATAATTCTTTGTTTCGGGGGACTTTGCGCCTTGAGTTGTGACAACCAAAAATGTCTCCAGAGTTGCCAGATGTCCCTGGGGAGGTGGGAGACAGAATCTCCCCCAGTGTTAGACTGGTGTAGAGGAGTGTGTGAGCGCCACATTAGCAAGGGCCTTGGGCATCAAGTTAAGCCATACATCTAGGCATTTCTATGAGAAACAGGCTGGGTCATTTGTCATCCGTAAAACCCATTTGGAAGGAAGTTACTTTATAAAATTAAAATAATTTATGAAGAACACTGTCATCTCTGGAATGGGTAAGCTGGAATAATAGTTTTTATTTTAGCTAAACAGGTGATGACATAATTAACGCCTACGTGGAAAGACTCAATGCTGTCCATTTTATTTTAGGTGTGCTGTCACAGTTACTTGTTTTTTTTTCCTTTTTGCACTGTTGGCTCAATGCCTTTGCTGAGATGTTACGCTTTGGTGACAGAATGTTTTATAAGGTAATATATACTTAAACTCACTTTTCTTTTCATACTTTATTATGTCCTTGTCCCGTATTTGAGCACTGTTGGCTTCTAGCTTTTTAACATGAACATTGTGAAATTCTTTCTTTCCCCCCACGTTTCACCAATACTAAGTTCGCAATTCTGGTATCAGTGTAATTAGTCAAGCCTTCTCTTTTGCCCCAAAGGCCCCCCTCTCACATGGTTTTCCCTGGAGCCTGCATTAGTGATCACCATAGGAAAGCATGTGTCCAGAGGGGTTAAGAGACTTTAATGACTATTTACTCCCTTGAAATAGGCTGTCTGGTGTTGTACGAGTAATTTTAGCAAATTATTCCACTTTAGGTTGTTGAAGGAAGGAAATGACTGTGTCCTCTTTTATATTTGAAAGGCTTTAGTTCTGCTTAAAATAGTATTCTTTACTTCCAAATTTGGAATTAAGCTCTAGACTAGAGCCCAGGTCTAGAGTCTTGTTGGTTTGTTGTGGTTTTGTCGACTCTTTAAGCCTACCACTCCGTTCTCACAGAGAGGGAGCGCCGGGTGTGCGTTTCAGGCATCTGAGTCCATTGTCTCATCTCGAGGTGGGGAGGGAGCAACATACACGGAAAGGAGCACGGGATTTGGGGGCAGCCACCTCCTAGCTCATTCCTGGTACAACTGAAGTTTCCCTGTTCGACACCAGCGGACAGCTCTTTAATGTGAGCCTGCTACCGCGGTCCTTGTGACCTTAGAATTCTCTCGTTGCGCTTTAGCAAGGGAGGGAAGATTTATGGATTGCTATTTAAAGGAACACTAGGTTTAACCATTGTATATGTTCTTTGTCTTCCACTACAACTTGTCTTAATGAGACAAAATGAACCTAGGGAATTCGTCATCTATAGAACTAAAATTTATATCCTACTCAACACTAATAGTCAAAATACCTTTTAAGATTTTTCTGACCTCAGCCCTGGCCGGTGTGGCTCAGTGGATTGAGTGCAGGCTTGCGAACCAAAAGATCGCCTGTTGGATTCCCAGTCAGGGCACATGCCTGGGCTGCGGGCCTGGTCCCCAGTTGGGGGCATGTGAGAAGCGACCAGTTGATGTTTCTCTCTCTCTCTTTCTCCTTCCCTTCTCCTCTCTGAAAATCAAGAAATGAATTTTTTAAAGAAAGTTTTTTTCTGACATCAGTATAGAGACTAACAATTTACCAGAACACACTCTTGGAGATTGCATGCATATGTTCGTTGGGAACATTCAGGGTTTTTTGCTTTGGCTCTGTGTGTGTGTAGTGTATGTGTTGTGCGTGTGTAGTTTTATCGCTTTGCTCTTTCCCTCAGGATTGGTGGAACTCCACGTCCTACGCCAACTACTACAGGACCTGGAACGTGGTGGTGCATGACTGGCTGTACTACTACGCCTACAAGGACTTCCTCTGGGTGAGCAGCGAGGCTTAGCTGATGGTGTTCAAGAACGGAGATTCCGTTCCAAAAAGTGTTGGTCTTGTATGGAATACTAAGACGTTATACTTAATTGTCTTCAGTTCTCTTGTGAGCCCTGCATGTCTAAGAAACCTTCTGCTTTGAACAGTACTGCTTAGACCAGTATGGACACTTGCTGGGTCTCATACCGGCTTTTTGCTCTGAATTTTATTTTATGTAATTAGAAAGTAGGAACGCAAACAAGCATTTGGAGAAGTTGAAATGATCCACCATTTGTGGGTAATTTCTTATGAATCTCACTGCTAACAAATCATTTCCCTCTAGCTTTTTCTTTCTTCCTTTTTTTTTTTGGCCTGTTAAAAGTGGAGAAATACCTCTGTTTGGATTTATATCTCTCCAGTTGGTCGTGGGGTGGGGGTAGGGGTTCTTTGTGACACTCCCAGAGCAGAATGCATTTGAAGTGATGAAGTGTGGTGTTGAGTCTCGTGGTTGATTAACACCAGTGTCTCCGGATTATTGGCAAGTGATTGCGTGTATTTGCGTGTTCTTTCATTTATATATTTAGTTTCACTGTGGACAAGGCAAGTCTCTAAATCTTAGTTTTGTTCCCTGTAAAAATGGAGAGGACGCCTGCCCTGTGTACCACACTGCGTGATGCTAAGGTTGAGGCTTGATGTGTCTGTTATTGTACAGAAACTGTGCTTTGTCAATCAGAGTGACTTATAAGTTACTAATATTTTTAAAAGTATGCCCAGATCTTTTTTTTATCAATAATCATTTTGAAAATGGCTCATTTTAGTAAAATCAGGATTTTAAGCATAGATGTTTCTGTAATTAATATACATTTGGATTATAGATTGGAAAATCACATATAAATATCGTTAAATAGATAGCTTTAGCATGTGGTAATCATAAATCTTATGTAGTTCATGTGTAATTATTGCCTTTTTAAAAACTACTGTCTACAGACTATATTTTCAGGGATCGTTTCTATAGTTTGCTGCCAGAGAGGTGTCTCTGAATGCGCAGAGCACCCAAACCCATGAGGAGGAGGCGGAGCCTTTTCTCCCGAGTGTGAAGACGGCTTCTGGTTGCTCTTGCAACTGCTGATGGCCACTGATGATTGTTCTTCTCTTCCTTTGGGGGAGGAGGGGGGCGAGGGTGCAGCCTGTGTGGTATGTATAAACAAACAAACAAACAAACAAACAAACTGCTGTCTGATGTTTTCCTTTACCCCAGTTATTCAGTAAGAGATTCAAGTCTGCTGCCATGTTAGCTGTCTTTGCCGTGTCTGCTGTGGTGCACGAATATATTCTGGCTGTCTGCTTGAACTTCTTCTACCCAGTGCTCTTTGTGCTCTTCATGTTCTTCGGAAGTAAGTGCCGTGGCATGCCATGAGAGCCGAGTGTGATGCCAGGGAAGGAGTTCACCAAATAAAGTGTAAAATCAGTGTAGAAAACTCAGTGTCAGCAGTAATACCATCTCAAGGCAGTGTCTGCGTACCAGAGGGTAAGAACATTGGCTTTGAGTAATTCTACACAACTCTGGTTCAAGATGCTTACATTTTGAAGCAGAGAAGTGAACTAAGTAACGTCTTGAAGACTGTCGGTACCACTGATTCAGTAGGTCACAAAAACTGTGAAAAATAGCTTCCTTATTCTTCAACTTTGTCATTGTCCACTGCTGAAAAAAACGGACCCTTTTTTGGGTGGGCGGGGAGGGACAAGTTAGAATATGGTGAGCCCCTGAAATATGTTTTCATCTGTTCTAAGTACTGTCTGATTCCACTGAGTAACTGATTGAAAAACTTCAACCCTGAAGCTTCATTTTTACTTATAGGACCAGTGGCCAGAATAAACCACATATGTACACAGGCGATGCTCACTGTGATAGGCAGACGATTACAGCAGATATCTGAGGCTGCTTATAGACTGTTGGGATAAATGTGTTTTTGTTATCTTCTTAACTTCAGTGACGTTCAACTTCATCGCCAACGATAGCCGGAAAAGGCCGATTTGGAACGTCATGATGTGGACGTCCCTTTTTGCGGGCCAGGGAGTCCTCCTGTGCTCTTATTCTCAAGAGTGGTATGCGCGTCAGCACTGTCCTCTGAAAAACGTGAGTCACCAGTCAGGCTGGAGGGGACAAGAGACAGGTTCGCGCCGACAGTTAGGGTTGGAGGGCCGTCTTACGGGGAAGGAGAGCAGTGGAGGTGGTGATGAGTTAATGTTAGCGGGGAGAGAAGCATTAGCTTGTTACCTGACCTTCCTGCATTGTCCTTGGAAGTTTTCTTTGCTTTTCTTCACTTTGAACTCTCCTGTTTCTTAGTTCTCTTGTTCTTTTTCTTTTCCCTTCTCTTTCACTACATTTTCTTTAGCTCCTTCCATTTTTCTTCCTGTGTCCTAAAACAGGGTTTTCCCACCACACACGCTCCTAAACAAACATTTCTTTGTACCCCTTCCTTTTCAAACTATTAACTCTTTGTAAAAATGTCCAGCTATACTCATATGCCTAGGATCCCACTTCCCTTGATTCTTCTGTTGTTTTATTTTTCTTGATTATGTAAGAGTCCCATTCTTAGAGCTTTAGCTTCTAGCTGCATGTGGATAACTCCCAAATATTTACGGGTGCCTTCTTTACCCATCTCTCTGGGTATTGCTCACGGGCATCTAAAACTGAGCAGTCACATTAATCTGTTTCTTTGGCAAAGCTTCTACTGTCTACACTGTTTTTGTTATGCTGCCTGCATGCGCTCTCCTTATTTCCTGTCGGTCCCCTGTGTGCATTTGAACTAACTGCTCTAGACTACGAGAAGCAGAGGTATGCTAAAAATGAAACACAAGATGGGTAAAGAGGCAATGCCTGTTTGAAACCGGGTCAGAAGTGCAATTGTGTAGGGTTTGCTGGACTTCAAAATCTTCGTGTAGAGCTTCTAAATCAAATCTGTGCTGTAGGTAAAGATGATGAACGTCTTGGGAATTATGGAGCTGCTTGTAACTTGAAGGTTGCTGAGGTTATGGGAGGCTTTTTCAGAGTGCAGAGCAGGCAGCAGTAATGCCCCTCCCTCCCGCCTCTCACACACACACAGTGCACACAAGTAAACTGTGTTTTTGTTTTCCTCGAAGCCAACATTTTTGGATTACATCCGGCCACGCTCCTGGACTTGCCGTTACGAATTTTAGAAGCTTGGACTTGGTTCATTCCTTGACACCGAAGGTCGGATATTCTGCCTGATTTGGGGCCAGCGTCTCTTTCCAGCGGCTCCCGAGGAAGTGCTTTGTTATTTGGGCCACTCCAGCCTTGACGGATGGCTCGCTCCGTTCCTGCGTCATCTGAAGCTGAGCTGTTGGACGCTTACTGGAACTGTGTACACTTAAGCAGTACTTTGGGGGGTTGGGGGAGAAGGGAGCCTTATAACTAACGTGATGACAGATTTTTGCTGGGTCTTATTAGCTTAAGCCTCAGAAATGATATCTGTGTTGTTTCGTGACTATCTAATTAGAGACTAAACATCATGTTTTCTTGGCCGCTGAATTAGCCAAAACACTTATGAAGAAATCATTGAAATACCTCTGGCTTAGAAATTTTTTCATGCACACTGTTAGAATGCATGTTGTTTAAGCATGCAATTGGGAAAGAAGAGAAAATTTGGAACGTTTTGCTATTTCCAGTAGAAAGAGAGAAAATACCTACTTTCTAAAGATAATCTTATTATACATCCTATTTTTTTTTTTTTTTTTTTGAGTTTGGCTCTATCCCAGTCTTCTTTTCACTAAACAGTGTAGGTCATGGTTTCTGTGAAGCAAACTTTTACCTTTCACCTCAAATTCTCTTCGATTTCATGATAGTTATACCTTGACGTGAGCAGAAGTAGGAAGGGAAAGAGAAAGAAGGCACAGGACAAAAAAAATGTCTTTTTATAACTTTAAAAGTAATTTTTAGAAAAGACTTGCGGAGCCAATCATGTGTTTAAATTCATCACAGAACTTAGGTGGAAAATAATTTTTAAAAACTAAAAGGTCATAACTTTAAAGTTATTTAGAAATATCCTTTGGTACAGTTATTTCATTGTCTAATTAATACTGACTTGAATTATTTTGCAGGCTAGTCAGTCTGTAACAGAAGTATTAATCGCCTCCATTAATATTATATTGATTATTAAAGATCCAGAAGCTGGCTTCTGTATTTGCTCAATTATTATACTTTTAATGGTAGTAGGGTGTAGGTGAAACAAATTATACTGTGTGATCATTTCCAAGAACATGTGTTCTATTGTCTGGTGTTCCCGTGTTATGAGACAGATACCCATTGCTAATACTGAGTGGTGTGGCAGGATGATTTTGTGTGTGTCTGAGGTGTGGTTTTGTCAGTAAAGACTGAGCATTGCAAAGAATATCAGAGACCTTGTATGTGGTTCAACTCTCCACCCAAAGAAGTAAGACTTACAGATTATTCAAGAGACGATCGTTCACTGGAGCAGCCAGTTTGGCGGGCTCTCCTGGTATTCTAGCAGGCCTACTGCTGACCAGAAACTTTTGGAAGTCTTTTCCGAGTTATTTCAGAGATAGTTGGAGTCTCACAAGAAGTTAAGAAGAGTTTCTTAATAGTCACAACTTAATTTGTACTCCAAGTAACCCACTTCAGTCACCTATTTTATTCCCAGTGCCTTTGGTCCAAATGAAATTAGGCAGTTTTTAAACATCAAATCCAATTTGAATAGATGAAAGTGTACCTCAAAGGAGGTTATCTTTGAGCAGGTTCCACTAAGTGTCTGGCGAGTAGTCTTGTGATTGTTATGGAAGCATAACCCCCAAACAAGACTGCTTTAGTATTGCTTCTGATTTCTGGTGATTTGATTAACAATTAAAATGAGTCAACCACTGAAATTTATAACTGCATTTAAATTGTAATGAGGGAGCTGAGAAAACGAGGTCGGTGGAAGACTTGGGTGTGAATGAGCCAGTGCACCGAGCGAGAGAACGGGATTCTTCCGTCTGTGTCTGTGTGAAGCACAGCGGAGTCCATGCAGCAGCTCACTCACTGAGCGGGCTGGTCGCGCCCGACTGACTCCGAACACTGTGTTTGTTGGGCTGGTCGCGGCTATTTAAAAAAAAACAAAAACACAAAAACTTGTTTTCCTTTTGTGTATTAGTGGTTTTTTTTTTCTGCTCAAAACCTCCAGAAAGATTTTTATGTGACAGATAATAATTGTATAATCAGAGACTCTTTAGAATGATAAGACTTCCCCAAGAAACTTTCAGGAACACTCAAAGGAACAGCCACCTTGTGGGAAAGAAACTAGTCTGGTAGCTGTGGTCTTATCATTAGCTGCTTTTAGCAGAAGTCTTTAAACAAAGAAATTAAAACTACTTACTAGTGTATTTTGGGACGATTTATTGTCTCCCACCCCCCCACCCTGCTAAAATTATTTTCAGTTACTGGATGATACCTTTTTCCTTTGAAAAGTAGTAAGTTTAAATTTTCTTTCCTGTGAGAAATATTAAGGATAGTAACTATTTTTAGAGTGTTATCCAAGAGAACAACTAAGATCTCTGATTTTGCCATAAATTTGTTAGATGTTTTTATTCTCAAGGAAAAGGAGAATAAAATTATTAGTGAAGGAAAATGGAATTTTTTTGGTTTTTGGTGGATTCATCTACTGTGATTGCCTCATGTTAGAATTTAATTAGAAAACTAAGGCTGTTTTTAACCTGTTGGTAACCACAACATTTGAAAGCAAAAGGAGTGAGGAAATTATTTTTCCTTGTTTAATTGTTGCAGGGTAAAAGAGGACGACCTTAGCAGGTTCAAGTGCAGTGAGTAAATGTCCTATGTTTGCAAACAGATTATGTTGTAGAATTGACTCATTTAGTATAGGCAATTTTAATCATAATACCAAAATCATATTGCCTGGAAAATTGAATCCTGAAGTCTTATAGAAAACATAATAGAAATACCATGTGTTCATGTGAGTTATGTAACCTAAAAAGATACCATTTATGAATTGTTGTTGAAGTCTTTTATGCAAGGAGATAACCTTTGTTTTGTGTGGTCATAAGTAATTCTGAGTAAAGGTCATTATTTTGTGTGATGAAAAGAAATGAAGGTAAACACATGTAACTGTACAAGCCCAGTGGTCTAAACAATTAAAAGAAAATTGTCACACTTCAGCCGCTCCCGGTCCAGGTGGAGATGGGGGTGCTGGAGCCCGCTGTGTTTGTGTACCCGTTTTCCCCTTCCCCCCACCAGAAAACCAGTGGGTGCGGGGAGAAGAGAGTACACCCAGGCTTTTGTGTAGGGCAGCCCCATACTGCCTAGTATGTGCCCTTGAGTGAAGTTGCTTTCATTGACCAGAGCCACAGCTTTCCTCATCTGCAAAATGGAATAATAACTACCTCACAGGGTTGTTGCAAAGTGCAAGCCCTGGCAGAAATAGGGCCTCATTATTTTCTTATCCTCCATAAATTTTAAACCTAAACCCTATGATCTCATTGGAATCCTTTTAAAAAAGTGAATGTTTCACCCTGGCAGGTGTGGCTTATTGGACTGAGCCCCGGCCTGTGAATCAAAGGGTCTCTGGTTGGATTCCCAGTCAGGGCACATGCCTGGGTTGTGGGCCAGGTCCCCAGTAGGGGGTGCTTGAGAGGCAACCACATATTGATGTTTTCTTCTCTTTCTCCTTCCCTTCCCCTCTATAAAAATAGATAATCTTTAAAAGACAATGCATGTTTCAAATACTGCAAACTTGCAAAAATATGTGCTGTGCTTTGCAGACTCTCAGGGTGATGTGAATTGGTATTGCACCCTGACTGAGGTAATAGGCTCTCTGTAATGGAACTGACAAGAATTGCATGAGCTTGTTAAAGGCTCTCAGCGATGTTTCCACCTGTCCAGTGTCTCTCCCAGTTCACTGCCCAGCGTTAGGGTAGGGTCCCAAGCCTGTATAAAGAAGGCATTTCTGCTCGTACCTAGTCAAGTGTTTAGAACTAGTATGTATACGTTTTACTTAAGTTTTAGAATTTATGGAGAGGAGAGAAACAAACCAGGCCTTATTTCTGCCAATTTAAAGAATGTGTGTGGTCTTGGAAGGCAGAAGAAATTTCTTAATGGAGGATAGTTCATATTAAGTGATTTGCTTACTAATCTGCAAAACTTCATGTAGCTTATGTAGTTTATATCATACGGTTTATATGTATATATGGTCTATATATATACACCATTGAAGAACTGTCTTGGACACCGTTTTGTGAATCTTACCTCTAGGCTTTATGTTTATGGCTCAGAAATCGAAGGAATGGGGACATGCTTTGAGGAGTGGTATACCAAAGCTTATGTGAGTTATTTGTGAAGCTTATACATTTGGTTAGCTTCCGACATCACTAAAGCTTATGTAGTGCTTGGAACCCAGTTTATAAAGGACGTGAAACGTCTGCACGGCTACTGTGGTTGAAACAGGGAGAGTGGAGCCGTTCTTGCTGGGTTAGTCCATCCCCTTCCCCACTCAGAGTTCAGTGCCCAGGAATCAGTAAGTGGTAAAATTGATAGGCCAGTAGGAAAGCTGTGCAGTCTGTTTAACCTACTAAATCCTTAATATTAAGTTTAATTTTTTCCCTGTGAAATACAGACTTGAATAGCTACTTTGGATTTGAGGAAAAGAAAGGGTTAATTCCAGAAGTAATAAAAGTTAAAAAAAAAAGTACAGCTGCCTCTCTACTCCTTTTTTCTAAATGCTCTCTTCTTTATTTCTACATCGTTACATTTACATTTCTTCAAACAACACGCCCTTTGAGCTAACAGATACTTCCCTGTGCTTCCCGCTGTTCTTTTGTTTGTTTTAATGAAGCGGTAGGTGTACTTTCTCTTTGTCTGAAATAGCTTTGCAACACAAGGCAGTTCCGGCACCCGGCTGTGTGGGGATGCAGTTTGAGTTCCTGCGTGTCAGGGGCCAGGGCTTGGGTGGGAGGAGAGCTGGAGCCCCCGCGAGGCCCTGCCGCGTGTGCCGGCCAGGCAGCTCCTTCCTGCGTCCGTCCGTCCCCAGCTTGCTTGTGCGTTCAGTCCGCAGTGCTCTGAGAAAGCAGAGGGGTCAGCAGAATCAGACGGTGGCTTAAAGGTTTTTCTATAACTAGAGATGTTTTTTCTGATTTTTGTTTTCTCATTTTCCTGAATTTCTTTTTCCTCCTCCCCTCCAGACCCTGTGTATCTCGTCACTGGTGCCGTCACTTTGTGTATACTGAGTCCGGCACAAATAACGCCCCTCTTTTTTATCACAAGATCTTTTATTACAAAATCACAAGCACGTAATTCTGTAACATAACAATATCACACTCAAACCCACTGTATGGCGTTCTAGGTGAAATGTTCAAATTAAAACGATAAGTTCCCACACCCATGTTACTACGCTGCCAACCACGCTCATGCAGGCGTTACTTCTGCCAGACCTTGTACCGTGCATTGTATTCACATTACCTGAAAGTGTTTAAGCTTTAAAAGGTACACATACACAAGAAGGCAAAATACTGCATATGTGAAGAGAGTGGGAAATAAATAGATTTGGGGGAAAAAAACTGTTTTGTTTTAAAAGTAACTTCAAGTGTATTCAATGTTAACTCTGTATTTATGTTGACTGTATATTGCATGTTCACCAATGCATTTCGTCTAGTATCAGGCGGTTTATATGCCAAAAGTAGCCAGAGAGAAGGCAAGTAACAGACCTTTCTTACCCAGGGTAATGGAGAGCAGTGTTACAGATTACAGAGAGGTGACAGGCCCTACTTGTGACTTGACCTGCGCCAAGAAAAGCCGTGACCCCGACTCCCGGGCTTCCTCTTCATACTGGTCATTGTTTGTGGCTCTGTTCCTTTTGTCGCTGGCCTTTTCAAACTCGTGAAGGGGTATTTCTAGAAATGCACTGCCTACCCCCCTCTAATGGATAGAAATGGTCTTAGGTTTCTAATAAAAGGTGAAAATATGTTGGCTGGGAAGTGTGCCTTTATTTTTTTTTCAATCCTCACTCAAGGATATATATTTACTGACTTTTAGAGGAAGGGATTCAGACAGACAGACAGACAGACACATGGATATGGGAGAGAAACATTGATCAGTTGCCTCCCATAAGCACCCTGATCAGAGATTGAACCCACAACCTAGGTATGTGCCCTGCCCAGGAATTAAACCTGCAACATTTTGGTGCATGGGACGATGCTCCAACCAGCGGAGCTACCTGGGCACCGTGGAAGTGTGCCTTTGCAGACAAGGCTTGGGGAAACTGACTTTGAAGCAAGAGAAATTGCTTCATTTCCCTCCAGAGAATCTCATAATAGGAATGTGATATGAGTAGGATTTGACATTGTAACATTCTGTTCATAGAAACATGTACTGTCCTCTCTTCCTATCTGGGGGGGACTGGTTCTAGGATCCCCCGTGGATACCAAATCCTCAGGTGCTCGAGTCCCTTATATAAAATGGCATGTTTGCATATAACCTGCACATCCTACTGTATAATTTAACCTCTGGATTATTTATAGTCTGTAATATAATGTAAATGGTATACCGTATTGTTTAGAGAACAGTGACAAAAAAGTCTGAGCATGTTCAGGAGATGCAAACATCATAGGCCTAACTACATAGTACTGTAGTACTATGGTAACTACATAGTAGATGTCAGCGGCGATCTACATTTTTTTTCAGTTGTCCATCTGCAGTCGATTGAATCTGCAGGTGCGGGACCTGTGGACTTGGAGGACCCACTGTATGTCGGTAACAGCCAAGAAAGTACTCACACACCTGCCTCTGCAGAGGAGTGGGAAGGGGAAGTCCCCTCAGAAATAGGACATGCCCCTCCTTGATGAATTTACTAAAGTTCAGGGTCATGCCTTTTTAGGCTCAGCTTGCATTTGGACCCAGATTAACTAGATTCATGGATCTGATGGAAGCAGGAGAATGCCATTTTGTAAATATACCACGAGAAATTGCACACGGCGTGGTAGTAGGTTGGCGTGTGTGGTCTCTGCAGAAGCCCTACTTACTGTGTGATGAGGAAGCTGAAGTTATTCTAGACTCTAGACTATTAACACTGCCAAGTACTGTGCTGTATACTGAAGATACACTTGTGAACAAGACAAAAGCATATTACTTCTTGCAGGCACACCCCTGTGGAATTGGGGGGTACTCGGTGAGTTGAACACTGGCTGGAAACTAAGACGGTCGGTGGAATCGTTTCAGGTCTAGTGATGCCCTTGTGTGGAAGCAGCAGTAGGACCTACTCTGCCCTGGGAAGTGTTAGGCTGAGCGGTGCCTCGACTTCTCCGTGTCTCTTTGAAAACATCTGTCATTAATACCTTCATGTCTTAGTCACATTGGAAAATTCTGCCTACTTCCCACTCGGACCCCTTCAGGGGGCGTTGCGTGCCGTGATTAGGTGCCCACAGAGGTGTGTGTGAGTCCTCCCCATACACTTGGAAGATGAGTTGGTAGAAAAGAGATTGCTGTACAAGCACACCCACCGTTCCTTGTGTTTTCCTCAGTTCGGGGCATGTTTGGGGGTCACACTCTCTGCTGAGAAAATGGTCACGCCCTGGACGACCCTGCTGCTGAGCTGGTGTTAAGCTGCCAGAGAAGTCAGCCGACACCAACATGCAAACTAGCCCCATGGATAACTATGACTCTTACATGTCTGGACATTTCCATTTAGGAGAATTATTACCTGCTTGTCTTGCATTTTATCTTCCTCTAGTGTTCTCCATATGATTCAAAATTAAGAGAAGAGTTTACATTGTATTCTTCAATAGCAGTGGTCTTAGTGTAACAATACGTTCTCATCTGTTGTGCTTATTACTTTATGTACTTCTGCAACTTTAACCCAGACCTTTGGTTAGGAAAGAATGTATAATCACACCATTGCACAGGCTAGAAGATGAAAAGTAACCTTTGATGTATTTTACTTCCAGATCCAATCACTTAATCCTGTTAACTTTATTGTGTATTTCCTGAATCTGATCACTTATCTCCATCTCTTCTATCAATGCCCTACTTAGATTTTTTTTAAAAGGTTAAGATTATGCAAGATGAGTTACTTTTTTCTTCCATTACCTAAATGCTTGATAAGCCATGTATAAACTGATGTTGGAGTTTTGGGACCTCTGAAGTTCACTATCATGGTTATGATTCCAAACTCTCGAGTCACTCCACCAGCGAAGCATGAGGAAGGCAAATACACTTGGGAGAAAGTGACCTTCCACCTGCTTGTGCATTGCATCACGGATCTTGATGGTTGCCAGTCCTTAAAGGTGAACTATATGTGTGTATTTTAATCCTTGGAAAATCTAGAGAGAAATTAGGGTGATGAGATAGGGGTAAAGGCTAAAATGCTGACATCCAAGGTGTGTGACTAGGAGAATTAAAAGGGTCTTTGGGGATTTTTTAAAAACCCTCACGGAGGATATCTTTATTAGAGAGAGAGGAAGGGGGAGGGAGAAAGCGAACCTGGTGTGGGAGAAACAATTGCCTCCTACAAGCGACCCACAAGCCACGGGATGGAACCGGCAACCCTTGGTGTACAGGACTGGGCTCCAATTAACTGAGCCATCTGGTCAGAGCTTGGAGATTGTTTCTATTTCCAACATTTTGCTTATATTTCTCATTGCTATTATTCTGGAAACCAGAAACCAGAGGTTTACGCCTATCAGCGTAGAAGCCGCTGGGATTACACCAGCATTATTTGGCATTACGGCCCGTCTCATACAAAATGATCCGAGGTGGCGTTATGGGGCAGGGTCTCAAATCCAAAGTGCAAATGCGTTATCGCATTCTTTTTGAGAACAGATTTTTAAGCAAGAACACCCAAGGATTTTACTTAGGTTGGCTCTGCCTAAAGTGCAATATCCTCCTCTGTCTCCAGCCATTAAAAAAAATAAATAAACCCCAACCAAGGAATGGCTTCCACGTGTTCGGGAAGGCGGTGCTGTGTCCAAAGACGACTTGATCGAGACGCGTCAAAGGACAAGGCAACATCCACAATAAAGCCTCAACCGATGGCAACTGAAGAGTGTTTAATTACCCCATTTGCCCGAGAATTTGGCTTTTAGAAAGATACGCAAAACAGGGAAAACGAGTGAGAGAAACTCTCATGGGGCGCTTGCTCAAGTCCCCCAGCGCCTTCCTTCGTGAGCCCCACGGGTCGTCCCGAGGGAGTGGGAGGGGCACATGGGCCGCCGGCAGCGCGTGCGCACTGTCGCCAGCCTGCGGGCGGAAGCCCCGAGCTCGAGACACTTTCAGGCTCCGTGAGGACAGCCCGTTTAAACATTTTTATTCTCTATTACTACTGAACCTTTAAAACGCACCGAGACCCCGAGAGACTGTTGGGGTTTTTCTCAGTCATCTCCCTTTCCTGCAGGCACCGCCGAAGGCAGTCCCCATTGAGAGCAGCTAAGGCTCAGGGTCCTGGGTTGCCATGACGACACTTAAGCGTTCCAAGAAAATGAGAGGCACAAGAAGTCTGGCGGGAAACATAACCTGCAGTACGGGTTGCAAGTGTCCATTTCTCATCACTTCTTAGGCACAAACGGTGCGACCGGTGCCTATCCCGAGTCTGTGCAGCTGGCGTGCCAGGGCGCTACGTGTGGGGGAGGCCGGAGACTGAGCCGACCGGTGCTGGCGTCGGTGGGTGGCCCAGGGTGCCTTTCGTGGGCTGGGTGCAGACCCTGACACACCCACAGGCTTCTTAGTCAGGTCAGATGACTCCTGGGAACGCAGAAATCTCCCCGAAGAAGGAAAACCCATGCAGGATGAATTGTCCACTCCGATATTTAACCATAAGCTCCTAATACGTCTCTCTCCCTCTCTCCCTCTCCCTCCCTCTCCCTCCCTCTCCCTCCCTCTCCCTCCCTCTCCCTCCCTCTCCCTCTCTCCCTCTCTCCCTCTCCCACCCCTCCCTCTCTCCCTCTCCCTCTCTCTCTCTCCAACCTGCCCAACGTGTTGCTGATTTGTTTCTAGGTTAATTTTCCGGAAGGCTATTTCAAATTACTAAAGAGAGTGATTGGAGGCATTGTTTATTATGGCTTACCCGAAAACACCCTCCACGTCGTTCGAGGGCAAAAAGTTAGTCTCTGCATCCAAGGAAGAGACAGGTAAAGTTCTTCGAGGGTCTGCGGACATAAATAATCATGGCTATAGAGAGAAACCATGATCCATCCACCGTTTTCCTTAATCTGAGATTTAGGAAACGTTAATTAGCTTCGTTTTCCCAATACACTCGTAATAAGCCGGGGTTTTGTTTGTTTGTTTGTTTGTTTTTTACAGTATTTTTGAGTCAGATCCCTGTTTCACCACGCCACCTATGGACTACTGTGTGATTTTTTTCAAAGGCTGATGATGTTCTATTGTTTAAATGCACCCTATTTTACATGCCAATAGTTGTTTGAAATTACTTTTTTGGTACCTAGTAAGGAATCAGTTTGTATAAGGTTTCCATGATTATTTTAAATGATAGTAATACCTTATTTAAGATTTTCATTCATACGCAGATAAATGTAGATCCGTACTTAGGAAAGAATCAGCTAGACTCAACCCTACCCCCATCATATTCAAGTTTCCTCCAACTCACCAATATCTTGTTTTTAGGAGAGACTGTGCTAGAAAGTCCCACTTAAATCTTTTTTTTTTTCCTATTTTCTATTTCCTCTGATACTCTGATTCCACACCAAATTTTCAAGAAATAGACATTTGGTAATGTGAACTTGAGAGGTTTTGATGGTGATCAAAGCGTATACCTCCTTATGGGTATTGACATAAGCTATACTCAGGGCGGAGCAGAGATTAGCAGAGTTCTTTAGGAGCGACCACCCCATTCTCGGTGACTGACTTCATGGGAGACCTTTTCCTGTATTGCCCGGCCTTTACATCTTCTCTGACCTCGTCAAGCCGCGTAGAACATTCTATGTACTATTCTTACTCGACGGATTTCCTCAGATTGTTCCACTCTTCATTTCCAACAACCCCAATTCGACTTTTACTTTTAAGCCCAAAGCAGATCCCTTTCACTCTCTGAGTGCCCCAATTTAATGCAATTATTCTCGCTGTTGAACTTCTATAGAAAAAAATATTAAATTGACGGTTTTGAGAACAGGAGGTTTCTTTTGTCATGTCACATGACAGGGAAAATAGGCATTCCCATCATCTTAAGGCTATCGCAGGAACTGAGCAAGTGAACTGAATTTATTTTTCAACTTTCAATTTGGAATAATGGGAGTTCATTTTTGTACATGAGTGTGTGAACCTGTGTCTGATGGAAGTGTAAGTAGGGCGGGCAGTATGAGTGACAGTGGTCGGTATTTTAAATATTCTTAATATTCTTGGCCACCAGAAGCGTATAAATGTTAGAAACATTTAAAACGTATGTTAGAAACACATAAATGGGATCGATGAGGCAGCCTGGGAATCTCCAGCTACCTCCAAAAAACCACATTACTTTCTTTCCCATTACTTTCTTAGGACTTCCTGAGCTAAAGGAGAAAAAAAATATGGTGGATTGTTCAAAGCCCCTTCCTACGTCCCTTCAGAATGAGTTCATCCCGGAAGAAGTTCTCCTTTCTCTGACCTACACAGCCAGCGCCGGTCCTTGTCCTGAAAACTTACTGCCTCCGAAGAAACTTAAGACCCCAAAGGTGTGCATATACAGTGCTTAGGAATACTCCTCTTTTTGGTATCCAGTTCAGTAAATATTTATTGAGCATATGTTATATATTCCAGATTGTCTTAAAAAGTGTTTTTAAATTAATTTCCTGTATTGAAAATTAAATTCTTCTGCATGGATGTTTCCAAGGAAATACTTGAGTATTTTCATTAACTTGTTTTTATGTGATTTACCTAAATGATCACTACTACTCTTAGTCTTGATATTTTCCTTTCATGTGCAATAGTTCTAGTTTTAACCTTTTTCAATGTTATGGAATAAGAATTTTGCTCTCTCTTTTTTTCTGTAGAATAGACAAATGCCCTTAATGTAACTAAATACTCAAAATGACTAAGATTTTATTTGACTAGTGTGCCCTCTGCTGTGTGCTATTCAATTTTTTTTTTTTTCTTTCCTGTTTTCTGTTTGCTGTTCACCAGGGCACCCTTCCACGTCCGGTTGATCACGTCTGGCATCACCCCATTCGAAGGAATAAATTCAAATATCTGATTGACCACCCCGTTTCACTAACGGGCGCTGGAAGGTAAAGAAGGAAGACAGCAGGGGCGGATTCAGATGGTCACTTTCTCCTTTCGGATGATTTCCTTGGGAGGGGCACAGTGGACAAAATCGGAATCACAAGTTTTAAAGCGCGCAGGCGCAGTATCTTTGATGGATCACAGTACGGTCTGAGGAGGGGCCAGCTTATCAGTAGGATGACAGCAGGTGCTGGCTGTACTTACTTTTAGTTTGTTCCCGCTTTCTTTTTTGCATGCCTTTCTGTACTTGTCCCCTTACTAGCCTGTTCCTTTGTACCCTAGTAAAAGGGACAAGATCAAAGGGACAGGCAGAATGCCTCTAGTGCCTCTTTTATTTGTATGTCTGAGAAATGCTGGGTGAGAAATGCTGGGTGACGTAGCTTCAAGGTGTGGAAAGCCTTGAAAAACAAGTGCTGAGTCTCTGGTTTTCCTCAAAGTCAACCCTCGACCTTTACACTGTTTCAGATCAAATCCGTAAATCCTATGTGTTGTCTTTGGCTCATTCCTAAAAATATTCTAAATGTCAACACCTTCCTGTGGAAATTTGTGACCTTCTCATTTTCTACGTATGGTCCGTTTATCAACTGAGTGCTTCTTACTGAAATACCACTTCATCTGAAAGAAATGTTGGAGTTTACTAGCACTTAGACGGGTTTTGTAGTCCCTCTGGGTTGCGTTTTCTCAGCTATAAGATGATAACAATAGACGTGCTCCATTTCGTGTACCTCCCGGGGATCTAGAACAAACAAATGAAGTAATGAATGGAAGAGCACTTGTAAAACCACACAGGGCTGTTTAAATATACGGTGTTACTACTCAGCTATATCAGTGCTAGAAAAAGTGGCAGGAAACTGGGCCATTGACTTTTGAGTCCTGGGGCCCAAGTGTCATAAAGTATCTAAATTTTATGCCTTTGGATCATGGCCATCGTTATTAATAGAAACAGTAGTTATGAGATATTTAAAGTGCTTTGAAAAAATAATGAGCTCTCGTGGAATGTGGCTGATAACCGACATAAAAGCTTTGATGTCCATCAAATGACTTCTGACTGGGGGTCTGTAAATGCGGAGATCGTACTGTGGCAGGCACGATAATGGCCTCCCCCTGGATGTTCTCACTGTGACCCTTGGACCCTCACATGGCAAAAGGGACTCGCAGATGTGGTTAAGTTTAAGGACCTTGAGAGATGGGAAGATTATCCTGGATTATCAGGATGGGCCCGAACTGAATGCCCGAGTCTGTAGACGTAGAGAAGGAAGGCGTTTGCACTGGTTGGAGGGATGAGACAGAAGAAGGAGCACAGATTCCAAGTGTGAGAAGCATGCAGCCTGCCCTTGCTGGCTCCGAAGACGGAGGAAGCGAGAGAACAAACTAAGAATCACCATTGGCTACTGGAAGCCGGGGGTGGCCCTCAGCTGACAACCATCCGGGAAACAGGGATCTCAGTCCTAGAACCACAAGGAACTGAATTCTCTTAACCACCCAAATGACCACAGAAAGGAATGCTCCTTCAGAGCATCCAGAAAGGGCGTGGCCCTTTTAAGACCTTGATTTTATCCCAGTGTTGCCGGTGTTGAACTATAAACCTGTGGAATTATAAGATAATAAATTGGTGGTGTTTAAGCTGCTAAATTTGTGGTAATTTGTGTTGGCACCAGTAGAAAATCAATACATCTGTGCACAATTCACAGTATTCATAATAAGAGGTAACTTGTGTAGCAACCTTAAATATCCAGAGCAAAGCAGTAAAATACAAAACAACCAGGCAAATAGCCTCTGAGTAATATTTCCACCAACCCTTTTAATGAGAATTTGATGTAGAAAATAAAACACTCGATATTTTCAGCAGGAAATCAAGCATTTACAAAATTGTCGGAAGCGGTAAAGGAGCAGGTGTGAAGCAATGCCCTTGGGAATGACTCCCAGAACAGGACAGGATTGACCCCTCGTGGAGGTCACTGCTTCCAAGGCTGCGTAAGGGTCCGAGAGTGTGCCCCCTGAGAAGGACATTTGTCCAAAGAAGATAAAAATGGCCAAGAAGCACATGAAAAGATGCTCAATGTCATTAGCTGTAAGGATGCAAATCACACCACAGTGAGACACTTGCCACACCCACTAGGAGGGCCATGATACAAAGGCAGACAATAACAAGTGTTTGCGAGCATGTGGACAAACTGGGAGTGCCATACGCTGCTGGTGGACGTGTGAACTGGTGCGGCCTCTCTGGAAAAGGTCTGGCGGTTCCTGAGAGAGTTAAACATAGAGTTGCCCCATGACCCAGGGATTCCACTCCTACGTATATGCCCATCTGCGCAAAAACTTTACCTGGACATTCACGGCAATGTCATGCATATAGCCACAAAGTGGAGACAACTCAACTGTCCATCCATTGCTGATGGGGTGATGAAAATATGCTACAATTAGGTACTAGTGCTAGATAACACAGCGTGAAAAAAAAGAATACTTTATTGCGATATCTGACACATAAAAAGTGTATGTTTAAGGTGTACGACTAGGTGTGCTGAAAAATATATACATTGTGACATCACCACAGTCAAGCTAAATCACTTATCCATCACCTCTGTATTGTTGTCTTGTGTGTGTGTGTGTGTGTGTGTGGTGAGATTACATTTAAGATCTATTCTCAGCCAGTTCCAAGGATACAACACAATTTTGTTCAGTGCCGTCGCCATGCTGAGCATCAGGTCTTGTTCATCTTGCATTACTGCGACTTTGTGCCTTTTGACCACACCCTCGTTTCTCCCCCTTTCCCACTCCCTCTTCTCACACGGGGGGAGCCGGGCACGCAGTATTTGCGTTTCTTTGGCTTACTTCATTTGGTGTATTGTTCTCTAGACTCATCCATATTGTCACAAAGGGCAGGATTTCCTTCTTTTTTAAGGTTGAATCACATTCTGTTGTAAACATCTCTACATTTTCTTTACCCATTCATTCGTTGATGGACATTTGGGTTATTTCCATGTCGTCACTTCCGTGAATCATGCGGCAGTGAGCCTGGGAGTGCAGACAGTTTCTGAGATCCCGGTTTCAGTCCCTCTGCATATACGGTGTATCCAGAAATGGGGTTGCTGGACCATGGAGTGGTTCTCTTTTCTTTGGGTGAACCAACATACCTGTGTTGCATAATGGCAATACCAATTAAAATTGGAAGGGGGGGCAGAGACATCTGAAAATTATATATAGTAAGTGACAGGATTATAGCCTCTACAGGGAGATAAATCTGGCAGAAGTATGTAGAATATACCAGGGAGACCTGAGAATACACATAAAATGTGATCACAACTCAGACTAGTGATTTTGGCATTGGCAAGAAACAAGAAAACCAACCGCTGGAATGACGTGAGGGTGGCTGTGAAGTTAGTGTGTTCGTGACGGGAGGGTATTGAGGGCTAAGGGTGGGAAGGGATCAGCTATGGAGGCTGAGGTTTTGATGAGTAGGGTGGTGCTGCTGATAAAATTCGTGAACTCGGGAGGATGAAAAGTTAGAATGGAGGGCAACCGCAGCTGTGTCTGGAGGTGACAAAGGTAATGAGGAGGGACTTGATGACATTGCCACGGGAGAAGGCGGAGGGAGAGGAGGAGAGAGGGATGGGGACAGAACGGTGCGGGGCATTTCCGTTCAGTAGCCAGGGGGTCACAGAGGAGTCCGAGGAGGAGTAAGGAGTTAAGAGGATGAAAGACCCCCAGGGAGTCCAGCAACACAATGGACAGAGGAGAGTTTTTTTTTTTTTTTAAAAAAGGTGACCAACCCTGGAGAAAATCCAGGGAAGTAGTGGGAGATAAGACCTGATAGCTTAGCAGTGGAAGGTCATAGTCAGCTTTCTGGAGAGTAGTGTCAGAGCAGAGATGGAGATGGAAATCAGATTTGGGGGAAATTTCAAGAAGTTCGATACTTGACAGAAAGTGAGAGAAGATAGATCATCGATCAATCCGTCGATCATGGTAACATGACAACACATGGTCAGGGGAGACTTTTAGAAGCAGGAAGGACCTGAGTTACAGGCCAAGGGGAGCGTTCCCACAGAGGGGGAGATACGCAGAGGTTATGACGGGTGAAATGAGACCCCCGGGGATGTGGGCAAAGATGAAATCAAGGACGTAAGTGGAGGAGATAACCTGGGGAAACCTTACCCACTCTTACCCAGTCGCCAGACAGAAAACTGACTCTGTCAATATACCTTTCTTACTTTTCAGGGATATTTCTTTTCTGTATGACATGAAATACGTCCAGGGAGAGGCCAGGGAGAGCACACTCTGCCCGCCGGGTGCGGGCCGTTCCTTGCAGTCCCATGATGGCGCCATCGTGCCCCATAAGGTAGGTACAGTGTCTGATGAACAATTTCATCTTCCTCTCTTCACTTAAAAAAAAGTTTCCCTCAAAACATAAAGCAATGTTGTACTGTAACAACCACCTGCATTGCTGATCAGTTTTCATACCACTTTTAATTATTTCTAGAAAAGGGTATTTAGTGAGAAAAGATAAAAGGTATCTTATGTTAAGCCATTTTCCAGACTACAGTCCTTCACTTAATCTAGAAAATATAGTATAGGAGCATAGATTTTTTTTTCCCCAAAATCCACAGTTTAAAGTCATAGAATTCTTATTTTGGAGATATTGCTAAGGTGAATTTTAAATTCCTATTGAATTTTAAAGAGTCAATGGACTTCTGAAGAGTATAAGGGACGCCTGTAACTAACACTAAGATCAAGGTTATTATGTCATTCATGTTTTTTATAGAGTATGCTCTGTTGAAAAATTTACTTACTACTTGCCATGTCCCACATTACTAATATTGTTATTTTTTCTAATCAAAATCTCATAATAAATAGCATCCGTTTGGGACAGGAATTAGGATTTGTGCAATTCATTTTTTGAAAACTGACTAATGTTTTCATTCTTGTTATTCTTTTTAAGCCAAAGAAACTAACAGATACTTTGATTCCTGAAGAATTTCATATCGTGTCAAACACAGGAGTCTCAGGTTTGGAGTGTTACGATGAGTGAGTACCATGGTCCGCACTGAGTTTCTGACAAATGGACCGTTTCCTCCTCCTGGACACAGAGGAGCTGAAAACAGTTCACTCACGTTCCTGGGCGATGTCTGCACTGGAAGGAGGAGACATTCGGCCTTCCACCCTAATACCGTTTCAGGAAGAAATCACTTAAAGACATTAATGAAAAAGTCTTGAAAGAATTTGGGGTTTTAGTGATTAAATTCTCTGTAAAAAAAAATAGGTCTTTGCTCACAGCGCTTGGCTGTGCCTCTTGAAGAATGGTTCTGAACAACGACCACGCAGGCAGAGGGAAAGCAGCCCTCTGAGCTGAATCCCCATGTTGCACGGTTCCAGGGCTTAGCTCCACAATGCCGACTATTCTCCTTCGGTTTTCCCGTTTCTAGGACCGAAAATGGGATCTTGTTTTTATTTTTTGAAACGACACTTGACCGTTTCACAGTTTAAAAAACTACGACCGGACCGAGATCTTGCAATGGAGCACCCAGGCGCTGTCCCTCGGTTTGCTTTGCCCGGGGCCCGTGTTGCATGGCACCTCCCTGTGTGGTGGGGTTCGGAACCACGTTTTGTCAGAGAACTAAGTAGAGCCGATTTGGGGGCACCTTCTAATTTTTATGTAATTTCAAAATTGTAAAAAAGTCACAAAAACAGGGAGAGGCACTGCCTGTGCCCTCGATTCCGACTCACTGAGTGCTCCACTTGCTTTAACACACACGCACACACACACACACACACACACACACACACACTTTCACTGTTCAAGAGTAAGTTGGAGACTTTGTGACCCTCCACCACCAAATACTTCCCTTTATTTTTTCTAGCAACCCGTAGTTACAGGTCTTTTCTTAACTCCATCCTTTCTTCTATGTTTGTTAGTTAGCATTTTACCATATAGACCTATGGATTTCTTTTGTGTCCAGTGGGTTATTATTTTTTACTATGATTATTTATTTTGATATTCAAAATTTTTCAGATTTTGCCAAAGCTAGCTCCTGTGAGCTAGCTCTTGTGTTCTTAGGAATGTCTGCATAATGCTCTGAATGTTCCCTTATTTTCTGGCTCAGTAAGATTTTTAGGTTCATCTGGAATGAACTCTGAGCCACTCCTCCAAGGAGTACTGATTCCTTTTAGTGGAGAATGATCCTTAGAAACCAAGATCTGGATGCTAGGTGTGCTCATTGCTCCTGGGATGTCATTGCTTCTAGTCCTTCGTACACACTCGCTTTCGAAACTGAGTCTTTTATATTCCCTGGAGATCTTTTTACTGATCTAAATTCTGGACCTTATTAACCAACTGAGTTCCAGTAGGGGAAAGAACCAAAGGAAATGCTTATGAACTAGAGGAAGAAAAAAGGTGCATAACTGAGAATGGATTTAAGGGATCACCGTGTCTTTCTCATTGAGATACTAGTTCAGGTGTAAACAAGCACCACCAGAGGACAGATGGGGTGGGGGTGGGGCAGAAAACGGCGTTCTAGGTTTATCTTTGCTTCTTATTAATTCTATAACCTGTTTAGTCACTTAACTTTGTTGACTTCAGTGTTCTTAGACAATCCTTCCACTTCTGAAAAGACTGCTTTTAAGTGAATCAAGGCAGTTTTCATATTCTGACATATTAAGGAATGTAATTCAAGGTGCTTTATTTAAAAAAAGTTCTAAACGTGACAAACACCATCCCACCCGTACCTGTACAAGTCTCAGACCACCTAGGTGTGATGCTGTGTGCAAAATGGTGGCCGTTTCTGGTCACCGTCAAGCGTCTCCGCTCCGTGAGGGCTTAGGTTGATCATGCCGTGATCTGCGATCAGCAGGCCGGGTGATGTTCTTCCAGTAACACCTACCCGTCTTATCCGTTGCAGCAAATACACTACCCTCCTCAAAGACAGTGAAAACAGGCTATTGCTGTTCCCGTCCATGTAAGTACAGTTTACTTTTAACAGTGTTTCTTAGAAAGAATAACTATATACATATATATTAAAACAACGGCAGAAACCCAAGACAATAATTGCCCGCGCTTCTGTCATCTAATCAGTATTTTCATTTGCCCAATTTCATAGTCCATTTTTACATATTTATAGTACTTGAGTATTATAAAGTGCTTTTTAAAACAGTTTTGAAATTCTTTTCATTGTTTTTACGTTCTATTTTGTTGTGATAAGAACACAGCATGAGATCCACTCGCAGCAAATTCTGAGGTGTGCACTGCAGCGTTAACTGTAGGTACGGTGTTGTACGGCAGATCTGTAGAACTTCCTTGCGCAACTGAACCTTCACGCCCATTGACTAGCAATTTCCCGTTTCCCTCTCCCGCCAGCCCCTGGAAACCACGACTCCACTCTGTGATTCTGTGGGTCTAATTATTTTAGGTGCCTCATGTATGTGGGATCATGCAGTATTGTCCTTCTGTAACTGGCTTGTTTCACAGCATGATGTCCTGCAGGTTCATCCATGTGGTTGCATGTGGCAGAATTTCATTCTTTTTAAAGGCAGGATAACATTCCAGTGTCTGTGTGCATCACACTTTCTCCATCCATTCATTCGTCGACGGCCATCTATGCTGTTTCCACCTGTTGTGACCGGTGCTGCAGTGAATGCGGGGGTGGGGGGCAATAATACCTCTGAGACCCTGACTTCACTTCCTTTGGATGAATACTCAGCAGTGGGATTGCTAGGTGATATCTAAAATACTTTTATATTCTATGTTTAACCGTTAGTATTTTTCCATTTTACTACAGTCTCTTTGTTTTTACTTCTTTTTTTTTTTTTTGTTCCCCTGTCTTACATTGTGAAGTAACCAATATTAATAGCTTGGTGTTTATCTCTCCCCATTTTTCTGTTTTTACAATCATACAGAATAGAATTTGGGGGTGAAGGAGCATTATTTTCTTTAATGGAACAGAGGATCATACTATTTGCATTTTTTAACTGTGTTACTGATATCCCACTAGATCAATACTTACAGGTCTAATACTTTAAGATACCGTTAGTATGCCATAGTATATGCATTTTCTTTATACATGTTATATTGTTTTTGAGATTTGAGGATGGCCAGTTGTAACGGTAACTACTACGTCCACCATCTCGATCTTTCAGGAAACCTAATAAAAGAGTGGAGGTGACCCGGCTGAGCGATGTGATGGACACCATGCTAGAGAGGGCTGGCCTGGAAAATCAGGACTACACAGGGCCAACCAAGGTGACCGCACAGATCCGTGTAACCTAGCTCGTGGTTATGAGCATGCGCTCTGGATGGTGGGGTGCGTGGGTTGGAACCCTGGTCCTGCCATTGATTAGCTGGTGACCCTGGGCAAGTCATTTAGCATGTCTGTGCCTCAATTTCCTCATCTGCGAATTAGACATGATGACGATATTTACCTCGTGTGGAGGTATTTACCTCGCTGTGGAGATGAGGTGACTTAATGATGTGAAGGGCTGAGAGCAGTCAGCGCTCAGCACGTGGGAAACAGCATGCAGTTAACTGTCAGGACAGTTGGCCTTTGAGCAACACGGTTGAGCTACGTCGTCCACTTATACATGGATTTTTGCAGTAAATACTGTCAATGTATTTCCTCTTCCTTATGATTTGCTTAATAACATTTTCTCTTCTCTAGCTTACTTTATTGTAAGAATACAGCATATAAAACACAGAACGTACACAATATGTGTTAATCAACTGTTTATGTGATTGGCAAAGCTTCCGGTCAACAGTAGACTGTTAGGAGTCAAGTTTGGAGGGAGTCAAAGATACACATGGATTTCCGACAGTGTGGACGCTGGGACTCCTAGCCCCTGCACTGTCCAGGGTCAACAGTTTTATTATTACTGTATTCCACTGAATATTAGGCACCACAGATTATAAGACCCTTAATATTTTATGTACCAATAAAAACTACCGCCAATTAAGTTGTACTTTCTTACCACTTGTAATTTTTATTTTGTGCTTAATGAAAAGGCTCTTTCAGGCTTACATAGATATAGATTTTTTTAATGAAGGCTTTTTTGTTTTGTAAATTTTTATTTTTATGGATTTTGAAACTATAAGTTCAATATAAGGCACTCGTAGGTAACCTTTACGTTTACATTGTGCCCTATTTGCTTTATCGTTCTCTCTCCTTCTCTGCGTGTCTTTGTAAGCAGATTTCCTTTTTCTGAACCACTGTGGCACAAGCTGGAGACATCATGCTTCTTCACCACCAAACTGTTCAGGGTGTATTCCCCACAGATGAAGACGTTCTCTTACGTATCCATAGTGCAGTTTTCAGAATCAGGAAATTTAACATTGTTAATGGTAGTCCAAGTTCATATTTCAGATTCACCCATTGTCCCTATAATGGCTTTTATAGCCATTTTTGCCTTTCTTTCAGGATCCCAGAATCACACAGTGCTGCTATTTGTCACTTTTCTTTAGACAACTATAATCTGAAATGCTTCTTTATTTTTCTTGACCTTGATCTTTGGGAGAGCACAGGCCGGTTATTCTGGAGAATGTTCCTCAGTTTTGGTTTGTCTGATGTGCAGCCGTGATTAGGTTCAGGTTTTGGGTTTTGGCAGGAATAACATGAAAGTGATATCGTGACCTCAGTGAGTCATATAAAGAGGTGCAATGATTAGACACAAATTTTTAAAAAATAAGATACCATTTCTTATATATTTATATATTTATAATATATGAATATATATTTATATTTATTTATATATTTATATACTTATAATATATTTGTAATATAATATATTATAAATTATAATATAATTTATGAATATATTCTATATATTTATATATTTATAATATATGAATATATAAGCATATACATATTTATATATGTATATATTATATATAAGTAAATATATAAAAACACATGTATTTATATATACTTATATATAAGTATATATTTATAAATACATAAGTATATATATTTATAATAGAAAATACTCATCCAATAAATTAATCAAGGTGCTTCTAAAACCTAATTCACATTCCGAGTGATCAACTCCTGAAATGGCTTTTACTGACAAGACCATAATAAATGCTGACTGACTTCTCTTCCGCCAGATGCACAAACTGCTACACATCCTGAGGCAGGAGCAGAACATTTACAACACGGTGTTTCACGAGCTCATTCGACAAGTCAGCGTGGACTGCGCGGACCGAGGGGAGCTGCTGTCCAAAATCCGGTGAGAGCAGCTGTCGGGGCATGCCAGTTTCCTTTTGGATTTCGTATTAGAATTCTGTTTTTAGCTCTGCTCCTGAGAAAAATCATGAAAGTACGCTTCTCTCTCTTATCGATAATGAAGAGCCAGATTGCATTTTTATTGTATTTTCTATAATAAGAATATAATAGTTGAGAACTTCCTTCAGGTGATTTCTGTTGAGATGTTCGACACCATGATCTTTTGTGCGTGGGCTGAACTGCTGCGTGGAGTGAGGGCAAGCGCAGACTCTGCCGACAGACTGACCTGGTTTCAGATCACCTTCTCTGGGCCACGTGGGTAAAAGCCTGAGCCTTACTTTTCTCATCTGCAAATGAACATGATAGCTACTCTGATAATCTCCTTTGTCTATTTGGTCACTAATCAGCCCAAATATTAATGAACAAATCAGTCAATAATATTTGTTGAGTGTCTACTCTGCTTCAAGCATTGAGATGTTTCATAGGATTGTGGTGAGGTTTCAATGAGCACACAGAGTTAGGTGCTCAATACGTGTAGTTTGTTGTAGATGGCGGTGATAGATACTATTGTCACTATAATTCTTCCTATGACACTGGTAGTTTCCAAAAGCTGAAAAGAATAGAAGAACTGGAAGGAATACTGGGTTCAATTCCATGTCTGCAGCTTACTTGCCATAGAACCATAGGCATATTATAAGATACCTCTGAATATCTGTTTCTCCTCGATGGGCATTAATAATATAAATTTGCCCTGTTTCTCCACTACCTGGTTGATGGGTGCTGAGCTGCCCTATCTGACTGTGCTGGAGCAAAGCCATTAGTAAGAGACCAGTCAAGATGAGACACTAAGGAGTAAGTTGTGGGAACAACATCAAGAGCTGGAGAAGGGGGGCAGGGACAGTAAAGTCAGGGTTGTCAGTGTAAGAACAAAGCCAGAGGGATGGATGAGGAATCGTGGCAAAGGAACTAGATGACGTACAGTGTACTCAACCCTTCCCTTCTGAGGAGCAGGTATAAGCAGGACTGTTCTAGCAGATTTCAGGCGTCGGCTTCTAGGGGCCAACATAGGGTGGGGTCCTGTCCCAGGAAGTCCAAACAGAAAGAGACAGGCAGGCAAGTGGAAACCAAAATCCTTTAAGAAAAGTTGTCAGACACGAGTGAGACAAAAGTGCGAACTCCAGAGTTCCAGAGACAGGATCAGAGGAGGTCTTCGAAGCCAAGGGTTTAGAATAGTGTAATGGTGGAGTAAAGAACACGAAAGAGGTGAGAGTAGGCAGTAAGGCTTCTGAGTGATCGCTGCCAACATCCATGACAGGTTACAGAATGGTGAAACACCCAACAGGTCCAGAACAATCTGGCAGCCAGCATTTCATCTTGGTAGGAGCTCTCTAGAAGGTCTAGTCTCAGGGCAACCTTCAGTGAGCAAGTCTCTGTTGTCCAGGGTCTGGCACCTGACAGAGTCCTCCTTGAGTCACAAGTTTGCTGTGAGGACCCAGTAGAAGTCCCCGGTAAATGGTAACACCCTACAAGCCCAGGAAGTGCTTGATATCAGCCTCAAACCGCCTCTCTGTTTGCTTGCTACTGTACTTGCGCTCTGTCCCACCGAGTGCGTTCTGATCAGCTCGTGTGTGTGTCTGCTTTGCAAGCACCTGCCTCTGCGGCCTGCTGCAGCAGGAGGATTTCGTGTGAAACAGCATTTCATAGTAACTGCTTTTTATAGGGGGAGGAGTAACTGCCAGCTGGGATGCAAGCTGAACAGGAGGACCCTCAGATTACACAGAAATAGGACTGATGCCGTCCTTCTTTTTGGTTGATAAATACCTTTGGATACAAGCACATGACCTTTTCCAGTTATTGTTATTTCTTCCCTAGTATGTTATCATGGGGATTTCCAAATACCCGTAAAAATTGAGTGAATTTTACTGTGAGCTCATAGACACCCACCATCTAGATTCTGCCATTAACATTCGGCTTAGCTTGCTTTATCGCTTGTCTAGCCACTAGCCATCCTTGCAATCATCCACCAATTTCATGCACTTCAGAGTAAGTTGCAAACATCAGTGTATTTTCCCCTAACTATTTCAGCATGTATGTTATTAAACGGAGTTTATGCTTTATTTTTAAATATTTTATTTATTTAGTTTTAGAGAGAGAGGAAGGGAGGGTGAAGGAGAGAGAGAACCTTCAATGTGTGGTTGCCTCTCACACGCCCCCCACTGGGGACCTGGCCTGCAACCCAGGCATGTGCCCTGACTGGGAATTGAACCAGCGACCCTTTGGTTTGCGGGCCAGTGCTCAGTCTACTGAGCCACACCAACCAGGGCTCAAAAATAAATTTTTTCAGAATAGTTGTAGATTTACAGAAGAATTGAGCAGATAATAGAGTTTCCATATACCCCCTCTCCTCCATGTACAGTTCCCCTAATTATTAGAATCCTGGACTAATGTGGTGCATTGTTGTAATTGGTAAACCAATGTTGATATATTATTAACTGAAGTTTGTAGTTTATATTAAGGTTCATTCTTTGTGTTGTACAATCCTGTGGGTTTTAACATGTACACATTTTTGACAGTAAAAAGGAATAAAGTACTGATACAGGAGATGATATGGATGCTTCTTGACAACCTCATGCTAAGTGAAAGAAGCTAGCCACAAAGGTTACAGAGTGTGTACTTCCACTTGTGTGAAATGTGCAGAAGAGGCAGGTCCAGGCAGGAAGTATATTAGTAGCTGCCAGGGCCTTGGAGAAAGAGAAGCAGGGAGTGACTGCTAATGGGTACCATTTGGGGGTGATGAAAATACTCTGGATTTGCATAGTGCTGATGGTGGCACAAGTTTGTGAGTTTACTGAACAGTATTATACACATTAAAAGGGGGAATTTTATGGCCTATAAATTACATCTCAATATAAAATATGAAATATTTCCAGATAGTCATTTCATCATGATTCCTCAAAAATTGCACCTATTTCTTTGTGTATCGAATGTCATATAACAAAACATCTGTCCACCCTACACAGCGCTAATTCTTCCTGAGTACCACTGAGGCAAGACTCCTCTTTGTACAGTGTCCAGTGCCCCGTGAGTCATGAGTTTTTCCAGTCTGGCTGGTGGGAATGGGCACCACGAGCCACGTGTGAGTGCTGGGTTCTCTTTCCTCTGATCCTTCTAGATGGTTCTCTCCATGGTCTCAGGCAGTTCGTTCACATTATGCCCTAATCATGACTTAGCTGAACACGCAAGGGGAACCCTCCGCAGACTTCGGAGGCCTCTTTCTCTGCAGCCCGTTTCTCTCCGGTGCCTGCCCTCTGACCCCTACTCGCTTCTCTCTCTCCGGACTCTGAGCTCTGTCTCCTTAGCCCAGAGGGTCCACTGCGGGCCCTCTCGTTTCCCTCTTCGTGCCGTAGCCTGGAAACTGTCTCCACCAGCTGGGGCGACCACAGGGCTCATTTGATTTCTGATCTCGCAGGGGTCACTTTCTCATTCCCCAAAAGCCAGTGTTTTGCTAACTGTTGTTTCATATATTTGGGGGGTTTTTTTGTTGTTATTGTCATTAATTTAGGCAAAAGAGTAAATTTAGTTCCACTGGATTGCTTTTATAATTCTTGTGTCTGTATACCACAATCCTATGTATAGATTGGTACCCTTCGTAAGTCTTGGAAAATTGTCAGTGATGATTTCTTTGATGAGTATCTGTTCTCCATTCTGTTTTTTCTCTCTGGAGCTCCATTAGATTTATATTAAACATTTGCATTCTCTGCTCTTTGTCTCAGTCTCCTGTTCATAATTCCCATTTCCTTGTCTGTGTGCTGCATTCTGGGTAATTTTTTCCAGGATGTCAGTACCCTCTTTAGCTCCATCTCCTCTGCTGGAACCCATCTGTCGGGGTTACTGTTCAGTAGTTACATCTTTCCCTTAAGAGTTCTGTTGGTTTGTTTCCATATCTGTCTTATCATATTTTGCTCATTTTTATCACTTAGTTTTAGATTCCATTTTTTGTTTCTCAAACATTTCATGGATAGTTTTATATTCTAAATATGTTAATTCTAACATAGGAAGACCATCAGGATGGAACTCTGCTGTTCGTTGTTTCTTCTGAGTCTCACTCATGATCGTCTATTTATACAGTATTTTGCATTCGTTGCTGCTGTGGCTAATATTTGGCCAGTCTTAATCATCACATCCTCCTGATAGAATTCACGGATGCCTCCTGAAGAGAGGATTTGCATCTTCTCCCTTCTGGAACCCTGGCTCGATGCCGCAGTTTCACACTCAGATCTCCCATTTCAAGACGGCTGAGGACTTAGTTTCCGGGATCCCGTGCTGTATTCTTACTGGGGCGACCTTGACTTTGGGTTTGCCTAATGAATACTGCTCACCACCTCCTACTCCATTCTTAGCTTATTGAGTTTTGTTTACTGGTTCTGTTTTTCATTCCTGGAGTCTTCTGTTCTTGCTGCAAGCCTGTTAATGCTTCAGAGAGTGTGCTCTACCGTGGATGTAGCTGTAATGTGTTGAGAAGGCCCTGCAGAGCGCTTTGTCCGTATGTCACCAGGAGGGGAAGTCCTGAAGAAGGTGTTTTTAAAATGGATGTTTCCTGGTGCATGACCTGCATGTTGAGCTGATAAACTTCCTTTTACTTTAAGTGTTTAAATAAGGGCTGAGTAGTTCTTTCTGTGGGTGAGAGATTAAACTAACCGACCATTCTGACTCAAATATATTATAATTCCGGGGTCTCACGGTTAGGATACAATACCTTGATCACTTTTAATATACAATAAAGACTGCTCAATTATAGTATTTGTAATTTACCATCTGTGACCATTTCCAAATATTTTGTTTGATTTTATTAAGGAGCAAAACAAATGACCTTTTTTTTGTATTTAAGCTCTTTGTTTATTTTTTAAACAGTAGGTACATTTTGGTCAGTTTGAGAAAAGTGGTTTTAGTCATGAATTCAACTATTTATAAGAATTCCACTGCATTCAAGCTGCTCTGTTAGATGTTATAAATGTGTAAGCACTTAAGACATGTTTCCTATAGAGATGATCATTTAGAAGAAGGAAGCAAAGACGTCCTTACGTTGTTTTACATCTCAGATATTACGTTCCAAATAATTATGACTCTGGTTCAAGTTCACTCACTTGTATGCGCGTGGCAGGAATACGCGGCCTGGATCCCTTTCTTTCTCTGCCCTTGTGTCTGCTCACTATTTCTCCCGCTAACGTTACTCTCTCTCACACGTGTTTTCACTCCTTTTCCTTTTCTCCTGCGAGACATCTTGTTTTCCTTCTTTTTCCTGCAGAGAGCGGTACGTACAGTTGCTTGACCAAATTGCCCGGCAGATGATCGACTTCTACAAAGACCTGGTGACTCAGCGAATGATGGACCAGCGCATTTTACAAGAACTGTACAATTTTAAGAATGTTATCGAAGAACTGACCAGGTAAAAAACTGTGATTATCTTAAACACAAAAGGCAAAGGCATGTCTCTAAAGAGAAGTCAGAAATATTTAGGGAAAGTAGAGTGGCTAGAGGTGAGAACTATTTTGTTCTCTTTTTCTGTTTAGCGAGAGAACGGAAAGGACCAGATAGGGGTATAGATACGGACACAGAGACATGGGTTACACAGGCAAACACGAAACTAGGGTGCTGTGTGTATTCACTAGGGAAAAGGTCTTGTTCTTCCTTCTAAGGTAGAGATATTTATCTTAATTCAGTTTACGGAGCAGTGCCTTGATTATGGATGTTCAGGTTCAAATAGAAAGAGAATGAGCATATATAGCAACCAAGGTTAGTGGTCATCTAAACTTGTAGCAAGATAATGATTGGCAAGAATGAAGAGGGTAGCACAGAGCAAGCTGGAGGCCTTGCCGGTCAGCACCTGCCTTCACTCCACCCCGAAGGAACCCCCACCCTTCTCTCTGCCCTTTCCAACCAGCCCGATTCCACTGCCAAACCTGGCAAGATTCCACCCAGCTGTGCACTAGACTTACTGATGTGGTTTGCGAGGTGGGAAAACCAGCAGAGATGTACACACGGTAACTGAGAAGGTTCGCAAGTGTGAGTCTGATGTCCTGAGTGCAGACTTTTTGGAAATCTTCAACTACGGTGATAAAATTTCTTTGCTTTATTTCAGGGAGCTGTGTTTGGTCCGGGCACATGATATAAAATTAACAAAGGAAGCAGAGAAAGTCCACAAGGATTTGACACAAGCTCTTTTAGATGCTGAGAAAAATGCCAAGTGAGTTATCAGATTTAGTCATTATGCCATACTTGCGTTACACTTTATACCGAAGTTTTATTGAAGCATTTGACTTTAAAAAAAATTATAACAGTGTAAATTCGTTATGTATATTAACTCTGCCAGGCACTATTGTAATACACATCATGTAAATGTCTTCTTGAATGAGAGTTTTCCAGAGGTGTAGACCTAGAAGGGGAGGTCCCGGGCCACAGGATGTGTGTAGCCTCGTCTTTGCTAAATGTTGCCAAATACCCCACAGGGCGGTTGTACCGGCGGATGTCCTCGCATCAGTCTATGGGAGCTCCCCTTTGCCCATATCTTTTATTAATTGGGTGGGTATGAAAAAGCATCTGACTTTTATTTACATTTTCCTGATTAGCAGTGTGAGCCTGTTTTTTTGGGGGGGGTGGATTTTAATGGGTACAGCTTGTGGAATTTTTATGGTTGTGTTCACCTGTGTGACACCTCAGATGATGCATTTTTTCCTGGTGAGTTGAACCAATGGAGGCCTCCAACTAGAAGGAGGCTCCAGGAGCAGGTGCAGGCAGTTCCTGGCTTTCAGCAAAGTTGAAAGAATTCTGCTTGGCTGGCTTTTCATTCCTGTAGCAGAGTTAACACTCCTTAGGAGCGTGTGTTTCAAAAGGTTTGTCGGATGCTTCTGTTCGTTTCGCTTCTGTGTTTGTATTTAGTCTCAGAAGGGCTTTTAATTCTAAGCGAAGCTTCAGTCTAAGTTAAAAGGAAAACGTGTGCTCAGATAAACAAAGAAAAAATAGTTAAGGAAAAGGTACTTGATTATACTAAGCTTTTGGTTTGTTAGTAGAAAATTTATTTAAATCTTTTTGTAAGATTTTACTTATTTATTTTTTAGAGAGGGAAGGGAGGGAGAAAGAGACAGAGAAACATCAATGTGCGGTTGCTGGGGGTCATGGCCTGCAACCCAGGCATGTGCCCTAACTGGGAATCGAACCTGTGATGCTTTGGTTCGCAGCCTGCGCTCAATCCACTGAGCTACGCCAGCCAGGTTATTTAAATCTTATACTAATTATATGTACTTTAAAAATATAGTGGTTCACAACAGTTGGGCTTTGTGCCTTTAGTAAAGAATCCTAATTCTACGAGAAATCAAAGAAACACTGCTGTATTATTGCTACTTGTATTCTGAATTTTTCATTAGATGTAGTGTTGTTATACTACTGGAATGTCATGTTGTAAAAAGTCGAGTAGAAGAATATGAAGAAAAGTATTTAGAGCAGGAAACAATATCTTGGACTTTTTACTTAAGGCTTTTATGAGATTTATTAATGAAATGTGAATCTTTTCCTTCTATTTCTGCTATAGGTTGGTGTTATTAATATGTCCAGCAATTTTACCATAATTACCGTATGATCAGTCTTAAAGGAACAACTTGCCTTTTTTAAAAAACAAAGTTCTCCTTTAAAAAAATGCCTACGTAGCTGTTTCTTGATTTTCCTTCCAGGATTGTGGAAGAGTACCATGACTTGTACACGCTGCAGAGAGGGAGGATGGAGAGCGACATTAAGCAGCTGATGGCCGAAAGAGACGTCTGGAGCTCGGCCACGTACGAACTGGCGCTGAAGGTTGGTCCCTCGGGAATTGTCACCCAGACTTCCCTTTGGTCTGGATAAAGGTTCCTTTCACAAATTTCACTTGGACAAAAAGTCAAAAGATGAAGATGCGCATTTAATTGCTGAATAGTGTAGGTATTATGGGCCTTGGAAGGGGAAAGTTACATTTTGTTTGTTTCTTCATTATTCAATACCTGGCTATTGCCCAATTAAGGGCTCTTTCTTTTTCCTCCCAACAGAATGTAGGGAATATGAGCAAGATACTTTTTCTGTTGTTTGTGAACATGTTAAAAATTTTAGCTTTAATTTATACTGGTAGTAAAGTAGGAGAAGTGGTTCCCAGTTTTTCACATAAGGTAACTGTATTAGGATCACTGCATACCTCGCTTTGGTTCTATTACTTTTGTATTCAGGATGCCAAATGAACTGAAATATGGCGGCCTGCGGAAGCATTATAGGAATGCTTTAAAGAAAGAGCAATAGTTTGTTCTGTAAATGTTTGTTGTTTGGTTGCCTATTCTCACATCTTGGACCTAGAGTATCAATAGCAAATGAAGACCTGGCACGGATTCAGACTTTTGTCCCATTTTCCTCTGGAACAGTCAGACCTCATCTAGGACATGATGTTCAATCCTGATCCAGAATTTTAAAGGGACACATCCAGAGGAAGAGACAGTAAACATATCATATAAGAAACAAATCTCGGAGCTAGGCAGATTCACTAAAGAAGAGTGAGTTCCCTTGCTCTAGAAGGATTTAAACAGTGGAGAACTGACCCCTGGTGGAGGGTTCTATGGAAGAATACCTTATATTGTTGGGGCTTTGTGTTAGGTAGATTATCCCTAAAGTCCCTTCCAACAGGAAAGGACAGCTAGCATGTCACCTCCCTGAAAATAAGGACTTCTTTTCTTTTGTTTATAGCTGTATGTGCAGTGTCCAGAACAGTCAGTCATTCACTGAATGACTGATTACTGATTCGGGGTGTCAGTAGTTCTCAGGGGAGGTCTTGGGGCCTCCCGGGGTTCTTTGAGACCTTTTCATGAGGTCAGACTAGTTTCATCGTAATACTAATATTGCCTTTTTCATGCTCAATTCAACTCTATTCTCTCAAGGCAGACATTAAAGAGATTTGTAAAAATGGAAAACCATGATGCTCTTTTCACTAATTTTTTTTTTGTTTGGAAAAATAGAGTTATTTTTTCTTTTCTTTCTGTAAAAAATACTTTTTTTATTAATTTTGAATAAATGGGACATCTTTTTAAAAAGATTTTATATATTTATTTTTAGAGAGAGGGGATGGAAAGGAAAAAGAGGAAGAGAAACATCAATGTGTGGTTGCCTCTCGTGTACCCCCTACTGGGGACCTGGCCTGCAACCCAGGAATGTGCTCTGAGTGGGAATCAAACTGGCGACCCTTTGGTTCCACAGTCCACGCTCAATACACTGAGCTACACCAGCCGGGGCATAAAGTTATTTTTTCATAAAAATAGTATTTATGTTAACATATGTGTATACTAATGTTTTATTTACATGAATTAAGGGTGGATTTTAAATAATTTCAATTTTAATTTTCAATACAGTAAATATCAATAGATATAATCATATACACAAAAGTTTTTTGACGTTCTCATTTTTAAGAGTGTTAAGGGTTTTTGAGACCAAATTGTGTGAGCACCTTTGTTACATACTGTACCTCAGTTTGGTTTCAGTTTAGTGGTTTCAGAAAACACAAATTTGTGATACAAATTAGTTTATGATTTAGATAAGAAATTGTGACTGAGTTAATGGTTCATTGAAAAATTGATGTGAAAATGGTATACTAAATTACAGCCAAAGGTAATCACAGTGGTTTGTTAATGATTTAGGCTCTTAATTTTAGCCCTTTTTTAAAATAGGTAATTGAAAGAAATAAAGTCATATTGGCTAAAAGACTTTACCTCAACGAAAAAGGCTGGAGTAAATATGCTAAGCATTTCATCATCATGCTGTCGAGCAAGGTAAACCTCAGCTCATTTAAGTTGTGGAGTCTGTAAGAAGCCTTTGCTAAATTTATAGATTAAATTTTAAATCTAGCTTTATATTTGTGCTTTACTGTGGGCAGAATGAAAAATCTAAGGAAAGGGGAATAAAGGCTCTTCTTTATATCTGTCTTCTATCCTAATTAAAGCAACCTAAGTACTTTGTCCCAGTCAATAACACTACCAACATTATTTACAGTGTTATTCTCTTAGTGTTTAAACTAAAAAATTATAAGTAGCTGTGTTTATTGAAATAGCTATACTATCAATGTATTTATTGTATGCAATTTAATGGGAAAATTCAGCGAGCACAGAAGGTCACAAAGGAGGAAAGTGGCATTTAGTGTTTCTAGAGTCAAACTATTTACCCTAGTCATTTCATTTAATTCTTTAAAAAAAAATTTTTTTTTAAAGATTTTATTTATTTATTTTTAGAGAGAGGACGGGAAAGAGAAAGAGGGAGAGAAACATCAGTGAGTGATTGCCTCTTGCATGCCCCCTACTGGGGACCTGACCTGAAACCCAGGCATGTGCTCTGACTGGGAATCGAACTGACGATCCTTTGGTTCACAGGCCAGCACTCAATCAGTCCAATGAGTCACTCCAGCTAGGGCTCATTTAATTCTTAATTTAATTCTTACGACAATCCTAGGAGATTATATATATGTATATAAAGTATACATATATACTTTATATGTATAAAGTGTATATATATATATACTAAAGTAAATATATATATAAATCTTTATGGTCAAGAAAAATTAATCTCAAATGCATTAAATAACATTCCCCAAGGGTACACAGCCATTTAGATGTCTAGAATTCACATTTGGTTCTTTTTGGCTTTGAAATTTCAGATCTTTCCAAGTACTACACTGCCTCCCATGAAAGTTTTATGGGGAAATTGGGCTCTGTTGCAAAGGGAAAAAATCTGGTCTCTAATAATTTGTGCCATGGAAAATCTGTCACTAGTGGGACTGTGTAGTAGTGTCACTGATGATATTTGGAAAGAGGGGTGACTTTTTAAATTTTTAATCCATTTCCTATGGATGTCTCTAGTATTACAATATTAGTAATGGCCTGGCGTATCAGGTAACTGTTTGTTACGTGAATAAATGAATACGTGGTTTGATTCCATGCATTTTACCTAGGATACTTCAGACCTTGCACTGTTGCAGAAGTTGACAGAGAACTGGAAAATCTTAGTGAGTAAATTTAGACAGGAAGTAGAAGAAAGCGAAGAGGCTACAAGGGAGCAAATTCGAATTATTAAGGATGGCCTTATCAAATGTCAGCAGTTCTTCAAAAATAATAAGTGAGCCTCCCAGTATCTCGTTTTTCTGATTATGCTTTGTCATGTCTGATAACTCGGTTCACTTCTTCTCTCCCCTTTTGTCTTTTTTACCTTGTGATCACTCTAGCATTAATTTCGGCAAGGTAACCAGCAACCCTTACAGGGTACAATCCTTGTAGGAGCGGAAATGGTCTTAAGTTTGTAGTGCTAATCATCTTGGTAGTCCTTCCTCATCTCTCCCTCCTTCTACTGCTACTTCTATTTCAAGGCCAACTCTTCTTTTTTTTCTTCTTTTCTTCCCACTTTATTATGGGCAAACTTGGATATCCGGATCCGTCTACAAATTCTGTAGCCCAGTGCATGTGCAGAGAAGTGGGATCAATGGGTGGCGGTTTTAAGGAGCTTGGTTTTGATTGGCTCTCGTGCCGTGTAGTAGAGGAACCTGACAGTGGAAGAGGCTGCCTATAAAGTAGGCGAGTCTCGGCTGAAGGACCAAGTCGCAGCCCAGTTTTGTGGGGATGTACGCTCTGAATGCAGGCTGCACTCAACACGTTTAGGTGCCACTTCCATTTCAAACTGAGAACAGTGGTTTCAGTTTTTCATATCCTCTGAGAGGTTTCCCAGGTAGCAGAGGTGGAAGTTCCACGCTGGAGCGGCACGCAGCCAGGCTGGTTGCCGCCGCCATTCCCATTTGGTGACTCTTGGCGCAGATGGCAATGGTTCTCTTCTCCCTTTCTCTTTAGGAACTTCTTTGTCAAGAGCTTTCTTTTCATGAGACTTCAGAGATATTAAAGGAAACGTTCTTCCCAGACGTTGCGGCTCTTGACCTTAACTGTTCATGAGGCTTCCCTTCTATTCATATGTTGTCTTGACAGTTGTTTCAACAGGAACTGTTCTCATGGTGTTCTAACATCGGGTGACGAAGACCCAGCAACCACCCTTTCAATTCTGTTACGGCCTCTGACCCCGTCACCTGGTTACTCAGGCCTGATCAGGGTCTGAATGTGTGTTTTTGTTTGTGAATCTAAAGATGATTGCCTATTGGAAGAGGGGCCAAACCTGGAAGGCAGGTCTGAAAATCATTAGGGAAAAACATAATATTGTCATGTGTATGGATTTGCAATTTCCTTTCTTTATTCCCTGTTCTGAGACCCTGTTCTTTGTCTTTTTCCTCCTTTCAGGAAAAAACACATTTCATCCCCTAAAAAAGAAAATATAGACCTACTTATTCCAGACTTCCAGCAGTGGCTAAAGGTAAGACTTTCTAATACACAACATGGTAATCAAAGTACTTGCCAGTCCTCACCTCCAGCTGAGTCACATCTCAACCTTTGAAAATTCCATACGAAGTTTTGTGAGAGACAAGGAAAACACCAAGACTACAGGGGTTTTTACAATATCCTTCAGTATTTTATTTTCAGTTCTAATTTAGGGTTTTGGGTCAAATAAAGTTAGGCTGCCAGGAAAAAAAAAAAAAAGGAAAAGATATTTGGGTGATAAGGAAGGTCGTTGTGATTCTCTCCTCAAATTGTCAATCATAGTGACATTTGTGCCTCTCCTATCCCTGGCTTTTGTCTTAAGGACAGATTGGACTTTAAAAATCAATAACATCTTTTGAAAAATTGTGGTAAAATGTACGTACCATAAAATTTACCACTTCAGTCATTTTAAGTGTACCGTTCGGTGGCATTGAGTCCCTTTAACAGGTGGGCAACCGTCACCACCACCCATGTCCACCACTTTGCAGCCCGGAGCTGGAACTCGGCCTGTTCAACACTAACACGCCGTTCCGCCTCCCCAGCCCCTGGCAACCGCACTCTGCTTGCCGTGTTGGACTTCTCTGGGCACCTCACAGAAGTGGAATCATTTAGATTTGGCCTTTCGTGAGACTAATTTCCACGTTCCATTGAGGGAATACATTATACCATATTCTGTTTATTAATAGCATCTTTTACAAATGTCTGAGCTAGGCAAATAAGTTTTATTGATCAAATTACTATCATGTTACGGTGGTCTGACAAAGGGAAATAGGTTCTGAAATTCCTCCAAAGTGAATGTCAGGCGTAGGACTTCGTGCAATCTCGCCCAGAGCCCAGGAAGCCGTCTTCTTTTCTCCTGGAGTGACTCGAGCAGACTAGTCTCAGAGTTGATGTTTGTCGTCCTCCACACAGTGTAGCTCATTTGCGGCTTTTTTTATGGTTTATCCGGTGATTTTGACATGGCAGCATAGGTGAAACTGAAATAAATGATGCTTCTTTACTTAGCAGGAATAATGATAACTCTCATCCATTAAACACCTACTCTAGTCGGCTGAGTGCGCTTCCCATGTGTTACTTACCCTTTGTGGCAGCCACTTGCTGCTGGTGTTATGGTCCCTGTCTCACAGGTGGGGAAACTGAGGCTCAGCCATGTTCAGGAACCTGCCTGAGCCATCTGTAAATATCAGTGGCTGGATCAGAGTTTGAGCCCTTGTTCCCCCAACTCCGTAGACCCTGCCCTTGGTGCTCGGCAGCACGACTCCCCTGTGCCGGTCACTCCTGTTGGCACGTAGGTGATTTGGTTCCATTGTCTGAGTCATGCATAATGGCAAACTTTATATGTAAATTGTACTGTTTCTTCTATATATGTTTATTGATATGTCAAGTGTTGGGGTTAGACAGAGAAATAAAACGTGAATAAAATACAACCATTATATTCTAGGAGCTTCCCCAGTCTAGTGGGGACCGTGTAAGTAGATGTACTATATCCATACCAAGGCTTACACAAATTTAACATGCTCAGCTCTCTGGGATTTAATTGACTATCACCAACTTTTTGCCTGTAGAATATTTAATATAATTATTTTCATCCTGGTAAACTGTGGGTTATCTTTTTGGGTATCAACTTAATTTAAATTCACTTTAATTTCAAAAATAAAATGTATGTTGTATGAAGAAATGATGTGAACAAATAATAATAAGGCATTTCACTCCAAAATAATCGAAGGAAAGATGTGGGTCAACGCTGATAAAACCATTAGTGCATAATGTGCTGATTTCTTGACTCGCTTTTCATTCTCTAGATACTGAGTGACGACAGAGACAAGTATACTGGGGATATACTAGTGTCCAAATATGATTCTCTCAAGATCATTAAATACTTACAGGAAAACTGGACAGATATCGGGCTTGCGATATTTCGTCGCCACATAAGTATGGAGGGAGAGATGCCGCCAGAGTATCAAGAGATGGAGGAAATTGCAAAATGCATAGAAAGACTCTACAAAGAATTTGAAATAAGAATGAATGGGGAAAATGGTAAGAAAAAGAAAAGATAATTAGATTGCTTGACATAAAGCATTTTAATAGTAATTACTTTCAATACAGTTAACATTTAAAATCAAGACAACATATGAATATGGTTTTAGAAATATAGCAAAATAAACCCTTGAGCATCACTTATTGAGACATAATTCACATGCAATATAATTCATTTATTTAAAGTGAACAATTTGATGATTTTTGATGTTTCCATAGACGTGTGCAACCATCTCTACAGTCAGTTTCAGATAATCGGGTGACATCTGGTTCTCTTCTAGGTCTTTTCTCCATTTTTTCAATTATAGTTGACATATAGTAGTACCTTAGTTTCAGGTGTACTGCGTTTTGTTTTATTGTCTGTATTTTGCCTTGGTTTTGGGTCAATTCTTTTCATATTCCTGGTTGTTTTTGATTAATGTTGGACATAGTGAGAAAGTCTAGAGACAATTTAAGATTCCGCATGGTGTTATATTTCAAAAGAATGATTTTACTTTTTATTCTGGCAGGTTACTTAGGGTGGGGGGGCAGACCATTTTACCCCAAACAGGGCCTGAGCTGAAGAGCAGTGTGGCCTCAGACTTCACGGGGCTGGCCTTTTCCTGTTCCACCCTTGTCTCTAGGGGATTCAGGCATCCCAGGTGAAAGCCGGGTGCGTTTTCCAGGGCTTCTACTCTCCGGCAGGTTTTGAACTTCAATTTTATCTCCCCAGTAGGGTGACCAAATATCCCCCTGTGCCATGAGAGAAATAGAAAACGCACCCACCAAAACCCACGAGGGATATTAAAACTCCATCAAAGCGCTTTTGTCACTGTGTCATATGTTACTTAAGAATCAGTCCTTCTCAGTGAAGTGTTCCAGGCAACCCTGATGCATGCACTGCTGCTGTTGTGTGACATCAGACTACTCTGGATGGGAAAACACAGCCGTAGTTATCTGTAGCAGCAGTAGTACAGGGGTGGATAAGACGGCAGTACTCACATACAGCGGGCAGAGGAAAATGAGTTAGTAAATGGTTTAAAATAATGAGAAGTCAAAATGAAAATCATTTTGAACACTCCCAAGACATCAACGTTTACTGATAAGGCAGTGAAAATATCTTCGTCAAATGTAAGAAAAAGTTTACTCTTCAAGTTTTTCTCTTTCTATATCTCTTAGACGGAAGCATTGTTATTTCTGATTTTGCAAGTGAGATAAGACAAAGGAATAGAGAGGCTATTTTGCCGTGATCTCACAGGGAATCATTCAAAGATTGGGCTCCATATTCAATCCTGGCTCAGATTAAACTGTAAACTTCGTGAAAACCTGATGAACGGGGACTTAAAAAATAATTCGAGAAGTAGGTTTTCATTTCTCTTATTAACTCACCTATAATCATGAAGAACCTGTTCATCATCATTGTCTTCTTAACAGAAAGACTCAATGAATTCCTGCCTTGGACAGAGAACTGTGGTTCCTAGTTTGTAGGTTTAATGCATTCGGTCCTCTGCTATGCTGACAGGAAACTTAGCGTATGAGCCGCAATCAAAGAAATAGTCCAACAGGCAGAAAAGCACCGATGATACAGTGTTTGTTCACTACACATTTATTTAGGAGCTACTGTTTCCAAGGTGTTCTGCTAAGCAGCCTGTAGGATAATAAAAAGGTGAAAAAAGATATGTCCCTGCCTGTTAGTTTTTATGACTTCTTATTGAAATAGTAGACTTACAAATACCTCTAACAATTAATGCTTTTCTCACTTGTTAAGGTGTCTGTAGACTTTTTGCAAGTTTGATTAGTTCTATGGACTTCTGTTGTTTCAAGTTGGAAAGCTTCATTGAGTTCCCTGAAACATTTCCTGGAGAATGGGAAGGATTTGACGAAAAAATCAATGAGATGAAAATCCATTTGCAGGCATTGTTGGACAGCATTGGCACTGTTCCCCAGAGCTTAGACATGGATAGTGGCTCGTAAGTTCCCGGAGCTCTCTGCTGGGCAGGAGAAGGGAATCTCCACTTCTCAACTGCATTTTCTCAGTACCTAGCCTCAGCAACAGGTAGCTGGGGTCAGATGGGAAACCTTGAAGCCCTGTTCCTCCCAGGAAGACAGCCATCTGACTGGGAGCCGTAGGGTGCAGAGCCCTGGGTCCATGACCACAGGAGTCCACAGTGGAGTTTCTGCCTCGCCGAGCTGGGAAGGGGAAGAGAGGGCGTAGCCTTGGCTCAGATGCTAGAGACTCTTGCCTTTCTTACTGAATCTTCACAGGTTGTCTTGAATAGATGTTTTTTCATTTGCTGTTTGTTCTTAGGACCATTTCTAGAGGCTTTCAATGTTTTCTTCCTTCCTCCTTCCCTCTCTCCTTCTCTCTCTCTTTCTTTCTTTCTCTCTTTCTTTCTTTCCTCCCTCTCTCTTTTCTCCCTTCCTCCCTCCTCCTTCCTTCCTCTTCCCTCCCTCCCTTCCTTCCTCTCTTTCTCTTTCTTTCTTTCTTTCTTTCTTTCTTTCTTTCTTTCTTTCTTTCTTTCTTTCTTTCTTTCTTTCTCCTTCTCTCTCTCTGTCTCTTCCCTCCCTCCCTCCCTCCCTTCCCAGTGGGGAAGGGGTCAGTAGTCAGCTTTGCTCCTCACACTGTCATGGTGGAAGCTGATCTCTTGAGAGAATTTAGAAATTCATTCTTCTCACTTTCTGGTCTCCTCAGTCTAGAAGTGAATAGAAAGTGTGTAAGTGTGAGTTTTTACAGTAGAGAGGCAAGACCTTACACTGAAGGCAAGACCTACATTGTCCAAAGAACGCCATGCCCAGTGGCTACTGGTGTTGGAAGGCCACGTCAGTGCGTTAGCCAATATGCCAGAAAAACCAAGGCTGTCGTTCACCTTTTCCGAGTTCTCAGACAGGTGTCAACGCCTGGTTTACTAGGCCCACCTAAAGAAAACCCCTTTCATTTAATTATAGTTACTTTAATATTCTAAGTAAGTCATTTATCTTTATTTTACTTAATTTTTCCTTCAGGGCACTTGAAGAACATATATTTAACATGATTCAACAATGGCATTTGAAAATAGGCAACGAGATTAACAATGGGAACATCGAACTTCAGCGCCACGTATGTACCAGTAGGAATCTGTGAGGCTAACTTTGTCCCGGCTAGGAGGTTTCTTTAAGGAAAAACCAGGTCATACCTATGCAATTAAAGCAGGAGATTGGGAGGGCAGAAATGGAGACTTAGATAATTACTAAATGATTTGAATGCAAAATGTTCCTACTTCCTACCTGTGGAATGAAGTTTCAGAGATGACCCAACATGTTTGAGTTCTAATTATTGTCTTTGCTCTTTACTTGGTATATTGACGTTTTCCCCCTTAATAGGGATGTGGCCATTTTAAGGATTTCTGTTGGTGGCCCAGACTGGCTGAAGGGGTGACAAAAACATGTAACTGGGGGGAAAGAGAAGATGCCAGAATACTGCTGGTCTATGCTTGTTAGAGCAAAGAGAGCGGTTCTGTGGTTCTGAACAGCTGTGCCCATGGACGTCTTAATCAGCACGACATGACGTAACTTGCAAAGGATGACTTCGTTTATTACATTTACTCTCGCCTCCTGGTCTTAATTATAATCTGACTCTGCACAGGAAAAACATCTTATAAGCAGACTTAATGTGATTAAATAAATTTAACTCATTTTAATATTGCTTACCTTAGGAATCCGAAAGGCAGAGTTCATCAGTGGTGGGGGATTACTACTTATGTAGCATTACTTTATATCACAGCCTGTGAGCACATTATAAACACATATAAAGACATTAAGAGTTGAGGAGCAAATATATTAAGACTGGACATATGGGTCCAGGATTGGGAGAAATTTCTGTGACTTCAAAGACCATCTGCATTCATTTAAAGAGGGGAGCAGAGGGCCTGTCACAGTGGGACTCAACAGATGTTTGTTGAGTGAAGTAAGGATGAGCATTCCAGATGTGCCAACAAGTAAAACAGAGAGATGGACAAGGCACTATAGAAACATAGGGAGGGGACGACCTCGGAGCAGATCATGCGGAAGCCTCAAAGAACACTTAGGCACTCACCGAACAGAGAACGGGGCCGGGCATTCGCAGCGAATGGCGTGTTCGCCATCCACAGTTCATAAAGGTTTTTGCATTTCACTTCTGGTGCCTGGCCTGAGCAGATGCCCTAATCCAGGGGTCCTCAGACTTTCTCTTTTAGTGGTACCCTCTGTGCCCCAGCACTTTCGTGCACTTCAGCCGAAAGAAATGCTGCCCAGCTCAGTTTATTAAGTAGTTGTCTTCAAACGACTCACTAAGTGTTCATGTCCTAATGATTTAGTGACTGTTTGGAAAAAGCAAGAAATGTTTACAAAGTTAAAACATGGAGGCCATGGCACCGAGGCTGCTCCACAGCCTCTGGTGGCCCATGGGAATGAGCCAAGGCCAGAGCCGGCGCAGCCGTGTCCGTGAAAGAGAAGCTCCAGAAGGTTCTGGCCATAAGCCGTCAACTGGACTTTCCCACATGGGAGAAATCAGAACCCAAGAATCATTATCAAAAAAAGAATAATGATCATAACAGCCAAATAACTAACTGTTCCCAAATAAGGCAAATGTTTAAATGATTACAGACAAATAGTTGCTTTACTTCAGCATCTTCTCTGTAAAAATCCCTGCCCTGTCCCCAGAGCAGGGGTGCCCCCAGAGCTCCTCCAACAATTTTTCAGCTTTCACGTTGCTTAACTGGAATTGTTGCTTGCCGAAATAAACTTTCAAAAATTTAATGTCTTAGTTTACCTTTGTATATATACAAACATTGGGGAAAAAACCCCCTTTTCCCCCCTCAATCAGAATCCCTAAGGGATGTATGAACTTGGGCCCTGTATAACTTCTCTAACCCGGACATCGGATGGGATGCTGCCATCCTCGTCTCCTGTTTCACTTCGGTTTTTACACACGACCACCCATAAAACCAGCGTTGCACAGATGTGATGTCATCAAAAGTGGTATAGCGCATCTAATGCTGAAGCTGTGAACTGTATCAGCTTCATGCTGTGTCCGACACGTGCTGTATTTCCCTCAAGAATTTAAAATCCCATCCTGGTCAGGCAGCTCAGCTGGTTCGAGCGCCAGCCCATACACCAAGAGGTTGCAGGTTCCGTCCCTGGTTGGGGTGTGTACAGGGAGCAAGCACTCAATGTTTCTCTCTCATCTCTCTCAAAATCAATAAAAATATCCCTGGGTGAGGATTTTTTAAAAAAGAATTAAAAATCTCATGGCATCCTTGAGAATTCACTGTGGAGTCCTGGGATGCCGTGGTGTACAATTTGAGAACTGTGGCTTTAATACCCTTGACCAAGCTAAGACAAGTTAGTGTAGTATAGTGAGAAGGAAAAAAAAAAAAAAATATATATATATATATATGGTTATACCAGCCGAGTAGTTATGATTTAATTTCATTAAGAATGAATGATATTAGTGTTGAAAATAGACACAGATATGATCATTTCTAGTTTTAAGTTTGGCCTGTTTTTTTTTTTGAAAGATTTTATTTATTTATTTTTAGAGAGGGAAGGGAGGGGGAGAGAGAGAGAGAGAGAAACATCAATGTGCGGTTGCTGGGGGTCATGGCCTGCAACCCAGGCATGTACCCTGGCTGGGAATCAAACCTGTGACACTTTGGTTCGCAGCTCACGCTCAATCCACTGAGCTATGCCAACCAGGGCTTGGCCTGGTTTTTTACTGTTCGGTGTATTTAAAACGGGCCATTTGTTATGGCTACTTTTTAACAGGTGGATGAATTGCATATATCTATGATCCAGTGGATGGTGCGCCTGCTGGTAGTGATGGTGCCCGACTTTCCTGACCAGGACCTTCTCCCAGGGCTGCAGGAGGCAAGAGCTAAGAAGCACGACGTAAACGTTGCAAACTTGGAGCTCGACGCAGTCGCCCTGGCAAAAAAGTTGTCCAAATACTCCCGTTATTTGAACAGGTAAAACTCCGTTTTTTTTTTTTTTAATCCTGCCTTTTTGAAGATACATTTGTGACATCAAGCAGAGGAGAGGAAGACAGTTAAGTAGCAGCAATAAGGAATTGCTTTAAAACTTTGAAAGAAGTACTAGTTCGGTTTTAAAACCATTGTTGGCACTGCCCAGGGGGAGATGAGATTTCCAAGTTTTCCCAATGGCCTTAGCATTCTTTCGGAAACAGTGTTGGTGTGGCCAGGATGGGAAGTGTGTGAGGATGTGAGAGTGCGAATTAGTTAAAAAACGGAAGAGGACCCACTTCACTTAAATAAGTGAGACATGTCTTGCACTTTTGCACAGGCTGGGGGCATTTGTGAAGAGGCTTGCCGTTTCTGGTGTCAATTTCATGCAAAACGGAATGCATACTTTCATTTCATTAAACACTGACCAAAACATCTCTAAAAACACACAAACAAAAAAATAAAAAGCCCTATATCTGGAAAGCTAGAGGATTCTCACCAAATAAAGGTGAGGTCTGAAAAAAAAATGTAAAATGGTTAACTACTAGTAAGCACACCATCACTATGATTACTTCACATCTGGGAAGTAGCTTTTGTAATCTAGCCACTTGCCCCTTCCTATCCATTCAGTGTCACCAGCGGTCAAGAGCGAGAGGAGGGGAGGGGAAGGGAGGACAACTGTGAGAGACCGAGAGGCGGTTGGGACTCTGGGGTGAGTAGTGGCTGCATTACTACGGGGAACTTCCCCTGTGTCTGGACTGAAGACACTCAGGGGAGGAGCCAGCGCTGACAGGCCGTGCTCTGTGTGTGTGCTTCTCCCCAGCTGCTGCAAAGGGATGGTAACAGCTACAGCTCTGAGTATAGCCAGCAACGTACAAAAATATTCTACTAAGGAACTTCACGATCTAAATGCAATGAAGGTAATCGCTCTGTTTTCCTCTCACTTTTTTTTTTTTTTTTTTACTTTTAGAGAGGGAAGGGAGGGAGAAAGAGAGAGAGAGACATCAATGTGCAGTTGCTGGGGGCCGTGGCCTGCAACCCAGGCATGTGCCCCGACTGGGAATCGAACCTGCAATGCTTTGGTTCGCAGCTCGCGCTCAATCCACTGAGCTACGCCAGCTAGGGCACTTTTGTTTTGTTTTGAGCAGACGTTTTAGGCTAGCTCCCGCTTTGTTAGGGTTTTCTTAATTTCACATTCAGCCCCGTCCTTGACTGCTACCATCTATCTTCCCCTGATCTCCTGGACAACCTCTCAGGGACAACAGTCTTTATGACATTAAACTCTGGGACTCCTGTGGCTTCGTCCATGCCCCACACAGGGAGAGTGGAAGGCAGACCTCCAGAGGGGCCTTGTCGAATGTGGGCGAACCGTGACGCTCGTGGCTTGTGCCGCCCCAGTCGCATCCTAGCGTTTGAAGAAGAACGTATCGCCAACCTACTAGACTGCTGTTTGGATAACGTTAATGATGGTTTCCCACACTCTAATATTTTGGGGTGGTTCCTTTGCCATAAATGAGAGTTGTGTGGTGCTGAGCAGGATTCTGGAGTGGGAGAACTCTTAAGGAAGAATCTTTCGGAGTTTGATCACTTACCCACAGTTCCTGCCCAAGTCTTCCACCACGACTGCCTAAATTGCTTCTTCAGAAAGCCTTGGGGTCTGTCCAGTGGCCCATCGCCACTGAGGCAGTCCAGTAACTCATGACCCTGTTTACATTCTCACCTGACCCTGGCTTCTGCTGGTTCGGTCTGACCTCACACTTCAGAGCTATGGATCAGTGCCGGAGACTATTTTCCAAGGGGATTCAGTTCTAGAGGTCCTTGCTCCTATTCCCATTTCTGAAAGAAGCTGGTCTCTGCTCGTCACCTGCTCCACTTGGGAATAGGAATTGCTTGTCATTAAGACTTCATTTGAGGCTTGGAAGCACTGCATCAGAGTCCTGGCATCCACTGAGAGCAGACAAGGACCTCTGCACCATAAACCAGCTCCTCACAACCTAGAAACTTAGCCCCCCAGTAAACAGATAGGTGGCTTTTTTCAAGTGCTTTAGGTGGACCATCTACACAGTTCCAGGCATCTAGAATTAGAGTCACTGGTGCTCTGGAGTTTGGTCACAATCTGAGTAAATGACAGCTACTTTGGAGGATCTCTGAGGTAACCCTCAGCAGACTAAGACTGGTAAAAAGACACACACTGACCAACCCCCGACAATGCTGAGGACATATGGGAAGGAAATACCTCCTCTTGTTACCCACCGTGATGGAAAAGAGAGGACTTTGTGCTTGAAGACCTTTACACTGACTTCCGGCTGCCGCTGACTCCCTCCACGCTACTCCTTTCCAACGCTGGCTGGAGGGATTCATTAAGGCCCTGCCATCCACCTTGGGCTGCCGTAACCTCCTTATGTCACCCAAGTACTGTTGCCCGTTTCAGGATTGGGCCCCCCAAAAGGTGACTTTGAAGAGGAGTGCTGGGGACCTGCCTCTTACAGTGTTTCAGCAGATGAACTCAGGGGAGTCCCAGCTTTCCCGCCTTTTTGGGGAGACCTGGGGATGATGGGCTCTTTCACTATGTTCCCACCCTAGTCTCCCCACTGGCGCCCTATGAAACAGCGGATCTCGACAGTCTTCTCTTCCTCCTGCTTTTGATCCGCTGCAGCAGGCCTAACACGCAGGACTGTCCTTTGCTTCCTAAACCCTCCTTCGTCCCAGACATGAATTTTAGCCCTTTTACTTCCCACCGGAAGCTTTTATTAACACAGCCCTGAATCGGACTTTATTAACATTTAATAAGGTTACTGATGGAAGGAGATCTACACGCATTGCTTAGCAACCAAGCTATCCTGGTCAAAGGCAGTGTTGAAGGTTTTGAAAGAAAACTTGCTTAACTCTGTAGATTACTGTGAAATTTTACCAAAAAAAAAAAAAGCCCTACTGATTTTTTCTCCCATCAGAAGTCTTATGACAGTATTTTCAATGTCTTAGACGTTTGTAAGAAAATGACTAGGATCTTTTTGACAAGTGCAAGTTCAACCGCAGAAGTTTCTCCTGAATGACGAATTAACTGTGAAGAAATAAAACTTCAAAAATATCATTACTGTTTTCAGAACCAACTAATGTTTTATTCTAGGGACAATGTAGAAAGTTAAATACTGTGTGCATCAAGTTTTGTCACCAGGAGGATCCTCAGGGACAGAGGTGTGGTCGACTCACAGTGGCCCGCAGAGCTGGCAGTGCACAGCCTTGGCCGGCTCCACATCCAGCAGTGACGTGCGAGCTGCTGAGTGTCATTGAACCTGCCGCGGCCAGTGACCATGGGAATTAGCAAATGCTGTAAATTAGGGCTCCCGTCCCCAAGATGGTTGTTACTAGTTGCCCACTGCGTGGGGTCCCCTGGAATAAACCACCCACTTCATTTGCTTTTAGCAGACGAAGACTATTAGGACTTTACTCAAGAAGTCACAGCTGGTGAAGTGAATTTAAGACTAGAAGCCATTGCTTTCACATTCCCTGTTTGATCCTTTCTGTGATAAGACATCACCCTAACCCTTTAGAACTTAAACTTACTAATGACATGGACGAAGCTGTGGCAAACTCACTTTTCCTCTTTAGATTTCAGTTTTCTTGTCTACAACGTAAGGGTTTGGATTTGATTTCTAAAACCTTTTAGTTCTGAAATTTCATAATTCCAGAATTAAAAATAAGTCTAATAACAAGAAAAATATAAGACCTATTACTGTTTTGTATGGTTGACATTAAGGACCTATGGTGGGTCATTAGTTCATCGCACAGAACAGTTTTTTGATGGGTAAAGTGACCGGATCTCCTTCCCCAGAGAAGGTAGTTTACGAGTTCCCTCTGCTTTTACTTGCTAATAAGGAAGCTTTTAAACACTGAAGCCAGATCTTAGCTGTTAGGAGATGTTGGTAAAGTAAATGTAGTTTTACTATTCACTTTGGTGCTGAAGACTGTTCTGTACCTCAATAGATATGGAGCGAGCACCTTTTCTAAGACACTGCTTCAGATCTTTATTCATTCACTTGGTTGGGGGCAGGGTAATATTTTTGTAGGGGTTCAGAGCCCAGGCCACCTGGGTTAGAATCCCAGGTCCATGTTTAAATACATATAAGACCTTGAACAAGATACTCAAGTATTCTCTTCCTTAATTTCTTCATCTAAAAAAAATGAGGATACTAATAGTATATATCTCAGTTCTCATCACAAGAAAATAAATTTTGTAACTATGCTGAGAAATGGTAACTGGATTTATTATGGTGATCATTTGGTAATATATATAAATATTAATTATACTATACACCTGAAACCAGTATAATGTTATTTCAGTTATACCTTAAAAATAATAGGACATATTTCATATTGAGGATCAAATGAGTTAATATACGCACAGTGCTTAGGAAAGTCTGACACATAATTAAGTGCCATCCATGTTAAGTGTTGCTATTTTCATTGTTAGGTTAAGTGATCACAGTTGACCTGGTCAGCTGCATATTTGTTGGGGCAGACCATTTGCCCACAGTAAATCCAACTATGTCTCTGCATCTGATTTTATGACACTTAACTACACCTTGTTCTGTTATAAGTGTCGATAAGCAATGGTAGATTTTAGGTCTGTATTCACAGGAAATCACTCCTGCACGCACCTGTGAACTGGAGTGATGCAATGTTCATTGAATGGAGCTATACTTGTATTCAGCAATTCCTTGATAGGGGTGAGTGAGTAAACGCTCTGATTTTTTTCTGCTTAGTAGTAATCTTTTTATCTCTTATTAGAGAGAATGTTATGAGTGGATCACCACGTGTTCTCAGCTCCTCGGTCAGATGAAAGGCAAACGCATCAAGTTACTGACCTATGAAGAAAAGGTGCTCCTACTTGAAGAAGAGGTGCGTGCCCTGCGCTGGCACTGGTCATGATTCAGGTTTTTCCTGTATTTTTTTTAAGATTTTATTTTTATTTATTTTTAGAGAGGGAAGGGAGGGGAGAGAGAGAGAGAGAGAGAGAGAGAGAGAGAGAGAGAGAAAGAAACATCAATGTGCAGTTGCTGGGGGTCATGGCCTGCAACCCAGGCATGTACCCTGACTGGGAATCGAACCTGCGACACTTTGGTTCGCAGCCCGCGCTCAATCCACTGAGCTATAGCAGCCAGGGCTCTTCTTCCTGTATTTTAATAGATAAGGGGTCAGCGACGTTTCCCGGTGAATGTCCCTGGAGTTCCTTCTTACGTCCGAGGCAACTTTGGGCCTCCTGTGCAGGCTCCTCTTTCTTCTCCAGCCCCTGGTGTGCTAGGTTCCTGTTCTAAGGCCTCATCCTCTACTCGCTTCATGGGTTCTTCTTTGGTGATGTCATTTACCTTCTTGGCTTTAACCAGATCCCTCTGTCTAAACTTCAGATATTCTGCTACTTACCAGATACTTGCACTCAGATGTCTTAGGAGTACCTCAGACCCACACAGTCTACTCTGATCTCATCTGTCTTCCCAAACCTGCTTATCCAACTTTGTTTATTATCCCTGTGAATCTCATTATCATCTCTGGAGTGACCTTAACTATAAACCAGGTGTCATTCAAGATGCTCCCTTTTCCTAGCCATGCCATGTCCATCCATCCAATCAATCAATCAATCAATCAATCAATCACTAAGAGTTACTTCCTGAATATCTCTTGAATCCTTATCCTCTTCATTCCTACAACCCTGTGCTGTTCTTTGCCTCCTCTTGTCTTTCTCCTCTCTCCCTGTTCTTCTCTTCCTCCCTCCTTCTCTCTCTCTCTCCTCCAATCTTCTTCCTCCTTTTTAAATCTCCTTTCCTGTTGCTAGAGTGGTTGTTTAAAATATAAAACATATCCGTCAATGTATTGACCTCTCCTCACCTTCAGGATAAAGTCCAGCCTTCCTGACATGACGCACCGTGCTCTGCTCTACCTGTCCCTAAGTTCCCGCCCTGTCGGACACAGTTCTTCCCTCCTCGGAGCCAGTCCCGTGTCTCCAGTGTCTTCCCCCTTGTACCTCCTGGTTCTCTTTTACACCCCCTTCAGGAGGAAACGCAGACATTATCTTTTTCAGGAAACCTGCCTGGCCAACCCTCTCTTTTACCCCCATCCACTACCAGATGAAAATTAGGTATTTCTACTATTTGACCATATGTATTCGTAGCATTTTCTGGGTCACTCAGTTGTAAACTTCTTAAGAGCAGGGACCATTCTTAATAACCTTTGTATCCTTATTACTAGCATAAGGATCTGTTGCAGGATTTGTGCCCTTTAAGTATTTTTAATAAATAATTGCTAATATAGCACTAAAATATTTGTATACACTCAGCTATAATTATAACATTATTTTATCTCATAGGAAATTATAAAAGAATCTGAGTCTGAAACAGACATACATTTTGAAGAGGATGAAAAAGAAAGTAAGAAGGATAAGAAAGTTGAGAAAGGACCAGAAGAAGAGAAAGCAAAAGTAAGATTACATAGTACTATCTTTTTTTTTAAGACTTTATTTATTTGTTTTTAGAGAGGGAAGGGAGGGAGAAAGAGAGAGAGAGAGAAACATCAATGTGCGGTTGCTGGGGGCCGTGGCCTGCAACCCAGGCATGTGCCCTGACTGGGAATCGAACCTGCGACACTTTGGTTCGCAGCTCGAGCTCAATCCACTGAGCTATGTCAGCCAGGGGCTCATAGTACTATCTTTTTAAAGAACTTACATATGTACTGTTGAAAATAAAAATAGATCGTCTGGAGTAAACTCTTTAACTTCATACAAATGTAACCATATCTGTAGACACATTTACCTCTCAATTTTCTAAGGGGTGTCCTTTTTCCTTTCTAAATCCAGCCATTTCCATTAGCCTCACTCACAGCTACGCTCCCATTGCCTCTCACCTGGATGCTGTTGCCTCGTCTCTTTGCTGCGGATTCTGTCAGTAGCAGTGCAAACTCTGCGTCTCCACCTCTTCAGCTCCCATTCCGAGCTGCCTCTCCTCCCTCCTCCCAGGCCCATCTCCATCTCTGTCTCTCTCTTACCCTGTCTGCACCCCTGTTGGGGCGTTATTAGTAATAACTTTTCCTGGGGCAGTCATACTAATGACAGAAATACAATGATGATGACCAATTGCTGAGTGCCTGCCATGAGCTGTATGCTGCACACATGTGACCTCACAAGTGCGAGAAAACTCACAGTCGGCGTGGTTGACTGTCTTACCCCAAATCACATAACCGTAAGTAGCAGAGCCCACACTCAAACCCAGAGAAGTCTGGCGAAGAGCCCTTGTTCAGTCCCGCAGTGAATACTGTCTTCGGCTTTCAGAACTCGTCCTGATCCCCTCATGCTCTTATTCTGTCTTAACCCACTTCCCTGATGTTTCTTTTCTGTGAATAGTTTGACTGTCGGCACAGTGGGCATGGCCCCAGGTTCTGACCCAGGTCCTCCAACCCCTGTCCACGCAGGACAACAGGACAAGAGTGTTGTACAACACCCAGGCCTCTTTGGACCAGCATTTTCCGTTTTATTGATGGCCCAGTGCTTGCATATAGAAGGCACAAAATAAGTGTAAAGCATTATTATTTGGTCACTAAATTCTGTCATACCTTTTCCGTCTGTAACGTATCATCCCTTTTCCTCCGTCTGTGGCCTTCGATCAGGCCATTTCCCCTCTAGTCACAAACTCCCCTTCATTCAGCTTTCAAAGGTCATTTTCTCTGTAGAAACTTCCCCGAGTGTCTAGGCAGAGTGGAGGGCCCTTTTCTGGCCACACACAGCTCTTGAAACGCGCCTCTGTGCTGACAGTAACCGCGTACACCATGGTCACTTTACAGCCTGTCTCTCTTACTGCACTGCGGGTTCCGGAGGTCTCGGGAAACCCGCCCCGCTGTTCTCACAGGTGTCCCCCCTTGTCCCTGCTTCCTCATCCCCACTAATTTATCACACAGCGTTTTCTGGGAGTCTTCAAAAAAAAAGTTTGTTAAGTAATTAAAGCAAATAGAAAACGAAAGCTTCAGGCATGGGGCCAGGCGACTCGCCACACCACGGTGTCCCCCGCCAGCTCACTGACGGGCCCTCGGTGTCTGTGTGCCCTAGAAACCGTCAACATCCACGGAGCCGGAAAAACTCATTCGGTTCATTGGAGAAGATGAAAATATTCACTCCAGGCCTCTGTTTGGACCAGATTTATTATCTACCTGGGTATGTAGCTGAAACCCAATTTTTCAATATATTCATTGGGCAGATTCTGTTGACAGCTGTGATAAGCACATACCTGTAACCTAGAATTATCAGGAAATTGGGAACCTTTAGGCGGTGGCTATGGAAACTCAACAGGCAAACAGAATTAAAATTCCTCCACAGAAGGTTCTAGGACCGTGTTAGGAGGGTTTTCCCCCCATGTTTTTACTGCCTCAGTATATGTAAAGTCCCCTGTTGAGTGAAAGATCATCCTGGATTTTGCAGTGGTATGTGAAATAAAGTATTAAGGTAAATATAGATACTTTCCTTGATACTTGATTTATTAGACAAACATGTTTACTCTTCTATTTGCTTTTCTAGCCTCTTCCTTCCCTATTTCTTTCTGTTGCTACTGTTTTCCTTGCTTCTTTACAACTCTCATCGAATCTATGACCACCTGCAGCACGAGTAATTTGGAAGTGGTGTGCTATTGGCCACAGGAAATCCCTGTTCTTTTTTGTTGTGAAGAGTGGGCTTATGATCTACTGTATAAATATGGATAGTATTGAGTAGGAAAAGATACCCTGGGAGGCTTGGTGCATAACATCCCGAAGAAGTACACTATTAACTGTCGGGACTCCCAGTTCATTCATTGCACACATTTCCTTTGTCAGAGAAAGTCAGCTGACCAGGGTGCATTGGCCCCAAAGTACCTTGAAGCGATGTCAATAATTGAACACACACAGGAGAAGTTAATGTGAGTATGAGGCACCTCGATGGTAAGAAGATGAAGATGCTGGCCAGGAGGTTTGGCTGAGAAATCCACACTTCTTGGCTGACCATTGGTTCTCCTACTTCCTTCATCCTCACTAGTGGGATGGGTATCTCCAAATCTTCTAGAGCCAGGGAACGACACTGCTGTCATAGCAACGTCTGTCCCCACCCACAGTGGAGATGGCGGAGGTCGAAGTGTGTATATGGGGAGGGAGGATAGGATGTTAGACGTGATCCACTTCAGTATGTTTCTAAGAAACGAACTAGAGAAATAGGTGGGACAGGGAGAAACTACTGTGTGCAAGAAAGAATGTCCCATAACCCCCAAAGTAGGAGGAGCAGTATATTTGGATGGCTGAGGATGGCAGGGGGAAGCGTAGCCTTGTAGACATGTGCTGTGGTTATTAAGGAGCATTTCTCAGGCTGGCTTTCTTGAGTGTAGAATCTGTTTTTAAAGGTCTGTAAAAGAAAAGAATGAAAAAAAAAGACACTGTGTTTCTGGGTACTTTTGCTTTGGATTTTTTTTTTTTTTTGGATTTTTTTTTTTTAATGAAGGGATACCATTGCATTTAGTTTGTTGAATCACATCAATGAAGAGAAGCAGAAAATAACTTCTGAAAAGGGGTTCTTTAACTATCGATAGAGAATTCTAAATACCCCAAAGTCAGATCTCACTAAGACACGATACCCATGTTCTTAAATCTCAGCGTGACTGCCACTCTGCCATTACCAGCCAGCATAGGTCCCCGGCCCCCAGTGCTTGGCTAATCAGTGATGCCGCCACGTCCCTTATTTACACCCTTCATCAGCAGGTGCATTCATCTAATCCCACTGCCTTCTTTAGACAATGGGTTTTTCTCCATGACTGGCACTTTCTCAAACTTTCCCATCTCGTTGTGCTTCTCTGGACTTTGTCCACATCAGGGAGGCTGCCAACCGAGCCAGACGAGCAGAGCAGAAGTTCGATGATATGAATGAGAAACTTCACTACACCCTCATAAGAAATAAAGAACTGGAGAAAGAACTGGAGGAAGCATTGCTGAAGTCTAAGGAGAAGGAGACTGAAGGAGGAGAAGAGGAAGAAAATGAAGGAGAAAGAGGAGAAGGAGAAGAGGAAGATCACAAAGAAGAAGAAGGAGACGAGGAAGAGGAAGAAGAAGAAGAAGAAGAAATCAGGCCAGCAGAAAGTTCCTCAAAACCCCTGAAGAAAGGTGAGGCTTTCTTCCTCATTTGCTTCATTTAAGTTGTATTTATGAAAGGAAACTTGATTGGGCCACAGATATTTTAGAAGAGGATCAATGAATTTAGTGTTGATTTCCTAGTTCATACTTCTCATAGGCTTGCACATACATGTAACTACCTAACTATCTTATTCAGACACCTCACAAAAAAGAAAACTAAATGACTGACAATTGTAGACTAGTAAACTAACTTGAGATAAAATTTTTACTTATAAAACTGGCAAGGATTGTTTAAAACAAAAGAATACAGTGCTGATCAGAAGGGGTGAAGTAGGTAGTTTTGCAGAAAACTTGTGGGTGGACAGACAGATATAACCCTTTCCAGAAATAACTGGAGAGTATGTGTGGGATGTGCCTTAAAAGCAGACAAATATTTTGACCTAATGATTTAACCTTTGAGAATCTATAATCCTAAATATAGGAAAAAAATTAATGCACAGAAATGTTCAGTGTATCATTACCTATAATAGGCAAAAATAGAAGCAATATCTCTCCAATCATGGGAGAAATATTAAATAAGTTGTGCTACATTAATATACCTGAATATTATACAATTATTAAAATGGTTGATGCAGATCCTGGCTGGCAGGATCCGTGTGTTGTGGCCGTAAGACAAATACACACGGACAACCGAAATCCTGTGGAGAAAAAGGGACGGCATGGCCGCTCTCAGAGAGAGAGAGAGAGAGAGGGCCCCGGCCCCTGCCTGGACAGGCTTTTATTGCTTCTCTAGGCACAGTACATTGGAAGAGGGTCCTCATTTACCATGCACAGGTTTGCTGCAGGGGATTACCTTTTACAGACAACAAAGAAAAGAATGCAGCTAATTACTTCAAAGAGAAGGATGTTGCAGACCAAGGGGAAAAGTGGTTGAACTGGTTACATTCCATGCTCAGGAGGTTTAAGACTTGGGAGGCACAGATCTTAGGAAGTTACAGTAAGCACTTGCTGCCTCAATTCAGGGTCAGGGAGTTTTAGCAAAAGCAAGTCTCATAGCAGCCTAGGTACAATGCAGGCCTGATTCCCCACAGGAAAATCTCTCCGTGGGCGTGGTCCTGCATGCCGACTCACTTCCCACTGGTTTTCCACGTGGGAGCTGAGCTACCTTTCCACGCCATGAGAAACGGCTCCCTACAAATGGTGTTTTTGAGGAGTTTATAATGACATGGGAAATTCTTGTGTTAAAATATCAAATGCAAGAAATTAGATATGATGGTATTTTTTAAAGCTAGAAAGAAAAGGCCAGAAGTAAATATGCCCAAATATTGACAGACATTGTCACTGGTTGGTGGAATTTTATGGGGAATTTTTGTCTTTATTTTTTGGATTTTACTTGTTGGATTTTCTGTGATGGGAGCAGTCTCCTTCATTCTCCAGGAAAAGGCATTTAATTATTTTATCACCTCTAATCAGTGCTGTATATTCCCTCAAGCAGTTCTCAACATCCTCAGTATTGGCGACTGTTTGTTATTTTGGTTGTCATCTTTGACCTGTGGGCTGTTCCCAGGACAGCTCCTGGTACAGGGGTCAGGCTGGGAAGCTACCACTTTTTGTTTTTTGCTTCAGCCCCTACCTGTACCCATGTCCCCAGCAACAGCCATAGGGTAGCCAGTGCCTGGCAGTCTCCAGCCCCGGGTACCGTGTATCGACACTGTTTGAGGGAGGGTCTGGGCCCGTTTTCTCTCCTCTTAACTCTGAGCTGGTGGAATATCAGTTATTCCTAATGTGACAGTCCTTTAGCTTTAGGTTTAAATATGCATCAGATAAGTTTCATGCATTAAAAAAAAATCATCTTCTTATATTGTTGAGCAATTTTATCCTGATACTTTGAAAACTGAACTTTTTCTTGATGACTGAAAAATAAATATGCAAACCGTACTAAAGGCCTGTGTGTTAAACTGGAGAGGTCACCTCAATATGAAATGAGCAACCTTAGTTTTGTCCATTTTCATAAAGGTCTTGGGGATTGGGTTACATCCAGAATTTAACATTTTTCATTGTAATGGATAGAGGACAGCTATGCACAATTAGTCCCCAGTCTACAAAGAGTAACCTAGACAAATGCGTAGTCCCCGTGTCCTGCCGTCTGGACACCCGTCAGAGCCATCACCTGGGGGCTCGAAAGTGCAGGATGGGAAGCCCTGCCTGTATAGGGGAATTGTCTCCCATGCAGGGCAGCCCCCATGCTAGCCAGGTGACTGGAATATTTTTACTCATTTTGGGGGATTAGCAGGCAGCTCCTTTTAAAAACACAGACCCCTCTGGAGCAATGGGACACGCGCGTGGCACATACCATGTCACATTGGTGTGAGTTAGTGCAGGGAGATCACTTTTCCCCTGGGAGCTGCGCGGTGAAGGAACAGAAGAGGAAGGTAGAGGTTGGAGCCTTGAGAATGCCGAGTAAAAAGGAGATCTGGACGGAGTAGGGAGAGGTACTTCCGTTTTAGGTCAGTATTTTTAATAATTAGCAAATCATGGCGCTCTGAGCTGTGAGTGGAGAAGGGAATCAGGGGTGTTTACAAAGGAGAATCCGATCTCAGTGAGGCCCATGGTTGGGAGTGGGGAGGGCCACTCAAACACAAGATGAGGGTATGAGCAAGGTGACACTTAACAGCAGGATGAGGGTGTGGACAAGGTGACCAAGTGTGGCAAGGAGACGGCAGCAGCCAGTCAGAAGGCATCAGGTTGCAAAGTTGGGTGTCATGGAGCAGCCAGGGGTAGCAGGCTTGATGGCCGAAGGCCTCCTGCACCCATCCCAAGGGTGGGGCTCGTGTAGGGTGCAGGAGGCTGGAGGGAGGGAGGGAGGGAGGGAGAAGACAGAACAGGGGCGCAGGGATGGACCTGGCGGATTCTGGACATTCCCTTTATTTGAATTTCTTTTTTCTGCCAAACTTGGGGTGTGTACAAGCTGGACAGAGGAAATGTTCTTCCTCTTCCTCTTCCCTCTTTGACCACATGGCCCCCTTTTCCAGCACCCACAACTCAGGCTACTGACCTCACTTAAACTTTGAGGAAATGCATTCTGAATCCCAATAACAAAGTCAGAGTCAAATTGTGGGCTCAGAGCCTGTTTGTAGCTTAGCAGTTACTCAAGCAGAGCAGAATTTTAAAAAGGCTTTGTAAAGTAGAGCGCCTTTAGTAACTATGAGATAGTGTTCCTACCACATTCTGATTGTCTTTGTCTTTTCAGGGGTACAGCGCAAGGAGGAGACTCTCACCAGCAAACCCAAAGCCCGGAGTAAACCCAGTAAAACCAAGCCCAAGCAGCACCCATAGGGTGTTGGGGGTTGCCGTGGCTCCGCTACCCGAACACACCCCAGATCTCTCTGTGCTGTCGAGTTAACTGTTTGGCTCATTGGAGGTACTCCCTCGGCAACAGCTAGTAGAAAAGCCACGACGTACAGCCCGAGAACATTTTCCTTAAAACTCACCGTGGTGGCTGTAGGGAATCAGCACATTAGCTTATTTGCCAGATTAAAGATAGCTTGTGCAAAAGTTTGCTGGCCTCTTCAATTGATTTCCTAACAGAGGTCTGTGACAATATCAGTTTCTGTCAAGAAAATAGTGTGTTTTGAAGACTTTGCACTGTGTGGAAAAGAGTGATAAATAAAAAGCATTCTTTTATTTTATTATTATTTTTTATTTTTAATATAATCTTTATTATATTTTTCTATTACCATTTACCGGTAGTCCCCTGATATGCTCCTTTCCTCAGTGATCACCTCACTGTTGTCCATGTCTGTGCAGTTTTGTTTTGTTTTTTTTGTTTTTTTTTCTTTTTTTCAATTTAGAAAGAGGATGCTGATATTACCCCTAGGTTTCTACGGCATTTTCAAATTTCTTACAATTTCAGGCATTTTTATGATTTATCTGGTCTTCACAATAACCCTACAAAGTAGGTGGGGGCAATACTCTTATCCCCATTCTCAGAAGATGAAACTGAGGCCCAAAATGCTTGTAAGACTCCCCAAGGTCGCCGAGCCGGTCCGGGTCAGAGCCCCGCTTGCTGGACGCATGTCTAGATTGTGTGGCAACAGCCACGCCGTCAGGCCACTGTTCAAATGGTTTCCTTTATAGGGGCCGGCGTTGCGGAAGGTTCCCCCAGAACCTTCACGTTTTGCTTTCATTGCCTCATTTACCTGCTCTGGTTGTGACCTTGGGTCCTTTTAGGCACTAGAGTTGGACTAACCTGCGAAAGTCAGTTGCAAACGACACGCACGTTCTGAGCAGTCACGTGGCAAGGGTTCCTCCCCGCCTCTCTGCTCCTGGCTCGCTGGCGTTGGCTGTGCATCTCGGTCTCCAGACATCCGTGGTGAGGTTTCTGCCCCTGCAGAGGGGCTGTGCCTCCACGTACTTTGTGTTCCTTTGGGTTTATCTCTGAAACCTTAGACCTTTGCCTGTTTCTTAAGCCTCAAACACCCCCAACCGCAACCCCAGAGCTCCCAGACTTCTCTAAGCCCTGGGGAAGCCCTGGCCAGGCCTGCTCCTGGCCATCATCAAACTGTGGGTGGAATGGGTTTCAAAAATGCTAAGCCTGTTGGATGATTCTTTACTCTTGGGGAAGAAAACGTACAATTTTTCAGATGGTTGGCTGCGGTCACAGCCAAATAAAAGCCAAAGGTGAGGCTCTCAGTCAGCGTCACCACCTGCTGGGGCATACCCTGCCATGCTCTTGCTTTCCCAAACAGATCTGGGGCGATTCTAGCAAATTTGGGGGCTTTTAGGTGGGCTGTTCTAAGAGTAGTTTTTTTATTATTTTGTAGAAGACTTTTTCATTAACTTCAGGGACCTTAGAGAGTTTGATGAGCAAGCCCCCCATCCACCAGGCCTGGCTCCTCACTGCATACCCAGACCCCCGGCCGTGTGTATGGGCGCCCTGTGCTTCCTTCCCAGCAGACCTGGTCCTGCACTGGGGTCCTGCTGCTGTGACCGTGGTCAGATCGCCCATCGAGTACGTTCTGGCACATGCGGACAGGGCTGTCTTTTTTGCTCTTTGCCTTTCCTCACTGGAGATCAATGACCCAGCTGTCACCTGGGTGCCCTGCATTTTGCATTTTACTTTAAAAGACTGCAGGGACTTCTGCTTCTGCCCATTCCTGGAATTGCAAGCATGCTTCCCAACAGCACGTGTCTTCCCACAGGAAGCAGAAGAGCAAATATACTGACATAAAAGCCAAAATTCTAGAGGACGTCAGAACCCTCACAGTCCCACTGGATTCTGTTGAGGAGCGTTGTAGGGACCAGGAGCAGTCTAATGAGGAGGATCCGTCCGGACATATCCGCCCCCCCCCCCACCAGGGATGTGGCGTGCAGAGGCGCCGGCAGAAGGGCCTGCGGGGCCTCCTGGATATCGGGGCGTCGAAGCAGCAGAGCTGCGGCACCATCACCTCACGATCGGTAACCAGCTGGGATGCAGCACCCGGGTCTCAGGAAAGGACTTCTGCTCCTGGGGCCTCGCAGACAGCACTGTCTGCTCACCTGATCAGTCTCTGAAGGAATGCTCTGACCAGTCGCTGCACCCTTCCACCCCACCCAGAATACAGTTTCGTAGCAGCTCATCCCATTATTTCTCTCCCATCCAGCCCTCCCATCCCAACAACTGGTTAACACCCAAAGACACCACAGACCACCTAGTAGACCCAGATGGCGCCCTGTGGCAAGCTAATGAGAAATCTAAATGTCCACTGGGGGCATCAGAGCAGACTGACCAGCGGGCGGTGCTGCAGGCACGCCCCAGGTGCACAGGCAAGACTTGCCTTTGACTAAAACATGCCACGAGGAATTATTAAAGGACCACAAAAGCCACTTTACACTGTTACATTATGACCCTGGCATTTGCTTCTCTCATTGTCTTGTTCTCAGGTCTGGTTATACCCGAACCAGCAGGACCTTATGTCCTTTTTCATTAGCCATTCCCTATCTGCCAACCTGTGCTCAAGAACCATCCGTAGGGGGCGAAAAGTGACCAGCAACTCCTGATGCCATCTTAGCTTCAGTAAACAGCACACTGGGATGGGGATGGGCCAACACAGCGGTCGTGGACAATTCCTCCCACTTCAGGGTCTAATTGTCACTGGCCACTTAAACAGGCTGGGCCGTCTGTGACAGAGCCCTGGTGGGTGCACAGCAGCGAACTGCAAACCCTGATGGAGCAGACATTCTGGGAGATCACCCAGCTCCGCCCCCACCTCTCACTGGGTCTGCCTCCTCAGCGCTCGCTTTCCTCTCCCTGGCGCCCCACTCCTGGCCCAGGCAGGTTTCACCGCCGCCTTTGGCCTACTTGGACTTGACCGCCTTTCGGATCCCACTCCCTGTATTCCGGCCCTCGAGCACGGTCCGGGGCTCCGCCTGCTCCTCTGGCTTCAGCATCTCCCCTTGGGAGCAGGGTCTGGGGAGGCTTTCTCTCAGCAACATACAGAAATATTTTTCAGAACTGGATGAAACAGTCCTTTAAACCAAAATGGAAAGTTATCTCAATATATAGTAAGCTTATAAGCAGATTTTTGTATCGATACTTGAATCCTTGGTTGAGTGACTATGTAGGATTTGAAATCATCTGGTCGTCCTGCATGACCCCGGGAAGACTCGAGGCTCGGCTGAAGCCAAAGGGCATAGCAGGGCCGGGCGACAGATGGAGGCGAGAGGGTGACCTAGAGACATACGACAGAGATGGCCCTGTGGCCGGCATCATGATGGACTCCTACATTCGACTGCTAGAGAGTTTTGTTGTTTTTCAGAGAACAGAAGGGATGGCAGAGGGGAGGAGCATTGAAGCGATTGGGAGATAACAGGATAGGCAAAGCGCCCTTGGTCTGGGCCTTGCTTCTGCCATTTATTTATTTATTTATTTATTTATTTATTTATCTGGGGTGACATTGGTTCAGAAAACCATACAGGTTTCAAGTGTACAACTCAATAAAAAACATCATTTGCACACTACAGCATGCGCCCACCATCCCAAGCAAAACCTCTTTCCATCCCACTTCCCCCTCCTCCACCTCGCCCTCTCCCTCTGGCAACCACCACACCGCTGTCTGTCTGCGTGTGGGGGTTCTGTGTGTACGGGTACGTTTTTTGGCTAATCCCTTCCCCTTCTTTCATCCGGTGCCCCGGCCCCACCCTTCCCCTCTGACAGCGGTCAGTCTGTTCCGTATATCCATGCTTCTGTTTCTGTTTTCTTCATCAGTTTATTTTGTCATTAGAGTCTAAGTCAGATCATATGGTATTTGTCTTGCTCTGACTGGCTTGTTTCATTTAGCCTCAACAGCCTGTCTTCACCACACAAGAATGCTACAAAACTTTCTAGGGCCATTGTTAGGAGCTCAGAATACATTTCTCTCTGAAATGATGTTCAGCAGGGTTTTATGAGATAACATTTATAAACAACACTCGTTTACAGGTGTTTTTACGCAGAATATTTAATGTTCCCACGACGGATAGCAGATGAACATCTCCAGTGACAGCGTCGGACCGCAGGAAGGGTCAGGAGGGGCTTTGAAGGAGAGAGGTTACCACCCAGTGAGCACCGGGGGTGCCTACCGCCACTTCTCTGTTACAGCCACATCGAAATTCCCACTGTACTGACACAATGACTTTTAGTCATATGTTTGTAACATTGGTAATGTTTTATAATGTCATTGATTTCTTTAAAGTTCATAAAGGATTTGCTATATATCTCAGTATGCTTATTTACTTGGCTAATTTTTTTCTGTTGATATATATTCCTATTTGCATAAGGCAAGTTAATGGAAAATGAGAGCAATTATATTACCGAAATATATTCGTGTCAGGGAGTATCTATGTTATATAAGACAAGAATAGTTCAGGGTATGTATAGATCACATGGTGTTATTACTGTTTGAAAAATAAGGCAGCTGGTCAATTCTATACTGAAAATACGTCAGCCCCGTATTTATAGTGCTGCTTCCTCAGATTTTATGCAACACCTATCAGATCAATGGTTTTGTCCCTTTATTTCTCTATTTACAAAGGAGTCTCCATAAAACAAATCCCTGTTAAATTCTTTCTTTATATGCAGCCCAAGTACATCTCTCTTACTTCTTCCTTACACTCAGGAACATCCAAGTGTCGCTATGGTGCAGGTCTCAGGATTAGGCGCGAGGCTATGGGATGGATGTCCGAGGCTGAGTGTGGTCGGGGAAATGCCTAAGGTGTACCTCTGGGTTCGCAGTAAAGAGGGAGGGAAGCCTGCATCCCGAGCACAGGGCTGCACATTCCAGTGTGACGGCACAATGACAGGGGCCTGCGGAAGGGGCCTGGGAGCAGCAAAGACCTCACCGAAGGGCCGGAGGGCGTACAGCACCAAGGACCTTTGAACCGCATCTTCAGAAGTCTGCCTCTAGCCATATGTAGACTCAAAATCCTTTCCAAAGTAGCAGGCTGGCCAAAGCTCTTTCCCATAACTACTCTGGATGGTCCACTTAAACTTGATACATGGCTTCTCCGACACTATGTGATGTCACAGTCTTCTCGTGCACGGTGACATCATACATTCCAAGGACGTTCTACCTGGAGACCGAAGGAAGGGCGGGAAGTGAGGACACCCGGGGACGTGGCTGTTGCGTGGCAGGCCCCTGCACATTCTCATTATCCTTCGAGCCTCCTATAACATGGGGGAGTCTTTCTTTTTAGGATTCAGTGGTTCAACTGGTCTGGAAGCACTCGGGAAGGGGATGCTTCCTTGAGTTCTGCTGCTGGGAGAAGACAGGACATTCAGCATGTCAAACGGCAGCGGTAACACCACGGTGGAGGGCTTCTCCGAGGACAGGGACTGAAGGGTGTGGAGGTATCGGAGCTGCACGGCAGCGGGCGTGCCTGACAGAATCTCAGCCGCCATCCGCAGGGACTCGGAGGCAGCCTTCTCCCCTTCCGCAGCGATCATCTAGGGAACAGGCGTGGGGAGAAGCGGTGTGAGTTTTCTCCTTCGTCCTTGGAGCGCTTCAAGCACTACTCAGCCAGCACTGAGCATCTATTACATGGCCGGTGCTGTGAAGCATAGAACAGACGGTCTTCGTTTCTAAGGGTCTTGCTCTAGGGGACACAGACTGCACTATTGATTGTAAATTAGGACAGAATCTGTTAAGGACCCTGGCAAGTAGAGAGAAGTGTTTGGGGAGCTATTAATTATGACTGGTGGGCCCCAAAAGATTAGCAGGGTTTAGCCACACTGAGAGAAGGTTGGCCTGTGTCCCAGGCAAAAACACGGAGTCCTGAAGGGTGACTCCCAACTGAAGCAAAATGAATGCTTTTCACTTTGAAGTCTGAAATGTCAGCATTTCAGCAGAAGAAGCACCAATGTCACCACCTAAATCCCACCTTAAAGTGGGCAAAGAGGACCAGACACAACCCTGCCGAGAGGACATCTTCCTTTCCTTGCTCTCCACTTCCCCCAGCTCTCAACTGTCTCTGTGGTTAGGGGTCTGCCCCCAACCTACTGTCTCTTCTTTAAAAGAAACCAGCCTCCCCTTCAGCCCTCATAGCCCTCTTCCCAGCACCCCTTCCCGCCCACACAAGTTGGGAGCTGCTGGCAGTCGCATCTTCCTCCTCGCTGGCACGTCTGAGTAGATGCTATGGCACAGCCTTCTCTCAACCCTGGTGCTGGGGGAACGGGCCCTGATCCTGGTTGTCCCCCCAGAGCTGGCACAAAGCTAGGGAGACAGGTCTGGGTGTCATTAACCCAGAGGTAACAGGGTGCTCATATTACCCAGGAAAGCTGCCAGTGTAAGAGAAGGATGGAGAGTGGTAAGAAGCCTTGAGGGAGAGAGAGCGAAGACAAGACTCGAGAGGGAGGAGAGGGTCGCCGTTACCAACGGCCTCAGATGGAGGGTGTGATGGAGAAAGAGATGCTGCATTACTCAGTTAGGAGCTACTAACCCCACTTTAAGACAGCGATTTTAACAGAGTTGGTTGCAGGTGGGGGGGCCACAAGGCAGATCCCTCCCAGAGCCTAGGTGAATGAGGGGAGGGGACGTTAGGATGTAAGGAAGCAAAGGGAAACCGCTCTGCGAGAGCAGGCCATTGGACTCTCCAGGGCTCCTCAAAGAACAGCCCAGAGGTGGAGGGCCTGCGGGGCGCTGGCTCACCCGCACTCTGGCCTGTCTCTGCGCTTCTGCTTCCACAGCCAGGGAGTGCTGCAGCCCGGCCGGCAGCCTCACGTCCTTACTGGGAAAGAGAGAACTCGGTTAGGTAGGTGTGCAGCACAGCTTTCAGCAGCCAGAGTTCCCATACAGTGTCACCACTTTCCCCGCTGTTGTTGTCACGATGCGCGGCAAATTCTGACCTAACAGAGCGCCGTCCCCAGATCGCTGGCTAGACAGTGGGCAGACTGTCTCCAGGGTCAGGGCCTCAAATGCAGATTTTCATGATCATCGATGCTGTGGTAGAGCTTGGTTTTCTTTCCATGTGAAACACATTTTGTGTTGATGGATTATGTTGATTTTCTTCCACTTAGTTTAATCTAAATCCCAGCTATTAAAATTGAACAATACAAAAAGCCTTGAAGAGCCACGCTATTAATGATAAGGGAAGTCATCTACATTTATATCAGAGAAGTGACCTTGAAAACAGTAGAACTGACTTAATAAGAACAATACTTAATGTATTGCATAAAAGATACAAAATTTTAATTTTTATCCTGAATGTAACTATGAAGATACATAGAGAGAAAACAGTCTGGCAGTTCCTCAGAAAGTTAGATACAGAATTACCGTATGACCCAGTGATTCTACTCATAGGTATCTACCCAAGAGAACTGAAAACATGTTCACATAGAAGCTCGCACATGAATGAATGTTCCTTGTAGCGTTACTCATCACAGCCCCAGAGTGGAAGCAATCCAGGTGCCCATCAGTCAATGAGCAGATTACAGAACGTGGTGCAGTCACACAATGCAATGTTCGACCATAAAAAGGGGTGGTGTCCTGATTCACGCTACCACATGGATGAACCTTGCAGACATAATGGCCATATATTGTGGAATTGCATTTATACGAAATGGCCAGAATAGGCAAGCCCAGAGAGAGAGTAGATTGGTGGTTAGCAGGGGCTGGGGGGTGAGGGGAAAATGAGGAGTTTCTGCTTAATGGATGTAGGCTTTTTTTTGGGGGGGGGGTGATAAAAATGTTCTAGAATTGGATGGTAGTGATGACTGCACCACTTTGTCAATATCCTAAAAACCACTGAATTGTACTTTAAAATGGTTTAAACAATCATAAAAGCTGAGTTTTATTTCAAAAACATTTTTTTTAATCCATAGAGAGAAAATGTGAAAGTAATTAGCCCAAATGTCACTGTGATTGTGAATGTTTATGAGATGATTGGCATTTTTTTTCTATTTTCCCCCAAAATATATGGTTATAGTCATACTCATGCAATGAAAATAAGTTATCAAATAAAAAATTTTAAATGAAACCAAAATATTTTGATTTATCACTTTGTTCTTCCCTGCTAATTTCCTACCCACATTTCTGTTCTCTCCACTTTGAGTCCCCAAATACAGGTCACGGAATCCAAGGCGACCTGTGAAGGGAAGAGTTGAGATGTCAGTGACAGCCTCCAGGGGGCGCTGTAAGTGTCCTTCAGGAGTGACGCAGAGGGAGTCCTGACTGCGGAAGAGGAGGTGAGGTGGGGGTGGAAGTGGAGAGCCCGTCGGTGGTGTACGTGGAAGATGGAGGAAGGGCCGTGAGCTGAGAAAGGCCAGGAAATGGAGTCTCCTTTCAGAACCTCCATTAGAAACCAGCCCTGCTGACTTTGACCTTGACTCTGGCCCAGTGAAACTGATTTTGGACTTCTGGCCTTCAAAGCTGTTAAAGATTAAATTGGCTTTGTTTTAAGCCACCAAGTTTGTGGTAATTTGTAATAAAGAGAATGGGAAGTAATACAGATGGTGTAGTTGTTAAGTCTGTTTTAAAATGCATTTATTAGGCCCTGGCCAGTGTGGCTCAGTTGGTTGGAACATTGTCCTGTAACCCAAAAGGTTGCATGGTTCGATCCCCAGTGGGGGCATATGTGGGTTTGCTCCCTGGTCGGGGTGCATATGGGAGGCAACCAGTTGATATTTCTCTCACATTAGTGTTTCTCTTGTCCTCTCTCTCTCTCAAAAAGCAATGAAAAAATGTCCTCAGGTGAGGCTAAAAACAAAATAAAATAATATGCATTTATTAGAGAACCAGAGTCTGTAGCCTCGCTCCCAAATGGCTTTCAATAACAGGTGCTGGCACGTCCTTCCCGTTGGTGACTTCCACCCCCTCTCATCCCAGTCCCAGGAGGCAGGAGAAAGTGAACTGTGGGTTCTGGAAAAAGTGTCAAGGCATGGAGCTCCACATGTGTGTTCGCATTCTTTTCCTTTTTAATTATATCTTGTTGGGAACTATCTTGTTGGGAACCGCCCTGCCTGGTTTCAGAAGCTGCAACCCCCGCCAAGGCTAAGCTGAGGGAGGGACCTTGAACCGTAAGCCACCAAGGAGACAAAAGCTTATCTCCCTGGTAGGAGTGCCACCTCTGCCCCTTTTACTTTATTCATAACTGGCCCCCAATGCTTGGTCGGTTAGCCAATGATGGGTAAGATTCCCTAAGGGAGGGAACAATCTAAGACAGACACGATCACGTGGGAGGCCCCCAAGGAAGGACTTTGGGGGCTACAGCAAAAGGGGGTGATGGACCCTCGCCCCTTGGCTTTGACAAAGCCTGAGTCCTGATTCTGTCTGGGAGAAGTCTCCTTCCTAATCTCTTGGCTGCCTTACTTCCCTTGCTCCACCTAAGCCTGAAACAATGACAGGGGGTGGTGCAGCCCTGTGCTGGAAAGGGTGGGTTACCTGGGAAATCAGGCCTAAGAAAGAATATGTCAAATCCTGTGAAACCTGCTTTGTTTAGAATGTTCTCAATGAAATGATAAGGGTCCAAGCAAGAAGTAAGTTTGTTCTTCAAAGTTTTATACCTTTTTAGCTATCTGACCCTGACTCAGAATAGGCCCTCAGAGTTCTTTGTTATCTATTGTTTGATCCTTACTGCCTGACAATGAGTAATGAGCTTTACCTGAATTCTTGTGTAAATGAACCCAGTAAAAGCCCATTGAGGAACAGGGTCCTGGCCCTTCTCCTTTGAGAGAGTGGCCACCTTTCCTCCCCAAGCAGATCATGTCTTGGTAGACTTATTCTCATCCCTGGTTGGGGGGGGGGGGCTGTGGGCGGAGCCCCCCCCAACAGCATCTGATGATTTCTTAGTGGTTGGATAACTAATAAGCTTAGTGCATTGAGGATCCTGAGAAGACTGACTCATTTGGGAGGTTGGTGAGAGGAAAGAATATTGAAAAAAGAGCCACAGAGGAGGTGGCACCTTAAAAGAACAAATAGGATTTGCCTGTGGGGAAAAGGGAAGTGTTCCCTGCAGAGGAAACAGCCCAAGAGAAGGCACGGCAGCTGGAGAAATGCTAAGTAGACTGCGGTATTAGATACACTGGGGGAAGGACTGCAAGAGGCGAGGCTGAGACAGCAGGACCATTTCTTGTGGATCAAAAAACATCATCAGGCTGCTGTGTGGCAGCCCCATGTCAGGTACTGAGGACAAAGAAGTGAGTGAAATATGACCCCTGTCATTATGGAGTTCATAGCCTGGGGAGACAAATGGATAAATACACAAAGTATAATTCAATGTAACAAGGCAAGCTAGAATGTCAAGAGTCTGGCACATGGAAGATTCAACAAATGACGAGTGAAAAAAAAAAAAGATAAAGAGGGATTTCAACATGTTCAACGTGAAATTTATCGAAGTACCTTTACATCTTGGGCGAGGCTCTTCCTCTCTAGAAGGATCTCAGCCAGGGACCGGTGCGCCAGCAGACGTTTCATGGTGGTCTGCACGAGGAACTGGACCGCCTTGGACACCTGAGCGAGACTGCTCAGCAGGAGAGAGGCGTTTTCTATCCGGTAGTAGCAGATGGCGTCTATCTCCATTATGAACATGTCTTTGGTCACAACCTAGGCAGAGAAGAGAAAGTGCGAAGCCTGATGCTTTGGCTCCTTCCCCGTGCAGGGTTAGAGGGACTAAATGTGTTCAAGTGGATTCTCGGAGTAAGATTATAGCAAGAAAAAAAAATCAATGCTCAGTCTATCTTTTATTCAAAATAGATGTTTTTGAAGATTATGGAGTTTTTTTATTAACTACACTAAAGAACTCACGATTTAAAGGAATCCTGTTGTAAACCCTTTTGTGAAAAAAAAATCAGAAAGAATTTGCGTATGTGAAAAAATCAGCCCTGGCTGGTGTAGCTCAGTGGATTAAGTGCGGGCTGTGAACCAAAGTGTTGCAGGTTCGATTCCCAGTCAGGGTACATGCCTGGGTTGCAGGCCATGACCCCCAGCAACCACATTTTGATGTTTTTCTCTCTCTCTCTCTTTCTCCCTCCCTTCCCTCTCTAAAAATAAATAAATAAAATCTTTTAAAAAAAATCAGTTGTTTATCAGGCCTTTTTACATTGATGCCAAAAAAAAAGTGCTAGAAGAGAAGCATGGTACACAAGCCCTCGGGTGTTCCGCTAGCTGGGCACACGCTAGAGGGCAGGTTGGTGCTGCCCCAAAGCAGAGATGGAGGCATCTTCTCAGCATTTCCTGTGTACACACTATCGCAGGATGTACTATGAGGGCTTAGCTGCAAGGATGTTATTCATAGTATTGCCCACTGTAATAAAAGACTGGAAACAACTTGATATCAACAACAGGGAATTGTGAATTGTGGTACGTACATTCATACAACAGAAGGCTACGTGTCCTTTTAAAATGAAAGGGTAAAAACGTAGCTAATGTATGAAAAGATGATCCCAAAAATTGTGGGGTGAATAAAGTTATGCTACCAAATAGAATGTGTGGTTTGATATGTGCTCCTGTCTGTAAACATAACCCCACACCTAGGTAAGTCCGAAAGGATACACTCCAAGATATCGACATCTATCTGTAGGTGATAGGATTATGAGTACATTTCATGTCTTCCTTTTTTACATTTCATTATCTAAAACAAGCCTTTAAAATATATATAATTTCTATTTATAGTTCTAGTTCACAAAAGAAAGTATGAGAAAGAACTTCAAACTGAAAGTGGGGGATTTCAGAATTTAGAAAAAGCTTATACATTTAAATTACTAATAGAAAAATCTAGGTGTGATCGCTTCTTTTAATTTTTCTTATTGTGAAACACACATAGCCTCCAATCTGCCATCTTACCCATTTTAAGTGCACAGCCAGTAGTGCCGAGCACTCTCATGTTGTCGTGCAACCACTCTCCAGAACGCTTTTCATCTTGCAAAACTAAAACGCATGAAGCAGCATCTCTGCATGCCCTCTGCCCTGCCCCATCCCCCATAACCACCCCTCTGCTCTCGGTCTGTACGGATTTGACTACTCTAGGTCGTGTAAGTGAAATCATTCCGTACTTGTCCTTTCATGACTGGGTCACTTCACTTAGTTTAATGTTCTCGAGGTTCACCCATGACACAGCATGTGTCTGAATTTCCCTCCTTTTCGAGGCCGAATAATATTCCATGGTAAGTATGTACCACATTTTGTTTATCTAGTCAGCCACTGATGGACACTTGGGTTGCTTTCGCCTTTTGGCTATTGTGCATAACGTTGCTACGAACATAGGTACATGAATACGTCTTCAAAATTTTGCTCTCAGTTCCTTGGGTTGTATAGCCGGAAGTGGAACTGCTGGACCACATGGTAATCCTATTTTTAACTTTCTGAGAAATTATTGTAATGTTTTCTATAGTGGCTGCCCCATTTTACATGCCCACTGCCAGTGTACAAGGGTTCCAAATCCCTGTTACTTTCTGGCTGGATTTTTTTTTCCCTCTTTGGTAGCCACCCTAGTGGGTGTGAGGTGGTGTCTCACTGTGGTTTAGATGTGCATTCCTCTAATGATTAGTGACGTGGAACATCTGTTCATGTGTTTGCTAACCATTTGTATATTTTCTCTGGAGAAGTGTTATTTAAGTCTGTATTGGCCAGGTCTCTCCAGAGAAACAGAGTGAGTCGTGTGTGTGTGTGTGTGTGTGTGTGTGTGTGTGTGTGTGTAGAAACAGAGAGGAAGAGATTTTAAGGAATTGGCTCATACAATCGTAGAGGCTGACAAGTCCAAAATCTCCAGGGTCGGTCAACAGCAGACCCGAGGAAGAGTGGGCGCTGTGCTGGAGTCCGAGACCAGCCTGTGGGCAGAATCCCTCCTCCTCAAGGGGAGCTAATCTTTCTTTTAAGGCCTTCAGCCGCCCGGGCGAGGCCCAGCCATAGGATGGAGTGTAATGTGCTTTGCTCGAAGTCTACTGATTTAAATATTAATCTTGTGTAAAAAATACTTTCAGAGCAACATCCAGATGTTTCTGAGCAAATATCTGGGTATCAGAGCTTAGCCAAGTTGATATGTTACAATTAATCATCACAAGCCCATTTTCCCGTGTATATTTATTTATTTTGCTTTCTTGTTGAGTTGTAAGATTTCTTTCTATGGTCTGGATATGGGCCCTTTATCAGACATGTTATTTGAAAATACTTTCTTCCATTCCATAGGTTGTCTGTTCATTTTGTTATGGTGTTTGCTGTACAGGAGTTTTTAATTTTGATGGAGTCTAATCTCTAGTTCCCTTTTCTATTTTCTATCTTCAATTATCATTTTTCCCTGGATTGAAACTGGTAGCATTGACAGCTCAGCCATGTAAAGCGTAGAAAGAAAAATCCATCATTCAGCTCACCTCGTGAAAGGGTATCTCCAAGGTCTGGAGACGAAGGTCAACCTTGTGGTAGGTATCCAGGCAGGGCAGGAAGAAGAAAAGGCCTAGAAGCAAGCAGGGGAGGAGAAAGTGACAGGTGAATGCCTACATGCTCCTCCAGCCAACCTGGCCCTGGCATTCAGCTCTCTGCACCCACCCATCCTCTCCCTGGGTCATCGTGACCTGGTAGGATTTCTTTTAACCCGTGTTACAAACAACAGATCAGAAAACGGAGACACCATGAATCAAGTCACTTCATGTAATCGGAGGTCTGAGTTACAAATGTGCATGGATTGAAGAAATGGGCACGCCTGCAGGGGGTTCTTACCAGGGCCTTTGGCTCTTCCAGGAAGCAGATGTCCTAGTCGGAGTACAATTACTCTCTCATATTCCTGCACAATCTAAAGATAAATTCTGAATCAACCTGAGAAAGACAAAGTCTTCAGAAGGCATTTGTGCTAGAGTAATCCCAGGTATCAGGAACCTTTTGTTTTGATAACCAAGAAAAAAATACTCCGGTTTTTCAATATCTACACTTAGTAAGTGTAGAATTTCAGAAACCAATGAAAAAGCATATTGGCCGTGTTAACCTTTGAGCCCATGAACAGAATATTGATTAAAGAGTCATGATTATCTAAAAAAAACAATGCTTCCACGAATGCCCGGCATTCCCTAAATCAGAGAAATCGCAGCATGCTCACCACCGCATGCTCAGTCTTGTACTTCCTGTGACTGCTGCATTATTAGCTTCCTATGTATCAGTTATCAGCTATTTAGCAGAAAGAGGGGTACATTTTAATACCACTTCTTATATTTTGTTTCAAACTATGAGAAACATCTCAAAATAATACCTTAATTTTCTACCTTAGCACACTAGAAATGGAAGAACAAACTCAACCTAAAGCAAGCAGAAAGAAGGGGATAAAAATTGAAGCGAAAATAAATGCAGTAGAAAAATAGAAAACCAATAGACGAAATCTGAAGAACCAAAAGCCTGTTCTTTGGAAAAATCAACAAAATTGACAAATATTTTGCTAGTCTGACTGCCCCCCCCAAAATAAAAACAAACAAAACAAGCAAAAAAACAGAGAAGATCAAATTACTAAAACCCAGAATCGAATCAAAAGGAGTGATTTCAGGGACATCACTACTGTCCTTACAGAAATAAAATATTAGAAGAGAAAGTACTATGAACTATAGGCCAACAAATTAGATAATGTAGATGAAATGGCCCAAATCCTATAGATACACCAATTACCAAAACTGACTCAAGAAGAAAAAGAAAAACTGAAAGAACTGAAAGTAAAAGATTAAATTAGTGGTTTGAAACTTTCCCACTGAGGAAAATCCAGGATTAGATGACTTCACTGGTGAATTCGGCAAAACACTGAAAGAAAAAGTAGTACCAGCTAGTCACAAATTCTGCCCCCAAAAATAGAAGAGGAAGAATCTTCCCAAGTCATTCTGCGAGGCCAGTATTACCCTGATACCATAACAAACCGTATTAAAGAATGATACACCATAACCGGGTGGGACTTACCTTAGGAACACAGTTGGTTTAACATGCACTCCAATGTAAGACACAATATCAGTAGAATAAAGGGGAAATGCCACGTGATCAGCTCAATAGATGCAGAAAAGGCATTTGACAACATGCAATGTCCTTTTATGACAAAGGCTACGAGGAAGAGGAGGAGGAGAAGGAGGAGGAGAAGGAGGGAACAGCAGTCAGCATTGGCCGCAGCAGCATCCATAGTGTCTTAGTCAAGGACGCGCTCCTGCAAGGCAGCTCCGGACAATGACTAAGAATGGCAGGGCACCAGGGCCTGGCCATTTCCGCCCACTGCGGGACTGCTCTGGGAAGCAGGCTTTGCCCTGGAGTTCCGCTTCAGACTGGCCAAGACTGTCTCAGAGTCACCCCTTCCTTCCTGTTCTCATAGCACCAGGGTCAGACCTGCATCATCGGCAGAGGGCTCTCCCTGCCTGCTCTTGTTCTCCGCCCCACCCTTAATATTTCACAGACAATGCCGCCCAGTAAAGCCCTTGCACTTCTAATTCTGTGTCGGCATGTGCTTCCCAAACTGACACAGGTCTGCATTTACTTCAGAGACAGGCAAGTGTAACCACCTGTGGGCCAGAGATCATTGTCATTCGTGGTCCATGGAAGCTGCCTGAGAAGTGGACATTGTGATCTCTTCTGGGCGGGTCTGCCATGTAATATTATATCGATCCACGTGGTAGCTGCTACTACAACGGACGTGGAAGCAGAGTGATACAAGAGCACCAGCAAGGGAATGACAGTCTCGGGGAGGCGGGGGAGGCTTCCCAGCTACAGCCGAGCAAAGTCTGAGAGGAGTGAGCGCTCTCCTGGAAGGTGAGCGGGGACGGCATTCCACGCAGAGCAGACAGCCCGTACGGACACACAGGAGTGAGAGTGGACATGCAGTGGCTCCTGCGAGGCTCCAGGAGACTACTGGGTCCTCGTGGGATCTCACCTTTATGCAGAACCAGATGGAAAAAGGGAAGGTCACGACGATGAAGAGCAGGGATGTGAGGACAAGAAGCCACTCACAGGCCCCTAAACCAGAAGACTTGGTACCTTAGAAAAAGAAGAAGAAGAAGAAGATTGAAAGTTCACCATCTTCACTGACTGGCAACTGTTGGTCCAGTCCTTGGTATCAGGATCAAAGCATTTGTAGACTTCGGTGGGAATAGCAGAGTGAGCTGGACCTGGGGGCGGTCAGCTCACAGGGCCAGGGCACCGTCTGCGTGGAGGGCTGGGTGGGCCTGTGGCAGGTGAAGTAGCCCAGCTGGCGCAGCGCGGTGCTAAGTGAGGCAGAGGAGTGGACCTTGTGCCTCTCGCTCCCCTCCACATGGAGCCATAGGAACCTCCCGGGCTAGGGCTCAGCAAGGCCGCCTCATCCTCAGTGAGACCTTCTCAACCACTGCTCAGGGTCCTGGGCTCCAGCCACTTGATGGCTGGAGAGACCGAGTGAAGCCCACACAGGTGGCAGTGCTGGGACCATGGCCAGATACCAGGGGGCAGCCCCGTGCAAGGACGGGCTTTTCCACCGGACTGACTGTCTCACTCTAGAAGTCTGGTCCTCCACTTCCCAGCTGTAGGTCTTGGGCAAGTTACTTAATTTCTCAGCATTTTTCCTCATCTGTGACAAGGGAATGATAATACTCAATGAAACACCTGGGCTTCCTTCCTTCCCTCCCCGTCCACTGTGGTCTGAGCACATACAAGACCTCTAACCTCAGCACTGCTGGGGCACTGAACCCAAGGACCATTTAATGACTGGGAGTTTCTGACTGACGGAAGGCCATCCGTTGGGCAAAACGGCATTAACATGGTCCCTACAACATGGCCCTGACTGCACGGATCCCCCTCAAATCATCCCTCTCAATGCCCCGGCACGCACTGCATCCCTGGTAACCAGGACGCATTACAACTCCAAAGCCAGCAGAAAACGATACAACACACCTACCCCATTACTCAGTTCCCTTTAAGCTTCATCCTATGCTTAAGGCATGAGAAATGTTTTTCCTTTCATCCATTATAAAGAGGACTGGAAGCAGAAACATTTGTTCCTAAGGGTTGCTTCACCTGCGGAAGCCAAAGACACCTTTCCAGGTGATCCCAGCCAGCCGGGGTCCTGGTTTAGCTGAGTGTGTTCCTTGCTCCAGGCTTCGTGCACGGCGCTTCACATGCCTTGCCTCCCGGCAGCCTCACAACTACCTACCTACCCTGTGAGCCAGGCCTGGTGCGATGCCGAAGAATGAGCGCCGGGCTGGCCGGCCGCTGAGCTGAGATTTAAACCCAGGTCTGGCTCTTCTCCACTTGCCTCTGCTGCCTCTGCTTTTAGAAAAACGATCACCCCAAGGAAACCTTGACGTGCTTTGAGGAAGGACTGAGGGGTGGGACGAGGAGGGAAGAATGAGCTGCCTAGGTGCCCAGAGCCCCCGGCTCGTGCACGACTTTACTGAAAGGAGGCGCCCGTATCCGCTCGCACGGCCACAGAAACCAGCGGCTGTGGCTCCTTGGCCGTGTGGACCGGTCCCCAGCCTGGACCACACGCTCCCTCCCACCGCCCATCCTTGGCTGGCCCTCGAGACCAACAGTGGTGAGTTGAAGTTATCTGCCTTTCTCGGATGCATTTGGAAGCTACCGCTGAGGAGGGGGTCTAGCAGGCTCCAGCCTCTGCGGCTCTGGGCGCGGAGGCTCGTTCCACTTTCTCTGACGTCCCTTGGGTACCACTGGGACAGGCCGTCCTCCCTCCCGGGTCCCCGGCCGGCCCGCTGTACCTTCCTCGGGCCGCTCGCTCTCCAGCAGCGCCACCACCTCGGTGCCCTCCTCGCAGGAGCCGCGGACCTCATCCACGTCCACCACGGTGGCTGCCGGCGGCGCGCGGGGCTCCGCGGGCCTCCCTGCGCGCCCGGGGTCCCGCGGCTCGCGCCCCGCATCCCGGCGCCCGCGGCCTCCGCCGCCCCGCTCGGCCTTCGCCCTCTTGTTCTCCTTGTGGGGGGACCTGCCGCCGCCTCTCCCGTGGGCCTCTCTGGAGGAGCTCCGAGCCCTCCCCTCCGACCTCTCCGTCCTCTCCGTCCTCTCCATCCCCAGAGCGGCAGGGCCCCGGAGCGCGGTCCCTGCAGAGTGGCCCGCGGGCGCGTCTCTGGGGCACAGTAATGAACCTGGGCGGGGGCGGGGCCGGGACCCCGGGCGCGTCGCCGCGGGGGGGCTTTTCTCCGAGTGACGAGGGACAGCTGCTTCTCAGACGAGTTGTAGACTGGGTGTGACTTCCAACAGTGAGGCGGCGGCGTGGAAGCCGCGTCCCAGGTCAATGTGTTTGACGACGTGAACGTGTCCCCTGTGGGAGATGCCCTCGAGGTGCGGCGCGGGCGGCTGTGATGGCCCTGGGCTCCGCGGGCGGCCCTCCGGGGCTGCCCGAGAGCGCGAGGGAACACTGCACGCCCCGTATCAGGGTACCTTCAGGGTAAAATTGGACCCTTTCCCCCAAGCCCGCCCTTCCTCCCGCCTCCCCCTAATCTGTTTCGTACCCCGGCCCCACGCGTCCTGAGACTGCTTTAACCACTGCTTTAACCCGTGACGGTGCTGGCGGGGCTGTGGGAGGATTTAGGCTTTCAAACCGGGCAAGGAAAACTCTTTTAGACCTCTGCCCTCTCTGGCATTTATTATGCCTGTATTTCCATTAGTTTATTATTTTTACTAGTGCTTGAGGCTGTTCATGTGACACTCCTTTTCTAACTTTATTTTTTAATGTATTTTATTGATTATGCTATCACAGTTGTCCCATTTCCCCCCTTCGAAGATAAAAAACATGTACAGTAAAATGACAGCAAACTCACCATTATTACCAACCACACCTAAAACAAAAACAAAAGCAAACTAAGCGAACAACCAGAACAGGAACAGAACCACAGAATTGGAGATCACGTGGAGGGTTAGCAACAGGGGAGTGGGAGGGGGAGAGAGGGGGAAAAGGTACAGAGAATAAGTAGCATAGAGGGTAGGTAGAAAATAGACAGGGGGAGGGCAAGAATAGTATGGGAAATTTAGAAGCTAAAGAACTTATAAGTATGACACATGGACATGAACTTTATTTTTATTGTCGACACAGTTACAGATGTCCCCAGTGCCCCCTTTTGCCCCCTCCACTTGCACCAGGGGTGAGTGGCCGGCACCCCGCCACTCACCCCTTCCCCCTGGCCATCACCGCACTGTCATCTGTGTCCACGGGTCCTGCACGGGTTCTTTGGCTAATGCCCTCACCTTCTTTCATCCGGTCTCCCCTCCCCTGCTGAGCTTCTTGAAGAGGCAGAGAAGCGAAGGGATCCGATTTAACGTGTTTGTAGGGAAGGGACACTTTTGCCCTGGAGGAGGCCCTGCTCCCGGCTTCCCTGATGAGGCGGGGGTTTTGCTTGTCCACGGTTCACTGCGGAGGTTCCGTCCTGCAGCAAACCTGGGAGCTGCCCCACTCTCCGCCCAGGAACTCGACACAATGAATAGGTTTCTCTTTTACTCCCTGTTCCTGCTTCCTTTCTCACTGGATGTGAGCTTGGTCTTGGCAGCCCTGTGTTCTCAAGGTTTATGATTCTACTCAAATAGCTCAGATCACATGATAGTAGAAACAATATTCACTTATTTTTATTTGTTAATGTTTGAGTTCACACAGGGGTAGCTTCTGCCCCCTGCAAAACAAACAAACGAACAAACAAACAAACTTACTGAAGAATGAGGACCTGAAGTAACGCCGATGGAAAAACCATTCCGCTGCTTTCTTCCATATATTCCGAGTTAGGCCACTGGGAATCATTATCAAGTCCTCATTATAAAGTAATTAAAGATTAGTAATAAACCAATGTAAATAGATTTAGTTTTTACTCTCTAAGCCTGATCCCTGCACAGGTTACCTGAGGGAGGACAAGCGTTTCGTCTCCAGGGCCGGCCTCAATGGATAGTTCCTGCCTAGGGCGGAACTATGAGGAAAATTCCTAAGCTATGCTTAGCCATAGAGGGGAAGGTTTATTCAGTGTCCACTCAATACTCACCACTAAAGACAGCTAGTTTATCACGCTGTAAAGACTTCCCTGTCTGAAAGAGTGTGAAACTGTTGGTGGCACTTACTTTTTTCTCTGCCTTGGATTCTGTTACAAATCCATTTGAGCAAGAGTCCTGAAGGAAACTCTTACGCTACAATTTCACTTAGATTTGCACTCCAAGACCTGGCAGGATATCTGGAAGCTGGTGCTCTCAAAACTGTGTCCCGTCTCCCGATAAGATAGAGGGGTTTCTTGCAGAAGAAACACCGAGGAGGAAAGGCCCTCTTGGGTGTGGGCACCCACTTTGGGTGCTTGTCCCCAGTCACTTTTGCTGCAGGACAAGTGACAACATACATACTCACTTCTTCATTATTTTTATGTCCACATATAACAGCAATCAATACAAGCACCTGCTTACAACAAGGCCCTGTTGGGATTCCGAACGACAGTAATGATATCCCAGAAAGGTCATCACATTTCCTGGTGAAAAGGTCAACACAGCACCTCTGAAAAGGGGGGGGTGCGGAGTGCTGAGGCAGCTCCGCCAGCCTGCAGCTGGCTGGCCTCTTCCACTCGAATAATGATGTCGCTGTTTTCTTTCAGATGCCTTTCTAATTGATGTTGGTCATCCCTTTGTTGAAAACATTGTATGTGCACATTTTTGAACGCTTAGTACTTTACTCCTTGTTTGGACTTGTTAAGAGACTGACGTCTGTGGGAATGGGGTTACTAGAAGAAGGGGAGGAACCATGAAAGTTGTTGACTGCTGAGTTTGTTGCCAAGACGAAAGGTCATACAAGATTTCAAGGCTTTTAAAATTATTACACTTATTTCACTTAAGTGTTTTGAAATTTTATATCCGGCCCTGGTCAAGTAGCTCAGTTGGGTAGAGCATGGACCAGGTACTCCAAGGTCACGGTTTCATCCCCATGCAGGGCTCATATGAGAGGCAACTGATAAATGCATCGAGAAGTGGAACCACAAATTAATGTTTCTCTCCCCCCTTCCTCTCTGTCTCTCAAATCAATCACCCCCCCAATATATATAAAAGAAATTTTATATTCACTTGGATAAACAGAGGAATAAATATGTATGAATTATTTAATGAAAACTCTGAAATTCATTGTCATGAGATGAAATTGCAAATCTTACTGTAGAGCTTTAAGAAACTATGGGGATTTAAATTTGACTGTTTCAATTTGACTTTCTTAAATTTGACTTTCTCAACTTGTAGCTGGCAGACCCCAACCAGGAGGACACAGCAGTGGACCGGGGATGCGAGGCTGATGAAAGCTGGATCCGAGGCTTTGGCCGTGGGGACAGCCCAGATTCAGGAGATACTTCTGAGGTGGAGAATATTCAGAACTCGGCGACTGCATGGGGTTATGGTGGGGTGGTGAGGACTTGAGAAAGGTGGAGGCTTTCACCTTCACAGGCTGGGGAGTCTTTTGCAGCTGCAGGCTGCTCTGGCAGAGCCGCTTCCCCAGCTGCGCTGACCCCAGGCAGCTGTGCTGACCCCAGGCACCTGCGCTGCCCAGTTGCTGAGAGAGACCGGAAAAGTCCTCATTACAGGAAAAAAATTTGATAATTGTGGGGGTACATGTTAACTAGATTTGTGTGGTGATCGTTGGCAACATACGCGAATATCATTATGTCGTGCACCTGAAACTAATGTTATATAGGTCAAGTACATCTCAATTACAAAAATTAAAGTACCCTTTAAATGAGAAAAAAAAGGAATCTTGAGCTTCCACGAAAATAAATTTTATGTTTGAAATGGCAACATGAAATTCCTTATCAAGGCTTCTTACTGATAAGCTCTTTAAATTTTTGCTACATGATAAACATGTTTACACAATTAAAAAAGTGTTTGTGTCTTTATCTTCCAGCTTTCTTCAGGGATAATTGACAAATAAAAGTTGTATATATTTAAGGTGTACAACATGATGATTTGATATACACAGTGAAATGACTTAAAAAATTTTAAAACCATTTTTACAACCACTTAAACTTTTCCGACAGTTGAACTTAAAGAATTGGCTATCTTTTCTATCATCAACAAATGCAATTTGGTACTTCTTGGGATGATGCAAATGGATTCCAAATCCAACTGAACTCTTTTTATAATGAGTAGTCCAAAATAATGACGGAACCTTTGGGAGCCCAGCCTGGGCATCACAGAGAGCAGACCTGGTGCGGCTAGAAGGGAGTGGGGGCTCCCTTCTGCCAGGGGACACGCACTAACCTCACCCTGCCCTCTGCCCCCTTCGCTGCCTGGCACCCCCACCACCCCTCTTGGTGCTAAGTTTGCTCCTTGCTCAGCCCGATGGTGAACTTCTGAGGATGCACAAGGGAGGCCCCGAGGCAGAAGTAGGTCCTTGGCAGAGCCTAGCTTCTTCTTTCTCTTTTTTCTTTTTTATTGAATTGATTGTGGTGACATGGGTTAATAAAGGTTTCAGGCATACAATTATGTAATACATCATCTATACATTGTATGGTGTGTTCACCACCTCAAGTCAAACCTTCCATCACCATTCATCCCCCCCATGTCTTCTTCTCCCTCCCCCACCCCCCTTCCCCTCTGGTAATCACCATACTGTTGTCTGTGCCTATGAGCTTTTTGTGTTTTTTTTGCATGATCCCCTCACCTTTTTCACCCAGCTGTGCAACTCTCCTCCCGTCTGACAGCTGTGAGTCTGTTCTCTGTGAGTCTGTTTCTACTTTGTTAGATATTTTGTTACTTAGATCCCACACAGTGAGTGAAATCATATGGCACTTGTCTTTCTTTGACTGGCTTATTTCACTGAGCACCACAATGCTCTCCAGGTCCATCCATGCTGTCAAAAAGGGTAAGATTTCCTTCTTTTTTACAGCCAAGTAGTGTTCCATTATATAAATGTACCACAGCTCTTTATCCACTCATCTACTGATGGGCACTTGAGCTGCTTCCAAATCTTGGCTACTGTGAATGATGCTGCAATGAACATAGGAGTGTACGTACAAGGAGGACTAAAAAAATCGGAATGTATTTATAAAAAATCGTGTATCTATCCTTACATGTTTAAACTTCAGTCACCTTCAAAGTACTCTCCATTTTATGCCATTCACCTATT